TATGAAGTTACTACTCAAACAATAGAGAGACGCTGGAGAAGAGAGGGGATGTAGGGGTGCATGCCGCCAAGGGGCTCTGCTCTGTTGACTGTAGGAGGCAGGCCAGACAGCCACTTGACCCTGGACAGGTATAGATTACTCTGACAACTGTTGAGCTGCAGACAGACACCCTTCATCCTCCCTAACGTCACATGGCAGCGTGACTCATGAGGTCCTGATGAGATTCTGTGAAGGCCCCAGGACAATGGGGGGCAGGAACAACGTAGGAAGAAGACAGAGACGGGCTCACTCATTAGCCTGCGTTAGTAGTTTTGAGAGGATTAGAGAAAGAGGCCATATGACAGCGGTCAGGGCTGACATCATCACCAGCTCCAGACAAGACAAAACTGAAGTCATCCCATGAGAAAAAGGAATTGAGAGAGAGGTACAGAGAAAACATTCTGTGAGCCTCCCAAGTGTCTAGCTCTGCCAAATTATCTCCCGTCTTCTTTATTTTATGTATTTATTTATTGATGTATTTATTTGAGGCAGGGTTTCCCTGTGTAGCTTTGGAAACTGTTCTGGATCTAGCTCTTGTAGACCAGGCTGGTCTCAAACTCACAGAGACCCGCCTGCCTCTGCCTCCCAAGTGCTGGGATTAAAGGCATGTGCCACCACCACCGGGCAAATTCTCCCACTTTTAATGATCCCTCAACACCAGACCTTGGTCAACGTTAGCCACCAAAGCCTTGCCAGATGCTTCCTCTGGGGTGCCTGAGACTCCACCATGCTGGCCTGTTCTGGTCCCCTGTTTCATTCAAGATTACCCCTCAGAGGGTGGAACAAGTGGCAGCCTTGTCTCCCTGTGCTCTGCCCTGTGCTGTCTCATTGCAAGTATTTCAACAGGCAAGTATCTGTGTTGAATCTAAGAGAGACAATGGCTTGCGAGCTAGCACATCTAGAAGTTAGTAAACTGCCCTTCCAGGGCTGAGGACACCCAGGGTCTGCAGGCACATCGGTGTGGTTAGTTGAACAAGGACTGGAAGGACAGGGTTCTAATGAGTCAGGGTGCTTGTTCAGCCCTGCTGAGCACAGGGGGCATGGCCAGCAGAGCTTCTACTTTTTTTTTCTTTCTTTTGCCAAGGAGCTATAGTCCCAGGAGGCTTCCTGCAGAAACAGTGCCCGGTGACGCACACAGGTTCCACTGTAGTGGGGGTCTAACTCTAAGCCAATCCCGAAGCAGGATTCTTACCTCCTGAGAAATGGTATAGTCTACCCGCCCCTACATGGGAAAGTAAATACAAATGCTTTTGTCCCCGAGACACACGCTCCTTTTTTATTCATAAGTGGATACTTGTGGGTCACCTCTTCAGGGTATGTTGTGTGTGTGTGTGTGTGTGTGTGTGTGTGTGTGTGCACGCGTGTTAGACTCACTGCCTTTGGTGTCCACAATATCAGACCACATTGGTCTTCCTAAGAGTCTATAAAAGAGGGGACTTTGATGGTTTTATGTCACATTATGAAATTTGTGTGGATTTCCCCATGGGTCTTTCATGAGCAAGCGGTATTAATATCAGGCTCTGTGAGGGTTGTGGAAGTCCACACAAGGACATACAGTCCAGCCTTCAGCTGTCTGGACTCCAAGCCTTGACATTGACTCCTCTGTTGCAGAAACAACTCCCAAGGGATCCAAGAGGGAGCTTTCACTTTTGCTTGGGGGAGCTCTGGATAGCCCAGGAGGGTGACACATATGTAGGATGTGCGGTATCCACCCAGGCAGGAAAGGCATCTAATCTTTCCAAGTACAGTGGTACCTGACCCTTTCTACTTAAGGGATGCTTACTGACTCCTAAGGTTGGCTTCTTTATCATCTGTTCTTCTAATATTTATGCAGAAAGAAGTAAAATGAGACCTAAACTCTCCAGACTCAGGACCCACCGGTTATCACACACCTCTGGCATGCAACATCAAACTGCCTTACAGCATATCTCTTCCTGAGCCAGAGGACCAACCAGAGCCGGGGACATGAGGTTCAGATCAGTACAGTTCAGAGTCTGCCAGCTCCAGCTGGGGACTGAGGCAGCTGACTCCTGACAGGGCATCTTGTCACCTTAGCAAGGGTAGAAACGGCACCATTCCACTTGAGGGAGTGATCCTTGGCTCAATCCTGGCTGACAGTCTGGTGTCTCCCTGTGGCTGTTTAATCTCGGCATGATGGCTAATTAACTTGCGAAGCCCTCTGGAAATCAGACCCAGATGGTCTGGCGTGCCTTTCTTTGCGGACCCTAAGTTGTGACCTCTTGAGAAGTAGCTGTCATTTGCCAGTACAGCTCAGCCTGGCTGATCGCATGCCTAGCTTGAGGCCCCCCTGGAAGGCTATCACCCATCTTTAGTATTTGTGCTGACTCCGTGCGTGCGTTAATGACCTTGACTCACACTGTAAGGACGAGACCCTGCCAAGCCTCAGTCATCGTAGAACTAGCACCGGGACTCTTCTGGGTTCTCCTTCAGGCTCCCTCCATGCTTGCTCCTGCTTTTCAGTCTGTGGATTTTAGCTGGCTCCCTGTCTCCCTTACTAGATTGTCAACACAAGGACGGAGATGGGTAGATCCATCCATGCCATCTCAGCTGAGTCCGCCCCCAGTGGACACAGATGTTTGCAGCCCTGTCCCAACCGGTGTTCAGCATCACGAAGTGTCCTACCTTGCCTTGCACTGGGCCTCGTTTTACTGGCACATGGTGCTGAGTATGGTATGTGCCCGGCACATACCAAGTGCTACCCAAGGCTGGTGAATGAATGAATGAATGAATGAATGAATGAACGAACGAACGAATCTCAAGACATATGCCTGAATAAATGGCAGTGTTCTTATGCCCAGCCCCCCTTTGTGGATTAGAGGGAGATGGTGGGCACACTTGAGGTAGAGGGTCAAAGATGGACCACATAGGGGTGTACAGGACACAGTCGAAGAGAAGTGGGGGACTTTGAGGCAAATGAACGCCGTCTTCCACAGCAGGGCCTATGCCCTCTCACACACCTCGACTCTATAGGGTCTGAGTTCAGAACGGTGTGCACGCTATTCATTACCTCATGTTCCCCAGACTCCAAGGACACAACGGTAGTTTTGCGTTTTGTTTTTGTTTTTGTTTTTTTTTTTCTGTGTGAACCGCTCACCCTGACTTGTTTGGAGGCTATCTGACCCCTGAAGTAATAACTCAATGACCCCCACAATTACCTTGTCCCCGACAAGCCCCACCTGTGGGCACTGTCCTGGTACCCACAGTGTCTTCTTTGGAGCAGCCCTGTAACGGTGGCCTGCCCTCTGGGTCTCTGTCTGATGGCTCTGATCTGGGGAGTCCTGGGGGCGGGGCAGTCTGGATCCTAGTGACTGAATGGCACTCTGCTCGCCCCGTGTTAACTGAAGGGACGCCGGCCACAGGAACGCATTCACTCAAGCCTGAGGGTTTCTGCACAGGGCTTGGAAAGTTGTCCCCCTACTCCTGCCTTCTGAGTGTCCTCCCTCCAAAGCTCTGCCACTCCTCAGTGTGCATGTGGGGGAAAGCCCAGCTTCATCTGATCCCACCTGCTTGCTCTTAGCCCCCACAGGCCACCTTCCCAGCATGCTCTGCGCAGAGCTGCCTTTTCACAAGCCAGCTGAGTCTGTGGAGTGCACAGCACCTGCTAATTTTGGATGCTGCCCACTGTTTGTGATGTGTCTTTGCAAAGGACACCCAGTGAGGTTTCTAAATGACTGTCTTGAGTTTCTACATTGGCCTGGCTGGCTGGGGTCCTTGGGACACCATGCCCCAGACTCTACTCTGGTTCTGTAGGGAGGGACTAGCTGGAGACTGGGGGATTTCATTGAAATCTCTGAGGAGTTTTCCACTTTGGGAACGGGAATGGCAGAGGGCCTCCTGTAGGAGGGTCCTCCGGGTGTTGTTATCTGTCATTTTCTAACCAGAAGCAAGCTTCTGGTTCCACCTAAGCATGGCCCTAGATTTCCTTGCTGTACACACACACACACGCACACACGCACACAGTGAAATTATATACAATATATTATTTCAAGGCACATGTATATTCTAATTCCAAACTGTGGGGAAACTGCACACATCCTCTGTCGTTTGAGCCCTCACCCCACCTCTCCTCTCCCTGCCTCCTTGAGTGTATTTGTTTTAGGCGGACTGTTTCAGGTGATACTTTCCACCGTGTATGTCCGCACACACGTGTTCCCTAGGAGTTACAACCTTCTTCCACAAGACTCTCTATTATCACTGTGGCCTAGAGCACTGAGCTCCTTGTGACATCATCTGTGTGCGGTGTGGGACTGGGTGTCTCACCCATTTCACAGATGAGAACATGGAGGCCTCCAGTGGTTAAAATGACGTGCCCAAGGCCAAAAAAAAAAAAAAAAAAAAAAAAAAAAAAAACAAAACAAAAAAAACAAAAAAAAAAACGGTTGCTTCTAGTTCTTTCTCCTTCAATCAGGGATCCCTTAAGGGTCAGACCTTGCTCTAATTTGCCACCACTCCCTTCTCTGTGTTAAACTCTTAACACGAGAGCCCTTTAATTTATTCTGGCAGGACCACAGCAGAGGTGGACAGCTCTGCTCTGCACTTGAGTAGCGGTCCACCATCTTAGGTCTCTGGCAACTGTAAGTGGCCTATAGCAGGGCTGCAGCTCTGGGTCCCTCCTGGGGTGATGCAAGAGAGCTTGTAAAAATCAAAGAAACTCTGGGAAGAAAAGCTGCAGGGAGCTATACTGGGCCTCCTTGGGCCCAGTGAGCTCAGGGACAGGCAAATTCACAGACCCATCTGCCTTTTAATTAGAAAGGGGGGGGGGTCCTGTAAGCCCTGGCCATTTGCAATCGTGCTGGCTCTATTCTCAAGTGCTTTGTAAAGGAATTAATAAGGCCCTTCTCTTCCCCATCGTCCTTGCAGAGAGAAGTCTGCTCTGTGGGTTAGTGAAAACAGGAACCTGCCCTCCTGCCAGCCCTGGGCTGTCCGTCGTCTTCCTTGTTTCAGCAGAGGAAGTGTGCAGCCCTTTAGCAACTGCAACCCTGTAGCCTGCTTGTTAACATGGGCTGTGCCTGTGCTCCCTTTCGAGCCCATGTGGCCCTCTCAGCCTGGAGCAGCAGCAGCTGATGACCCAGTGCCTGGTGGCTCTCTGCTACCGAATCCCAGGAGAGGCCATGCTCTGCGTCTGAAGGTATTTAGGGAACCTTGGCTGGGACAGGGGTGGGAGAGACTGTAGGAGCCCTCGGAAGTGCAGCTGTTAGGGCTGGGCTTCTGGTACCTAGAGAAGGACCCCTGAAACTGAGCAGGAAAAGGTCCTGCCTCCTAAAACCGTGACCTCTCAGAGGATGCTGAACAGCTACTTATGGGGGAAGCAGTGCTGTGGCTGGCGGGTGGGCAGCCTGTTTTCCTGCCAGGGGACTCAAGGCACCTAGGATGTGACAGTTGTATCGCCTTGAGCAACTCACCCTGGACAAGTCATTTAAACCACGATAGACCTCCATGTTCTCATCTATGGGATAGAACTAGTGTGGCTGGGTCACACAGGTGATGGCGGGATGAACTGATGTAGTACACACATAATGCCCAAGGTAGGTCCAGATGCACAGCAGGTGCTCAGGCAGGGCCCTCAGCCAGTCATTGTGTCTAAAGGTACAGAGGACCTTGAATGACAGTAGTAGTGGAGGCTGGTAGCTGGAATCTTCCCGGGGAAAGTGGCACAGATAACTGCCAATTATCTAAGTAGGAAGCAGGCAGATGGCAGAGGCAGAGCTAAAGAGAAGGCCAACATGCAATGCATATAAATTCTGAAATCGTAAAATGTTATAAATGAAAGAAGTGTGGCAAACTCAGAATTTCCTAAGAAATGTGGCAGGCTGCATGGTAAGTGTGTGCCTGAATTTTGAGAGAAACTGTTGTCAGAGAAAAAAAAAAATGGGCTGTAGCCTCAGAGTGGCCTGCCTGGGGCTGTGTCTGGGATATGAACAGATAGATGTTGGCTATGCAGAGTGACCACGAAGGATATAATAATACATTACTGTCATTCAACGATCAGAACACTCTGAGTGTACAGTTGCTCTTTGCTTTTGACTGATGAAGAAAACAAGTCTCGGAGAGTTTGGCCCACTTACTCAAGTCACCCAGCCCATAAGGAAATAAATACAAGCAATTAGGAGCCCCAAGGGTCTAGAGATGGGAAGGAAGAGCCTTGGTGAGTATGAAGGACTAAGGACAAAGGTCTCTGTTGACAGCAGAGGTTTTGTGTTAGGGAACAGATATCCCATAGCCTGCAGATTGTTGTTCTGGGGGTTGCTAGAAGACACTGAGTTGCAAGTCACTTCAACAGCTGTGCTGGGATGGGAGAGATGAGCACTTGGGCAACTTCTGTTGTAACTGATATTTTCCAGTTAACAGATGCTATGCAAGGTGCTCAGAACACTCTAGAAGTGTAATGATAACTTGTGGGTAGACAATACTGAAATCTACTTAGATATCTGACATTTAAACTGCTTTAGGATTGGAGTGCCTAGGGAGGCACTCCAGATCTGCCACCAAGTGTGACTCGGGGCAAATTACTTTGCCTCTCTGAATGTATGCTTATTGTTTCATTTTCTATCAGAAGAAGCCTAACTTCTGTGGTGTTTATAAGAAGTGCACGTTATGTGTAAAATGTGGGGAATGCTTAACGCCAACACTATTTCTGAGTCAGACAAAGTCTGCCTAATCACACAGGTATGGATAGCAGAAAACTTCTAGCAGTATTTGGTACAACAGAGGCAAATTACAAGACAAGATGCAGATCTCTCTCTCTCTCTTTCTCTCTCCCCCCTCTCTCCATCCTTTATCCATCCATCCTCCATCTATCCATCCATCCATCCAAACCAATGATTTTATTTAGCTATAAAGAATACTGAAATTAGGCTGTTTTCAGGAAAATGGACATTGTAATCATCATAGTAAGCAAAATAAGCTAGATTCAGAAACACAATTATTACATTTCCTCCCTTATGTGGAACCTAGACACACCATCTCCTCTCTCTCTCTCTCTCTCTCTCTCTCTCTCTCACACACACACACACACACACACACACACACACACACACACACACACGCACGCACGCACACGCACACACATGCATACATATATGCAGACCATGAAGGTAGAGGGGACAATAAACGAGGAAAGGGAAAGTAAGGGGCTAAAGACAGTAGAAAGCTTAGGAGAGAGTAATGGGGCTCATATGGTCAAAGCACATGCTATACTTCAATGGATGCCGTATGAACCAACCACACGGTACAATAAATATACTCTGATGAACTTTTTTCAATTTCACAGACTGTTGACTTCATTTGTGCGGAGCCCGCTGGTACTTACTGCTGGGAGGCTCATTGGGCCCACATATCCAGAGATGTAAACCAGGAAGCCAGCACTAGGGCATAGCATGACATTTTACACCACAGAGGTTGTCAAACATTCCAAACTAGAGACTTTCTCAGCACTGATTGCTAAATGACAGCAAGGTCACTGCACAGGACTCTGTGTGGTACACGGTGGCTTCGGTTTTATCTGATCTCCCTGAGGACTGGGCTCTGGGTTTGAGAGGGGAAGAAATGGCACACAAATCAACCAGAAATAGACAGTTGTGACCCCAACACTTGGCCACCAGCTTAGAGTCAGAGTCCAGCCCATGGCAGTGCTCAGAGTGCTTCCCTAACTGTGACAACTGCCCTGGCCCTTGTGGGACAGCAGCTTCCCAAGTCCTACTGGACCTGAGAACCTAGCTACACTGATTAGCAAGGAAGGGACTATCATCTGTGTGTGTTACACTGGGCAGAGTTCAGATTTCTATCTCGCTGATAGGTTTGTGAGTAATATCGGTGACTCACACATATGAACAAACAACAAAAGGAACTTCTGCTGGGAAACATGACATCATTAAGAAATCACAGCCTTGCTGGTTTGGGGCTCCGGGTCCTTGAGTACATATCAGCATCTCTCTGGAAGTTTCTCTCAGCCTCCACCTATAACTGTACCTACATTTCACAAGGACCTGTGTGAGATAAGAAGCAACTTGACTTGATCTGCTTTGCATACGGAGGTCCCGGGGAAACTTCCTTCAAAATAATACGTTCAAACAGAGGGGTTTGGACCGTCTTAGACTAGGCATGTCTAATCTTTCCCATTTTGCTCCTGTCTATAAAATTGATGCTCATGCAATCAGGTTACACACACACACACAAAAGTTTCATAATGTTTTAGGTAAGTTTTTGTCACATTTATAGCTACCCTTGGCCTCCTGCCGCCCACTGAGGTGGGCTGACTTCTCTGGGATGACTCCCAGCAGGCTCTTCACACTCTGGGTGTGAGTCAGGCGTAAGATGGTTGCAGCAGGAGGTACGGTGTCTGAGTAGGTCTTTACTCGGTCCTAGAAAAGGGAATGGGCAGCAGGACGGGACGGGACGGGACAGATGGGAAAGGATGGGAGGGGTACCACGGAAGGCTGTCCCGGAAGCCCCGTGCCCATTCAGGGAGAAACACCTGCCTATTGAAGCCAGGATGTGGTATGGGACCCAGGAGACCCTGCCAGGGTCTCAGTGGTGCCTGGAACTGCCCCCGTGACAACTCTTATTTTCCCTGAAGCAAGTTGTCAGACCTAAGCATCACCGAACAAGTTTCAAGCGGACGTGGAATCATAGGGGCCAGTCATGCCTTGCGGGGAGGGATGGGGTACAGCCCAGAAAGGGCAAGCGATTTATTTATTTGCACAGCTGGTATGGTAGGTGGGTTAGTTAATGACTGACACCACAGAGAGCTTGCCCCTGTGGGCTACTATTTACCAAACACACCCCTGCTTTACTAATGCATAGCAATTGAATTCCCCAAACACAACCCTGCAGAGCACACATTTCCATCTTAAACTGGTAGAAAAGAACAGACTGTAGAGATCCAGAGGTGACTGGAGGGTACACAGCCAGCAAGTGGGGAGCGGAGACACCAACTGACTCTAACCCTGCCCTGCAGGCCCGCCTGTGGAGGTCTCTGAGTCTTGCCCAGCCTTGGAGACTCCTAGGCAAGTTTCACGGGCTCCTGTGATAGACTCGTGGGTGCATATGCTACTACGTTCTTATGAAGTTGATCACAGAGGTAAACGCCTGTCTCCCCAGCACTTCAGAGGCTCGGGCAAAGGATGGAGTGTTCCAGGCCAGCCTGAGCTGTGTTGTAAGACCATAAATATGTAATGAATGTATGATACCTCAGCGCGTCCACCAGTTTCTCTTCCATTCTGACCTATGGTGTTACAGTTGTGAGTGCTAGCAAGCCTGGAACCATCTTTACCCCACCCCCAAGGCTGCCTTGAAATAGCAGCAGGCCTTTACAAACCTGCCTCCTGCCCCTCCTCCTTCCCACCCTGGGTTTCCAGGCCTAGGCTTCCAGTCAGGGCTGTGTTCTCCAACTGGCCCCTCGGCCTTCCTGCCCCTTGGTTCCCCTTCCCCTCAAAGTTCACGACTGCCAAATTTAGCTGCCAAATTTGGTTGGGTGACTTTGAAGAATCCCTTTGGTGTTGTCTTCTCAGACCAGGAAGGGGGTGGGTGGGTAGGAGGCCAGGACAAGTTGTCAGAGGTGAGGAGAGCGTGGGCTTTGGGGACAGGTGTACCAGCTTTGACCTCCGCATCACCTCCGCCTGGCTCTGAAACCTCAGCTCTCAGCTAGCTCGGCCTGGGTACACAGTCAGCCACAGTCAGTTGTTGCCTAGCCCCGTGTTGCAAGACAGAACCTGATGTGGGGGTGGCTGTTTTGTGTGTCACTGTTGTGGTTAGTGGTGCCATATTTAGTGGACACTGAGGCTCCTGACTAGTGGTCTCTGGCTCCCAAACCTTAGAAGATGGTTACAGGGGTGAGTTTTTAGCTGTCATGTTGTAATAGGTTTTACATCCATGCCTGCTGTGGCCAAGGCTGGTGCCTATGTGTCCCCAAGGGTGGACCCTGCTTCACCCCTGGCTGAAGTTCCTGTTGTCGTCTCTCTGTGGTGTTCTGAAAATTGCACAGATACCCTTCCTCACACTCTCTCCAGTGGAATTTTGTAAAAATGATGATGGCTCTTTTCTCTTATTAATAGTCTTCCGAGAGCCAGGGAGTCCTGATTGCTAGAATGAAGTGTGTGTGTGATTGGGTGGGGGGGGCAGGGGTAAAAAGTGACTCTCCAGATATCTCATTTTATCAAAAGTGGAAACCGAGGCTAAAGGCCACACAGACAAATAGCTTTAGCTCTGGGCTGAAGGGACGAGAAGGTGAGTAGCTGTCACTGTCCTTTCCACCTGGGCAGGAGGAGGAGGCCACACTCAGAGAAGGGTAAAGAGGTCAGGGATAGGCGGGGCCAGTGTTAATTAACTGAGCTCTCTCCTGCCCTTTCCTTAATGTTCCTAGAAGCAATTAGTGTCTTGCACCTTCCCTCCGCCTAACTGTCACAGATTAAATCAAATTGTTCGGTTATTTCCTCGGGGAGGCCCCAGTCCCCCTGCTTCTGGGCATCGCCACTCTGCTCAAATAAAAGCCTTTAAATGGTGACTTAACCCCTTCCTGGAGGTGCAGAGAGGTGGTGAGTGTACAAAGGCTGTGGTGTGCTCTTGAGGTACCAGGACTCCTGGTGGCTCAAGGAGCTCTTCAGGTCTTTTGTCAGGAGGAGGTAAGAGGGGATGGCTTGTGGGAACCTGGGGAGCCAGGTAAGATCAGGAGGCCCGGGCCTAGGGAGGGCCAGATGGATCATGTGCCCTCATTAGCTCTGCCTTTGCCCCTCTGGTGTGCATCCCAGTTTTCCTACATGAAGAAAATGTAAGCTTCCAATGCTCCTCCCTCCCTCCCTCCCCTCCATCTTCCCTTTCTCTTCCTCTTCTCTCTCCCTCCCTTCCTTCCCCCTTCCATCCCTCCCTCCCTGTCCCTTTCCTCCCTCCCCTTCCTCCCTCCCTCCCTCCTCCTCCCTCCCTCTGCCTCTCTCTCCTCCTCTCTCTGAGTGTTAGGAACATAGGCTCCTCAAACTGTTGAAAGGTGCTGGGAAGAATTTGAAGGGCAGCACACCACACGTGCTGTGTCTGGTCAAGAGGTCCTGCCTTCAAGGATAGATGTGGGTTGGAAGCCCCAGAGTGGCCCACGGCTTAGGCAGGGGAGAGGGGCTAAGTCATCACCCGTCCTGTATTTAAAAACACTTTACAGAGTACTGCCACCCAGTCACCATTCATATGTCCTTGCTTCTCAGTAGATGAGGGGCTCCACCACCTGCTTCCCTTCCTCTGAAATCAGGAAGTAGTGTGAACCTCCCTCTGCCTCCTCTCAGAGGCCTTGTCCTCGGAGCATGGCTCTTTCTAGAATTTGTGCACACAGGATTTGAGATTTTAAGCTCAGCAGTGGCTCAACAGCCATGCACGCTCAGTCGAAGTTGGACTTTGGATTTTGAGTTCTGATGTTATTTCTCTCCCCCAGGCTCACACCCCTCGATGATGTGCATCAGGAAAGACCCCTTGCCCACAGGGTGCTGTGTTGATGAGCTTCCTGGTCTGGGCTTGGTGCACTGATACGATTTAGGCTTGTGATACTCTCAGCACATGCGGGGTTTGGGAGGAGCTGTCCCTGTGGCTAGTGGCTGGCTGCATACACAGAGTATAGATATGTGATCTGAAGCCAGGGTCTAGGGAACGTACCCTGCTTCAAACTCATGAGCTCTTGGCCCAAGCGGTGTACTTACAACAAGTAGAACACGTTTCCTGTTGGCGTATGTGTTTCCTGAAGCAGGAACCACTCTGTCCATACTTACGGCAACCTTCTCTGTGCCTCCCTAAGACTCTTCTCTCTTCCAAATACTTGTACAGAATCTCTGGATTTGAACGCTTGTCTATTGTCTATGTAATTATCGCCGGTCAGGCCATGTACTGTGTTTCCCTGGCTTTATATCAGTTTTGTAGCAACTACCCAAAGCTGCTCTATAAACCCCTACAGCAGGCAAGAAAGTGTTAAGAGCTTGCCAGAGGTTACTGGTTCTTAAGTGAGAGCCACAACATTGTAGTCTGTAGTCCGTGTGGGGCTCCAGGAGCCCATTGCGAGGTAACTGCTCCTTTACCTGTGTGTGGCTTAGGTTCACTTATTTACCCGCCTTTGAGTCTGATTCCTTAAGGACACGGGGCTTTGCCGCCATCAAGGCTATTGTGGAGGTGAGTGTGTTTAGTAGTGTGGAAAGCATCCACATAAAGCACACACCAGCCAAGTAAAAGGTACAGTCACGAAGTTGGCCTTGGCCACCCTTTGTTAATGCAGGTGTGGAAATTTAAACAGTTAAGAACCAGTCAAGTCAAAACGCCCCCAGCCTGGAGTGGCCCTGCGCCTTCAGGCTGTGGAGCCCTTCACTACCAAGTGTGATGTGTCTGAATTCCTGGGCTGAGAGAGCTGCTGGCTAGCATCCCCGAGCGCAGCTTCTTCGGGGCTACCTAGAACACTGCTCAGCTTCTCCAGCAGCCCTGCTCTGCACAGCGGTGGTGTGGAGGAATGGAAACTTTTGCCACCAACAGCAGTTGCTAGCAACTTCCTCCTCCGTGGTTTTTCTCTGTCATCCCCTTGATAAAAGAACTCGCAATGTGCCTCTGTAAACCAACACTCCTGCATCACGTCTTGACATAAAAACAGCCGCCTTTCAAGAAGCAGGCTGCCTGAGAAATGATGCACCATGAGCTCTGAACTAGGTCACTCGCCACTCAGGGATCTCTGGGTGTGCTTCATTCTACGTGTGTGTCTCTCCTACTGCAGGCTTCCTGTACCTTCCGCAGCCCCAAGAGACACAGAGATGGGAAACAACATGAAATCCACTCCTCCGCCTTTGGAGAGGCCAATACCCAGCACCGAGGGTAAGTTTGACTTCTCCGGAGAGCTATTTAACTCAGTTCTGCAGCAGCCCGCTGCAAAGCCTGCACGGTGGTAGACAGTGGGGCCTGTTGGAAAGGGGCCATGGGCACTGATGCTCTGTTATTCCAGCCCTTCACTTTGTGGCTCAAATTTCTAATGACCAACATTTGCGACAGTTGGATTCTTGGCAGTTCGAAAGTGTTGCCGTTTTAAGAGAGAACTCTGAGATAAGTGGGCTCCATAGTTTTATGGTTGGCAAAACCAAGTCTCACAAAGGGAATGCAGGCCATATCGATAAAGAAATCTCCTGTCTAGTGAAGGCTGCAATAGACCAGAACTCGAACTGTAGGGGAGAGGCCCGGGCTGCGGGTTAATCAGGGTGGCCAAGTTCAGCTAGGTGTCAAGAAGCCAGGTTGCACCAAGCTTCCAGAGCTTCAAAGGGTGGAGGGGATATAAGCAAGCAGAAGGCAAGGCTGGTCATCGGATCTACTGAGTCCTAGGGTCATATGTGTGTCCCATCTAACACCCTCAGGCCAGTGAGAGGTGCTATGGGAGAGGCCCGGTAGGAGCTGGAAGGGAGGTAACCAACCGTGTTTGCAAGGGGGATATAAGACTGCTTCCTCCTCCCACCTCCCAGCATCGCCCTAAAGATCTCATTAATCTCCTAGAAGAGATGACACTATCTCTCCCTGTGCCCTGAAGCACTGCATCGGGCACCGTTCATAGAGAAAACCATCCTGCTTGCTGATCGAGGGCTTCACACGAAATGTGCTGCCCTGTCTTGGCCATTATTCTTTCCATGGCACCTGTGGGCCCTTAACAGAGGGGCTGCTTACCTTCCCCGAAGCAGAGCAAGAAGCTGCCTGTACTATATATATATAGCCTGATGGCTGTTCAGACACTAGCAGTGATCAGGGGTAGAGCCTTCCCCTATAGACTTTCAGATCAGCTGCAGGGGACACTCCTGGGGACTCTAGATTTTCAGCACTAGCGCTTCCCTTTCTAAAAGAGAGGGGACAGAGGAGTAAACAGCAAGCCTGGTCACAGGCCTGCAAAGGTACGGTGGGGTGGACAGAGTATTTGTCTTCTACCTCCCACAACACAGCTCAGGGTGGGCTGCCCATGCACAGTGACCCAACTTGTCTCCCTCCAACCCTCCCACTCCTGGCTGTCCATGCATCAGAGAATGGGCAGTAAATGTGACTTCCTCCAAATCCATTGCTCAGGTGCTACTTCTCAGCCTGGGACAGACAGAAGGGCCTGAATGCTTGAGCAAGCCTCATGAAAACATCAACCTCTAAGGACTTGCCTGTTTGTCTTTATTTTTTTTTTAATGCAGATTGCTATGGAGTAATTTGTTTTTTCCTCTCTTTTCCCCCCACCGTGTGGGTAGGAGGTCACCTCTGAGGAGGAGGTTCAGGGGTCTCCCCTCAGGCTACTGGTTAGAATTCCCCAGGCCTAAACCAGGGTGTAATCCAGATAGTCACATCCAGTATTTGATTGGCTGCTTTACTGGCCCGCCCTGGAGCTTCCTCTATTGTCAAGCCTGACTTGATTTCCTCTTTTTCACGTATCTATTTGAATAAGGGAGAAGGCACCAGCTTGCTGCTCTTCTAGTAGGCTGTGCCTGAATTGCTGAGGCTGCAGGCCAGCCTGGGGCTGTTGCTTCCTCTCATGGCCTGGGACAAATGTCTCAGGGCAGGAAAGCCCCTGGTGCTGCCCTAGGGAGCTCAAGACTCAAGGGTTCTCTTGGCCTTTGGAAGCTCTTTCTTTCACTTCTTTCATCATACCAGGACAGTGAATGCCTGGGCATGCGGCTTTATGGTCTGTTTTCTTTTAAAATAAGCTTTCTAGAATATTCCTCATCTGTGTGACTCCCAGGAGCTAGCATCATAAAGAGATGGTCAGATTTGGTAGGAATAATATGCATTTCAGAGGCAAAAGGACCCCGTGGTGTCCTTTAGAAACGGTGTGGCCTTGGGGAAGTCCCCAGCCTTCCATCACGGATTCAGCCATGATCCCTTCCCACCACAGTAGAGCAAAGAGCAGTGACCTGATACTGGGGGTGGGGTGGGGGTGGGGACACTTTCAGATCTACTTGAGGTCAGCTACCTCAGGAGGCTATTATGGCCATTACTCAAGCCTGAGCTTCCCTCAAGTGTGAGCATCATCCCTCAAGGGTGGACATCCCTCAAGTGTGAAGTCCCCTCAAGTCTGACCGCCCCTGGAGCCTGAGCTTCCCTATAGTGGGAACAACCCTCAAGGGCCAACATCCCTCGCACTCGTAAAAGCAGTGGAACTGGGAACCCTGGGAACTTCTTCACAGAGTTGCAAATAGTTGAAATTTCCCAGTCCATGCAAACTTCAGACACCTCCCCTGGGCCACATTCATACAGCACAGAGTTAATTAAGAACCAGGGGCCTGGGGGAGGGGGGGACCGCCCAGGATGTTGGGGAAATACATATTTCCACTCGATAAAGACAACTCTGCTGTGATAATCCCCTCCCCCGTTTCTTCCCTTCACATCACTGTGACCTAAGGTGACATCTCACGTCAGAGTTCACCACGCAAACCAGCCCTGCTCAGAACCCTGCCCCACTGTGCTGGGTTGGAAATCACACCCGCCCCGCAGGCATTTACATTGCTGATATCATGAAAATGAAAGGGGGCAGGGAGAGCTGATCAATGCAAGAGGAGGAAGGAAGCAGAGAAATGTCAAGACCCAGCAGAACTGTAATGGCGGGTGGAAGGTGCGTAGCTGTATTTCCTACCGGGTCTGAAGGTATTCCGCCCCTAAGGCTGGCAGATCCCAGGATAGCCCCGACTCTGCACCTAATACACGTGAAAAGGTGAATGACCAGCTCATTGTAGCGTCTCTCAGTTCTCAGTTTGGTGCCTGAGCTGTGCCCCACGAAGTTCTGAGTGCTTTACCCGTGCAACGGGAGCCATCGCACCTACATATGCATCTCCCACAAGAAGAGCGTCCCGCATGTAAACTCCTTCAGAGAGACTCAGTTCTTACAAACAGCCCAACCACATCAACACTACCAGCCCCTTCAATATGTAGCTGAGAAACTGAGGCCCGGAAGGGTTAGGTGAACTCCCCTAAAACCCTCCAGCTTATCAGGCAGAAGACAGAGAGTAGTGTCTGGTCCATCACACTCCAGAGCAGAGAGAGTGTGTTCCAAGAGAGGATGTGCCTAGAGTGAGGAACTATGCCTGGTCATCAGATTCAATGACACAGACATTCCTGTGCCATTGTGAGAGATCCCATAGAGGAAGCACCAGTCGTCAGATCCTGGCCTAGGCCTTCGTTTCTGAGACACTAACCCACTCCTGGAGCACGGGTGACTTTAGGAGGAAGTGGATTTAACTCTGGAGTCACTTTACACTCAATGAGTCTCATAAGATACAAGCAAGTGCCCTATCTAATCCACGGCCGTAGATAACAGGACCCACAAACCCGGCTCCCATCCATCAGCAGAACCCAGTAGGCTCTTCCTCTGTGCCCACCCGCGGTTCCGTCTGATTGGCTATGTTCATGTGTTCATGCTTCCTGACAAAGCCACTGAGAGCCAGGCCCAAGGGTGACCTTGCAGGAGCCACTGAAATCGGAGATGACTCAGAGAGAGAGGGGGGGGAGAGAGAGAGAGAGAGAGAGAGAGAGAGAGAGAGAGAGAGAGAGAGAGAGAGCGCAAACGGGAAAGCAGAAGTTGAAATAACTCGGCCATTTAGCCCTGCACCCGCCAGCCACGTGCACTTTCTCACTGGAAGATGGAGTGACGATCAAAAAGAGCCGGACGCAGGTGCAAACAGGGCTCCATGAAGCGACCATAGATGTTCGGGGTCATCCTGCTGCCTGGGCATGTCACTAATCCTCTCCAGCTTTGCCTTCCCCATCCTCCACGTGGGGGTGGCCTGTGAGGTTGGGTAGAACATGCGAAGGAAGGGCTAGCTGCAGCTTTTGCTACAGCCACCGGTAGGCCTGCTGAGTGGGTGCCAGCATTAGAAAAGAAGCTGTCGGGACATGCTAAATTGCAATTATGCCTCAAGGGCCTGTTCTGCGTGGACCAGGTAACGTGTATGTCCACTGAGCCCTGCCTGGGCTCCTTTCTCCTCTGGCTTCCTTCCTCACAGAACACATTTCTGTATTTTGTTTCCCATCCCTACTCACTTCTCAGGCATTAGCAAATATTTGCTATTCCGAATTTCCTTTTCTCTTCTTACCAAGTGGAGTTTGTGTCTAGATGAACCAAAGGTAGTAAGATAGCCTCATGTTGGCATTCCTGGGTAGCGTGTACACTGACATGGTCAGGCTGGAACTGGTTTTGATTGTGAAAGGGTGGGTACGCTTGCCCTGTGTGGGAATGACCCATGAGTTCCTGAGACCAGCCTTGCACAATCCACTACAAGGCAAGGTTTTGATATTTCCCATTTTTATATGGGAAGAAGTCAAGCTCTGATTTTTTTTTTTAAAGCCTTTCTTCAGATTACAGAGCTCTGAAGTGGAGGCATGTGGGTCAGCCCAGCCAATTCCAAATGCTCTGGGCTTCTCATGGCCAGCACACATTTGTTCTGTGGATCTAAGTCCTGATACTCCTCCTCCTTCCTTAGCTCCTCTCCTTCCAGCCACACATTATTTGGTTGGATCGAAATGTTCAACTCTCTGGAAAAGGATTCAAAGTCCTAATGGGTCTATACCCCCTCTCATTTTGTTTCCAGAAGTCTAGATGCTACGTGTGCATGTCTGCCCAAACAAGTAGCTTAAACTTAGGTCAAAATGTCTACAGCATTTTGTGAAGAAAAAAAAAAATCAGTTCTTTTTTAAAAATAAAAAATAAAGCCAGGACTCTGAGAAGGCTTGGAGATGTCTCGAAGAGAAAACACATACTCTACCCCTGGTTTTTATTTCCCTGTAGGGACCAGAGCTCAGGGAAGACAGAGGGAGCCTGCAATTGAATTTCTCACAGTGGCCAGACCGTTGTCCCTGGAGGTCTATGTCAGGCTGTGGCTTGTCCTTTGGTGTTCTGTTTCTGGTGATAAGGGGATGGAGACACATATGGCATGCCCCAGAGAACCCTTAGGCGGACAAATGCAAGGCTGTCGTGGTGATAGTTCTCCGCCATTACTGTGAAAACATTGCTGTGAAGGAAACTCCTTGAGAATCTGCTTTTGCTACCACGGAACTGTAGCAGCCGTGAGCCCCCCATGCCCACCCCCACCCCCTACTGGAACTCTCCTATTCACAGTGGGCTTCTCTGTTTTGTTTGTTTCTGTTCCGTTTCGTCACAGACATTTTAAAAGATGGCTTTGTGATGTTCCACAGTTTTAGCTTTGAGCGTGCAGTGTGAATACCTCAAACCACAAACACCTTGGTGGGCATAGGCTCTCTTTCAAGGTTCTATTTTTGTCATGGATGACATATTCTAGGAGTCATTTCAACCCTGTTTTTCATAAGCGGACATACCAATCAGTACTTCTCTGCCTAGAATACTCCGGAGACCTAGCACAGAGGACTCCGTAAAAGAGGGCTGTTGTTTCCCACACCCATGCCTGTAGTATTCTTTAAGTGGCAGATTCTGGGCAGGCAGTACCCCAGGGATGCATGACACTAAATACCCTGTGCTCGGTCCTCTCTGAGCTCACAGCCAGGTAATGGTATTCCTCTGACAGCCACACAGATACGCCAGGGCAACTCTGAGACACTGCTCCAAAGCACCGCCTCTGGTGGAAGGGGGCAGAGCATCACACCATTTCTATAGGCTGCAGTTGCTGAGGGGTAGTAGGAGTGGAGAGGGCCGATGTGACTGGACAGGGGGACACAGAGGGTGGGGCTGGGGTATGAGAAGCAAGACAAGCCTGAGAAAGCCTGGTGGGCGTGGGCACGAAAGTGGCAAACCATCAGGTCTCCAGACTCTGCATCCCCAGCCCTGGCGGCTGGGTAGCTCTCAGGGAAGATTTATCCAACTCCCCTGTCACCCCGCCCCCTTGCCCAGTCTTCCCCATCGACCTGTGGCTCATTCTGGGCTTGCACGTTCTTCTGCTTACAGGTAATCTCCAAGTCTGTACAAGCTTCATGCCCCAGAGGATGGGGCTCTAGCCCCTTAGTAGGATTCAGGACCTCTGGCTTCAACTCAGACCAACTTGAGGGCTGCTTCTAATTTCTGGGGTGGTATCTGGGTCACAAAGAGAAGAAGTTTCTAAAAATAAATTTGCTAGGGCAGAGTGTGGGGGACATTCACCCACAGGCTCAGGCCGGCAGTCTCTCTGAGCCAACCTGGCAGAGCTGTCTCTTGGGAGCCCTCACTCTTCTCCAGTGACTCATTGGGGACACCCACTTTTAGTTTCCTCTCGCAAACATTTTCATAGCTTATTGGCCATGACTCAGTTTCCCCAAGTGAACAACGCATCTGCATGTACTGTTCCACCACCATAACTGATCACCCATTCATTCACCAGTTGGCGGTTGGTTAGTCCCTTTCCTGGAAGCTTCCTTCATCTCACTCACTCAGCCTTGTGTTCAATCTTTCTTTTGGTCTGTGGGGCAGATTGAGAAGTTGGCCTGTCGGGACCTCCAGACTGTGAGAGGTCAGACGACGCAGCGCTTAGCTGAGTATCGGGGTCCCATTGAACTTCCCGTGGTCAGGCACAGGCTGTGGCACATGTGATCCCGATCTAGAATGTGGCCTCTTACAAAGCAGGATGAAGGGGGCTCAATGAAGAGTATAAGATATCACTCGGAAGTGTGGACTCTGATGCCCAGCTAGCAGACACAGTGGTAATTATGTTTGGTGCTGTGTAAGTATGCTGTTTCCCTTGAATGAACCCCAACACCAACCTGCATGGATGTGTATGAGTTATGGAAACTCACTGAGGTTGGAAACAAACGCTGCTTGGCATCAGGGAGGAGATTCGTATCTTATCACTGCATCTCTGTAACCAGCTGGGCTCACATGAACCATAGAGCATGTACACTTCCCTTTGCAAGATGCCATTAGAGTTTCATACACATGTGAGCTCTTATTAGGGGGAGGCAGATTTCATGTCTCAGCTGTCAAGTTAAGGAGTTGAAATGTCAATGTGCCTACACCAGAAAGCATGGGTGTTCTACTCACCATGGGCCATGTCACTTAACATCCCTGCCGACTAGACGCCTGACATAGTGCCCTCCCCTCCGAGTAAAAGGGGCTGTTAAGCCACAGAGCCGAGCCTGCTGGGCCTGGAGGAGACTCCCAGTTGATTAACCCGACCCTCTTCCACAAGTACCACAGATGTGGGACCCACAGGGCCTAGGGAGGGCACCTGGAAATATAGCGTTAAGGAATTTTTAAAATCACAATTACACACGTATGTGGCATATTTTGATCAGTTCCACCCCTATTACTCCTCACTGTCCTGTCTCCTCTCTGACACCTTCTTTCTAACTAGGCCCTCTCTTGTTTGTTTGCTTGTGTGAGCATACACGGGGGAATGTTTATTGGAGTTTGGGCAACTTCTCAGTGGCCACACCATTGAGGGGAATGGCTCCCCCTCCTCAGCATCCCACTAACTGCCTCAAGGAGTAGCAGGGCCATGCGAACCCCTCTGGGAAGGAGCTTTTTACACAGCCTTCTGGGGCAGGCGTTCTTTCTTCTGTCAACCCATTTTCAAGATGCAAACACCGAGGCTCGTACACACAGGGCAGATCCTGGAATCAGGCCAGATGGTGTGGCTCTAGCTTCTAGGTCTCTGGAGCCGAGTTTTCAGATGGGAACACTGTGGCCAAGGTGCACCTGTACTAAGAGCACCTTCTGTAGCTGTCAGAAGCCCGAAGGCCTGTCTGAAGGCCATCTCTTAAGGCCTGGGACCCTCCTGGGTGGATGGGAGCAGAGTTTCACAAGTACAAGCTAGGTGTTTCCAGAGCGGCAGTTCTCAACCTTCCTAATGCTAGGACACTTACACGTGGTTCCTCTCGTCGTGGTGAGCACACCAACCATAAAATTACTTCATTGCTACTTCATAACTGTAGTTTTGGTCTTGTTATGACTTGTAACATAAAAACCAGATATGTGGGATGTCGGACGTGGGACCCCCAAACAGGTTGGGACCCACACAGATTAGAACTACTGCTCCTGAGGAAGACCCCAGCAGCTTCCTCTCCCTTTATTCTCAGTCAGTCAAAACCCCTCCGCTTTGCTTCCTAGGACTTGAGAGCGACTTCCTGGCTGTGCTGAATGACTACCCGTCTCCTGACATCAGCCCCCCGATATTCCGGAGAGGGGAGAAACTGCGCGTTATCTCTGAGTGAGTGAGCCTCTTAAAACATGCCAATCCCCCAAGCATGACTAACCACATCAGGTTTTCCATATGATCAGTTGTCCAGTTCTACCCGGGTCCTGGTCCCATTGCGACCTGCCCTTTAAGTACTCCCAGGGCTCTGAAACCGCCAACTACATCTAAACTCCTTCCGGTTTGAGCTCCTTTATGACCAATCCTGCTTCCCCAGCTGAGCCCATCGGTCTCAGAATATGCAGGGTGATGTTACTCACTAGGGTATGCTGGGATGGAGAAGCAGGGTCCAGAACCACTGCGGGCGCATGAGAACAGCCCCCTCCCTCCCTGCCAGCATCTTCACGTACGATTCTGAACAGCCTGTGGCGCAAACTCGTCCTTTGGCTTAGCATCTCATTCATCGAGACATGCAAACGGATGTTTGTTTGGTTATACTTGAGAGAGTAAACCAGTACAGGAAACTTTTGTTTTTGAAACTCTCCAGTCGTGCATATCAGCCGAGGAAATGAACAGCTGGTCCCCCAGGGATGGCAATGTCAGCCTTGTGAGCAGGTTCCCCAGGAGACTTTCAGTGAGGGATGTCTGCTGGCTATACAGGCTTTAGAAACTAAACTTTTAGGCTGGGGATACACCACTATTGGTAAAATTCTGGCCGTGTGCACACGAGGACCCGAATAAAAAAGCTGGGCCTGAGCGCATACACCTGGGACCTCAGTGCTGAGGAGGGAAGGATGGGCCTTGCTGGCCAGCCAGTCTCGCCTACTTAGCAACTTCCGAGAGAGAGGGAGAGGGAGAGGGAGAGGGAGAGGGAGAGAGAGGGAGGGGGAGAGAGAGACCCTGCCTCTAAAAACAAGGCTGGGAACAGCCAGGCAGCTCTGCATAGAAAGGTGCTTGCTGTACAAGGCTGACAGCCAGAGTTCGATCCCTCAGACCCATGTAAAGGTAAAAGGAGAGAAATAACTACACAGAGCTGTCTTCTTATTTCTACATGCATGCTGTGGGAATCCCATGTTCCCATCCCCCACATCATTCTCACACACACACACACACACACACACACTCTCTCTCTCTCTCTCACACACACACACAGAGAACACATACCATAAGGTGAAGAAAATAAAACAACGTGGTCAGTACCCCTGGCCCCCACATGCACACAAATGGCACACACAGCATGCCATGACACACATAAGTACACAAACACACAAACATACACGGAACCTAAAATTTTAATTGGAGAAACGCGGGTCTGAGCAGCGATGACAGAATTTGAAAGAGAGATGTCCCGTTGCCGTGAGAGAGTTGGGTGAGCATATCTTAGGTCTTGCCGCTTGCCCATGTACATTCCCCTCTCTGCTTTATCCTGACAGCGAAGGAGGCTGGTGGAAAGCCATTTCTCTCAGCACTGGCCGGGAAAGTTACATTCCAGGAATGTGCGTGGCCAGAGTGTATCATGGGTAAGTCTGTGTCTAAACGGCATCATTCACTTGTGACGCGTGTGGATGACTGAGGCAATAAAGAGGCGCTCCAGCACTGTACAGCAGAAGGGAGGCTTTGCTTAGGAAGGGAGGCTTCTGTCCCAGCTCAGGGCTAATCCTCTGCTCACTTTCTGGGACTGCATTCCTGAGCAGTAAAATGAAGATGTAGTGTTCCTGTCACATACCCGAGTGCCCAGGCACTGTGTATAGGAGGTGCCTTGGTTCAGTGACTAAAGATCAGCCTTGGTGGTCTTGGATCTTGCCTCTGTCATTTGCAGACCACGAGACTACAGACAAGCTTCTTAGTGCTATGCATCCTCGGTTGTCCGGGAGGGATCACAGGGTGGCATCATGGGGGCAATGATACAGAACCACACTGCTGAACGGGATTGTCAGAGAATGAGTTGCCCAGAGGAAGCTGGGCAGTATGGGGAGCACCGTCCGGTAAACATCAGCTTACAGGGAGCATTCTCCCGTAAACATCACCAGTGATCTCACTAAAGGCAGCCACAGACAGGGGGAGCAGCTGCACCCTGGGCTCCTCAGGATGTTCCTGCAGCCAGGCAGAGGCCTCACAGTCCCCTGGGAGGCTTCAGTGGGCACTACCAAACTCGCACTCAGGTTCCCCTTCTGCCGTGGAAGGGCCTTGGGAATGTGGCTATGCCTCCACAAACCACAGGCTCCTCTTCCGTCAATCAGCCAAGGCCAAACCTCAGCCAAAATATGCACAGCAGAGAGGAAGCAGGAAGCAAGCAAACACCACTATCAAGTGGTAAAGAGCCTGGCAGATGCCCCAGGCGCCCCCTGGGAAGATGCGATTGGAGCTCCTGAGCAGAGGTAGTCATGTCCAAAAGAGGTTGGAGTTAGACTGCACCGCTTATAAACCAGGGCTCTGATGTGCTTGCTGGTTCCTAGACTGCACACACTAACATGCCCCTGCATGCCAAAGGCATAGGACAGTTGTAGGAGCTGAGGTGCTGAGACTCCAGATGACTAACGTAACCCTGGCCCTGTCGGACAGCGTACCTAACAGATGTGATAGTGCTGCCCAAAACAGGATCTGGAGGAAGAAAACGCAGTAGGATGGCTAAGGGATTGCGTATGCCCCCAGAATCCCTTAATTGTGTATCCCTCAGCTGGTGATGACAACTTGGATAAATCACCTAATCAATCCAGTCCTCAGGCTCCTTTTTTTTTTGTGCCAGAGGGGAAGTTTTGTCTGTTTAGCAGATTTAGGGGAGTGTTAGCCTTCTCACACAGTTTTAAAACATGAGAGAGAGAGAGAGAGAGACAGAGAGTGACAGAGAGAGAAAGGCTTATATGTGTCGATGTTTACCATATACACCGAAACTAATACATCGTGTATTTTGTTGTACACTGTAACATCTAGAAACACTTAAAAATAGGATGTACTATGATTCTAATGAGGAGAGCGGTCATGATGCTGCTGAGGGCACAGGTAAATGGAACCACCTCTGTGTGTCCTGGAACCCAGTGCTCACGAGTGCTCAGCAGGCCTGCTTCAACCCCAGCCCATGTGTGTGTGCCTTGACAGCAAGACAGAAATAACAGCCCGAGTTAGACCTGGGGATGAACAGCCAGCATCCACCCTTCCTCTAAAACACAGCTCCCATTGAAGAGAGGCCCACGCCCACCACCTGCTGGCAACGCCTTTCCCCTCAGCAGAGAGCTGTAGAGCCCATTATGAAAAGTGAGAAGGGGCCACTGAGTTTGGTCACAGATTGCTCTGGTTTGGAGTCTTCTCCTGTGAGCACCCCGCGTGTCACTGTCCTGGGGAAGTTGTCCGTCCCTCCACCTCTGTTGTGCCAGTGTAGCGAAAACAGCCAGTCACGCACAAGCATGCAACGGCGATTATGCTTAACCGTGAAAAGCAGCAGCGGGAGAAAGGGTCACCTGCTCAGCAGCAGGGGCCACACTGCACCTCTCTCCTTCCCCGTGCCGTGCCCACACTGTCATTCCGGACAGGTACGATGCCCCAGACACCGGAAGGGAGCGTGGGAGCACAATGCCGCTGCTGAGCACAATGCTGTTGCTGCACACAATGCCATTGCTGCGGCAGGGTGTAGAGGTTGCACAGGATAGCAATGCATGGTGTACAAACCTTGTATCACAAGGTCAGAGCCTGCTCTAGTCAGTGCTGAGAAACAGGCCAGGAAATATCATACATAGTATGTATCCCTAGTCATCCCTTACCTAACACTGGGCACAAATGGCTACTCAGAGCACTTCATTTGAAAGATTGGAGAGTGAATGCGTGCGTGTATGTGTACGTGAGTGTGTGAGTGCGTGAGTAGACATCAGTTGCTTTCCCTCACCTGTGGAATCTGGGCAGCTTTCTGGTAACTGAGTTGATTTCTCGTGACCACTTAAGGCTGTCCGCTTGACTCCTAGCTGGCTGTTTGAAGGACTGGGCAGAGACAAGGCCGAGGAGCTGCTGCAATTACCAGACACGAAGATCGGCTCCTTCATGATCCGAGAGAGCGAAACTAAGAAAGGTGAGCCATGACTCTTTACGGTGGCCACTTCACATTGTCTCTCAGCTGCCTTGCTGTGGGTCTGTTCTCCTTCTCCCCCTCCCCCTAAATAGACCCAGTCCTGTGGTCTCATGACAGCAGGGTCATAGGGATAGAGCTGGCCACGGTCCCACATGAATGGTAGGGCTGGGCAGCATGCCGACCCAGAGACTGGGGCACCTGGCCCCTGCTCACCAGCTCTGTTTACTTCCCTGAGCTCTGCGCTCATCTGTGATGTCGCGGTAGGAGTGGAGCATACAGCAGGAACCTCTGTGCTGGGGTAAAATGGGGGCATCTCCGAGAATAAGGGCAAGCAGGTGTGAGCTTGGAAACTCACAGAGATCTTTATCGTTCTGATTTCCTGTGCCAGTAAAAAGAGAGAGAGCAAAGCTTGTTCCAAGCAGGGGCCCGGGAGTACACTGTCAGCACTGAATTGCTAGGAGACAGCCTCCTCTCTTTCAGCCTGGGTCCCTCGCCCATGGCAGTGTTAGTCTGGGAAAGTCCTCATCACCTTGCCTGCACGCTCCCGGGCTACAAGTCACGGGACCCCAATGCTTCAGAGTACCCAGTCACCCCCAACATTTCTAACCCTGGGTACCAGCTCCAAAGGGCTACTTCATAAAAATACTATGGGATGTAAATGGGTAAGAATTATTCACAAGTGAAAGAAAGCTGTAGCCACCAGAAGGTCTCTTTCAAATCCATGGTCTCTTTTCTATAATTGTGATTGCATATATACATATGTGTGCATCTAAATATCCCTAAGTACCTAAGTAAAACCTGCTCAGCCTGTGTAATGTTACTTGTATGTTTTCCTGGCTGACCGATTGTTACGGGATAACCAATTGCCGTGCTTCTCCTTGGGGAAGAAAGACTATTTCTCCTACTTGCAGAACCTTGGTTGCCTGTAGCTCCTTGTCTAGGGTTGTGGTCTTTTTAAATAGAGGAAACATCGCCAAGTCCTCAGCCTGTTTTTCATTACAGGAGAGAAAGCATGTTATCTGTGAGTTTGTTTTATAGGACCCGATAAGGACCAGGGGCCACCTGATGCTGGGGAATATCACTCGGTTCTGGGGAAGCAGGGACTGTAGCAATATGTAAACGCAGATGTCCCAGAGCAAGTTTTTCTCCAAAGCCTGCTCATCTAAGAGCAATACAGAGACAGAGCCATAAGTAGGGTCTCAGCGGTCTCTGCACATAAGCACTCAAAGCCTGGAATGTTGACATGACCAAGAGGATGGAGGATCCAAGGTATCTCAGCTCACCCAAAATCACTCTGACTGCAGAGCGTGGGGCCAGCTAGCAGACCCCTCCCATTGGGTACGCACAGTGCTGGTGGTTTTCTGCTTGGCAATGCAGAGCTGCTTGTCACCCTCACATGGCTACAAGTCACATAGTGGGTGATTCCACAACCAGGGCTCAAGTGGAACTAGGTACACATGCCCCTCATGGGGGGTCAGGGGGCTGAGGCTGAGGCCTGCATCCAGGGATGCCATCTCCAGGGAGGTGAATCTGGACACATCCCTCAGGGCCCGGAGCCTCCCTGTTGCTGTCTGTACAATATTCAGGGGCAATCTTCCCGGGCCTTTCCTGGCAGCACAGACCCGGCGAGGAACGAACCTTCCCCTCTCCTCCCACTGCCTGCAGGGAAACCAAAGGATGGAGCAGGGCCTTACTTCCCACTCGGGGACACCGAGGCTACAGGAGGCCATGGTACCTGCCAGGGTGTTCTCTTTCACTGAGGATGCTGAAGGAGGAATTACATCTGTCACAGGTTTCTCAGTGACGCAGAGCACACGCCAACTGACACTTGCTCCAAGTTCCTAAGAAAATCTGGGGGCATCTTTTTTTCCCGTGGTTGGCAGTGGCCCGGGCAGCGTGTCACCCTTGCGTGGGACGCTGTGGCTACCCCTGACCCCGCTGCCCTCTTTGCAGGTCTCTACTCGCTGTCGGTAAGACACAGGCAGGTCAAGCATTACCGCATATTCCGCCTGCCCAACAACTGGTACTACATCTCACCAAGACTCACCTTCCAGTGCCTGGAGGATCTGGTGACCCATTATTCCGGTAAGGGGCAGCCAGGGTCGGTGGGGTGAGCCCCGTGTGCTGGTGCGTGCATGGCAGTGTTTGGTCGGTGGTGTAGGTCACCGAGAAAAGCCAGCGACTCTCTCCTACCCCTGCTATCATCTTCATACGCTAGCTCATCGCCTCGGGTCAGATGAGGCCACCTGTGCATAGCAGAGTGCCCTCTCTGCATAAAGAAAACATTGCAGAACGCCTTGTATTCACAGCCACAACCATATACTGTAGACACACAGCGTCTCTTTAAGGCATGTTGTCTCCTTCGGGCAGTGGATCTCCACCTTCCTGATGCTGAGACCTTTAATAGACTTTTTCATGTTGTGGCGACCCCCAATCATGAAGTTATTCCACTGTAACTTTGCTACTATCGTGAATCATAATGTAAATATCTGATATGTAGGATGTCTGACATGCGACACCCCCCCCCAAATGGGTTGTGACCCACAGGTTGAGAACTGCTCCTCAAGGTGACTCTGGGGCACTGTTCTGAAATACTACTCTCCTCTCCCTTTTGCCACTTGTCAAAACTGTTTCAGCCTTCAAGGTCAACCTCTCCCCACTTCTCCAGGAAGCCATAGCAGGAGAATGAACAGCCATTTTCCCATCCCCGGAGAACGCCACAACCTTTCTCTCCCTAGTACTCCAAACAGGCTTGCTCATGTTTGCTGTTGGCTTGTTGAGCTGCCAGCAGAGATATGTGTCTCTTAGGCGGACCCAGACTGGAGGACCCCACGATGCCTGAGTACTGCATGGTTTGTGAGAATAAAGTGCCCTCGGCGAGAGACGCGAGTTAGACCGAAAAGTCCCGGACACCAGCTTTGTTCTTAGAATTATGCTCTGTGGACCAGGAGGGTCAGCAGTTGGCTAGGTTTCAAAGACAAGATCTGCCCCCCTCCCCAGTTCTAGATGCTGTGTCTGCTGGATGGCAGCTGTGCACCTGGGGCTGTGCGACTCTTCCTGTCTCACGTTCATCCTCTGCAAAGAGGATGCTGATTGTTCCTACCTGTCAAGGACATGGGGAGAGTTTCTGGAATGTGCAAAGAGCTGAGCAGAGAGTCCGCGCCTGGCCCTGAGCACCTACGCAATGGCAACTGCTTCTCTGTGGCCCCTTCCTCCTCTGCTCTTTTGCCTGGCTGGAAGTAGGAAAGGTTGGCTTTGTATTTGCTTTGCTAATGTCTCCTTTCCCCCTGGTTCAAGATGCTTGAGCTAGCACTGGACCCTCACTAGTATCATTTAGGGTTTGAGGTCCCTAGGTGAAGAAGTGGAGGGCACTGCAAGGAAAAAGGACCCCACAGGGGACAACTTAACTCTGACCATTGAGCAATGGCTGCTGGGAGAGGCAGATGTGAGCTCAGACTGGGTTGCAAGGGCTATTGGGTAAGGCTTCGGCCTCTCCCTCCCTAAGGGTGATGGGGACAGCCTCTTGCAGACTGCAAAACACAATGGCATATGTGCTGTGTCTAATACATAGTCTGACAGGTGAAAAACAATGGCAAGTATCACTTCTTGGATGGCCTCAAAGCTCATAGCTACCTACCTAAAACTGAAAGAGGAAGGGAGTCCTGAACTTCAACTACCTCTGCCTAAAGGTCGTTTGTGGTCTTTGATTCTTAATAACAATCATCCCAGGAGTGTGCCGACCAGAAGTTTTGCATAGACAATAGCAAATATGAAGCTGATGCCACCCGCTGGAGCTCTCATGACCGGGAGACCACATACTGCTGGGCTAGGCACGTCCACCTCCTCCCGAGCTTCCGGACTACAGCAAGGCCAGTGCAGAACTAGTGCCTTCCTGAAAGACGCCCCTGACTGTCATGTGGGCCAAAGAGCTACAGCCAGAGAGAGGCTCACCTCTGCCAAACGGAGGAGGGCCTGGGAACCCAAAGGCTTCCTGTATCTCATCTCAGATCTCACTGGGAAAATGGGATCAAGAACAGAGTTGCTGGGGCCAGGGAGAATTAGATGGTGCACAGAGGCCAAAAGGCAGGACAAGGTCACCTATTTTCTGCCCAGAGCCATGTGCTGCTGTGGGCACACATCACTGGTTCCCAGTCAGTTGGTCAGGACTGCTGGGTTTCTGTGGTGTTCTGTATCCCAAGTGTGGGACATCGCACTAACCGCATGGCCTTGAGGCAGCTTCAGTGAGATGCACTGGGGGAGCAGCTCTGCCTTTGGCTCATGCCACCTGCCTGTGTGACCTGGTTCCCTCCATGCCACACGGTGTGTGATGAGTGGGTGGACCTAAAGCAGAGCACCCTGGGAGTCCGTCCTGCCGTGCAGCAGACCTGCGTATCCCTGGGCTTTCAGTTTGCCTTGAGTCCTCCCTTGTGGGAGACACGCCTGCACATTTCCAGACCCAGCAGGCCACTGTTTCAGATGCATACCCAGTTAAACTCCGACCCCCAGCCCGACTCTGACACCTGTATGAATCTGGGTGACATTTTTGATTAGCATGATGTCCGTCTGGAAAGCGGGAGTGTGTGTGTGTGTGTGTGTGTGTGTGTGTGTGTGTGTGTGTGAGTGTGTGTGTGTAGGGGGCATGCCACTCTCTTTTATATTGGGTAAGAACACCCCAGAGATCCGCAGATCAGATGAAAAGAGGCCACCAGGAGGTAGGGCACGTTCTAAAGCCCAAGGATGGGTGGACTGAGGCCAAGGTCCCTGAGTACTGCTAGAAATGTGCTGTATGTCTGATACCTTGGGCGTCTGGGTCTCCCCAGGGCTGGGACCCACTGTCCTGCATAAGTCTCCTTAGGCCTAGGTGTCAGGAACAACAGAATCTGTATTTCTCATGATGCCATGGGACAGAGAGGCTTAGAACTCCTGGGTGTTAGTTCCTGCTGCTCTGGGAGAGATGAACCCGTGCAGGCCAGATATTAAACACCAGCTGAGGGGAGCAATGCCGGCTTTCCGCCATTTTCGCTTTGCTCCTATGGAGTGGCAAAGGTCAGGAGTTCTTATTCTGACACTGCCTGTTGGCTCTGCCTTGCCTTCTGGTTTTGTTTTCTCTTCCTGTCTTTCCTGTTGTTTTCTGCCTTTTTTTTTTTTTAACCTGCATCCTCCTTTGTTCCACTCTCTCTTCCTTTCCTTTTCCTCCTCCCTCCCCTCCCCTCCCTCCCCTTCCCCCTTCCCCTCCCCTCCCCTCCTTTCCCTTCTGTCCTTGCTTCATTTGTCTTCCTGCCCTGTAAGCATTCAGAGGTGCCTGCCCTGTGCCTGGCTCCATGCTCTGGCCCAGCCAGGGACAGTGACCTGAAGTTCTGCTCTCCAGTAGGCGCTTGGCAACTGTTTTTCCCTGTGGTCTCCTCCCCTCCCTTCTGCAGTGGGGGAGAATGAGGCCCAGAGATGCAAGATGCAACTCAACAGTAGAGTTAAGTGTGATGCAAACCCAGGTTTGGTTGACTCTCACCCCACATCTGCTTTCTCTGCATGTCAGTGCAAGCCTAGCGTTCACATCCTTCAGGACATAGCCACATCGGCCAAACCCCATGCCCCTTTAGCGTCCTGGTTTCCGTTTCCCCGTGCCAATAACCAGGGACTGGTTTTTGTTCTCCATATTGTCTATGGCATGCCGGGATCACTGACTGTTGTGTGTTTCCATCCACAGAGGTGGCTGACGGTCTATGCTGTGTGCTCACCACACCCTGTCTGGCACAGAACACACCTGCTTCAACAGCTCATCAACCACCTTGTACCACCGCTGCTGGTTCATCTGTCACCTTTCGCCAGAAAACCTTTGACTGGAGGAGGGCATCCAGGTGTGTGTTTGTGTGTGTTTGTGTCCACATGCATGCATATAGGCATGCTTGCCCTCCGTGAACACATAGGAGCACCAGATGGGGGTGATCCCAGCATAAGAAGATCATGAGAAAACACCTGGCTTTGCTAACACCCCCCGCTGGTCCCATTAGCAGGGGGCAAACTCTGAGTTCTGTGAAACCAGCCTTGGGTATCACATAGCAAGCATGTGATGCCTACAGTTTCCTGGAGCCTCAAAAGTCCCCCAAGTCCATGTTCAATGTGAACACCACATTTTTAACAGAAACACAACACCCTGCTCTTTCTAATTATTAGAATCCAAGACAGTAGCATACAAATAAATTAGGTATAAATTTAATATTTAAAATCTAATTACAAAGCATAAACATTCCCCCCAAATCTTAAAGTAAATCATTCCCTCTGAGTAAGAAAACAACAACAACAACAAAAACAACTTCCATTAGTTTGTCCTATTTAGTCCATTGGCAGCTATTGGGTTTCCAGGTGTGTGTGTGGGGGGGGGATTGTAATCAATGGCTGTCACATTAATTGAGCATGGGCCCAGTTATTTTAAAGCAAAATCAGAGATCAGAATTGCCCAAGACATGAATGAAATGGTCATTTCTTGTAACTACCATAAAGAATATTCACTAAGGTTTACCATGGGATATTCAAACCATTAGAGGAAACAGTGGCTCGGAGATCAAACAGCACACAAATGCAAGATTCAGAATTCAAACAACTTAGAGAAAGACTAACCTTCTCCCCGTCTCCCTCTCCTTCCTCTCCCTCCTCATTCCCTTCTTCCTCTCCTCTTCCTCCTCTCTCCTTCCCCTGCTTTCTCTAATACCGCTCTTGTCTCTTTTCCTTTCTCCGTCTGAATCTTCAAACACACAGACTGCAGGATGATCCAGCGGGGGCAGAGAACCCACTCACGGTGGATGAGTCCCTTTTCAGCTATGGTCTCCGGGAAAGCATTGCGTCCTACCTGTCCCTGACAGGGGATGACACCAGCTCCTTTGACCGGAAGAAGAAGAGTCTCTCCTTAGTGTACAGCGGCAGCAAACGCAAGAGCTCCTTCTTTGCAGCGCCCCAGTACTTTGAAGATTAGTACTCTGGCTGGTACTCAAAGGCAAAAGTTTTTGACTGCCAACTTGGGGTCTTGTGGAAGCCAGAGCTCTCTACTCTCTGGTCATCTCGTGTCTCCGAGGGACCAAGAGAAGTCACACAGAGACTGTCTTTACATGGAGAGCAGCAGAACTCCTCCCTGGTGTGTGAGGAGTGTTGCACAGCCACATCATGCTTGAATCATGATGTAATGGGGCAGTGCTTCGAAGAACTGTGTGTATGAGTGTGTGTGTGTGTGTGTGTGTGTGTGTGTGTATGTGTCAGAACACTCTTTAAAGAGTGTGTGGAGACTGACTCAAGCTCACAGTCCAAACCACCCCTTCTCTGAGACCCTGTGGATAGCATCTATCTGAGAAAGAACACGAGGAAGATGGTTTCTTGGGGTTGAACAATAACCTCTACCTGGAGCAGAGCAATCCCTAAAGGCCCAGTGAGAACTTTGGGCTATGTCTCCTGTCTTTCTCAGAGGGACCTGTGACACTAAACACTATCAGGAAGGACTTACAACTCTGATCCAAGCCACACCTTCTGCGTTCAGGTGTACCAGAGCCACATGGGCAGTAGATAGATGGCCATGCCATGTCACAGAGAGTGACAGTGAAGGGGCGATCAAGAGAGGCAGGGGGCAGCTACACCGCACAAACTTTTGAGACAAGAGTCTTGCCTCCTCCAGCTACAGGGGGCCTGTGTTGTTGTAGAACTTCCACCCCTCATGACCATTGGCAGAGGCCACTGTGCCGAGGTCAAATGGGAACAAAAGAGGCAGGAATAGCATCCCTGAGTGCTGGCCTCCCAGCAGTGGCAGAGAGACAAGCAGAACAGCAGAATGTAACAGTGACTGTGGGCTCACAGTTGCAATGGGGTGGGGACAAGTGAGGGTTACCCAAGGGGCTCTGTCCCCATGGATCTGCCAGGAATGCAAAGGCTCTTGGACCAAGTAGGCTGGGTGTAGTTAGATTTCTTTCAAAGGAGACTGGTGGGCTTTAAGTGATTAATTTATTCTGTGTATTTTACTCCAGGAAGGGCTGGTGTCTAAATGAATAAGTATGCCTCTGTCTGGGAAAGGGGGGCTGGAGAAGTTGAATGCTGCCATATATGATTGTGAGTGGTGAGAGAAAACTCACAGGGCACTCACACGCCGGTCTCATGTTTATATCTTGCCTGGGTGGGAGGCAGAATGGCTGTGGCTTATTCCTCCCTGTTTATCAAAGGGATTCTCAGGAAGAGGAATACGGGGTGGGGGGGGATTTGTCAGCCATCATGTGCATTCCATATACCTGGGCTCATCCTGCAAATGGCAAAATCATGTACATTGACATGACTTCACTTATTGTCATATCTAGTGTTCCACACCAGGAGGCATGTGTGGTCTCCTAGGTGTCCCTCAAAGACTCTCTCAAGGAGACTGGCCAGTGTGCGAGAAAGAAATGTCACACAAATTCAGTGACTTCTGCTTGAGGTCATGTTCTCTGCCTCCTGAAATGTCTGCTCACTGTTTCCTATGCTGTTTTCTGTTGTGGCCAACGTGAATGGTACTTTAGGTAGCCCTTGGGGGTTATTTCTAAGTGGGAAGCATTACACTTTGCCCAATCATGTATTTATTCCCGATTAAAGTAAAGCATACTTATTTAATTTTGGATTAAGGACCCATGCATTGAGAGGTGTGAATATGGCTCTCAGGAATTTACAGGTTTTGGTTTTCAAAGAGTTCAGTTGAAAGGACAGACGCAAAGGCCAGCAAGAGGAACCGTTATGCCTGGTGCCCCCCCACCCCCACTTCATGTGAGTAGAGATAGGAGGGCTCAAGAAGGAGGCAGCTCTTGAGATCACCATGGTAACTATCATTACACTATTTGTGGCACTTGAGCTACTCAGTCTTCTGAGCATTTCTTTCTGTCACAAACATTATCTGGACACCTGCTCAACCCGACTGCTGAGGCTTGTGGCTGTGGAGGTCTCTGATGTCACAGAGCAGGATGCCTCTAACAGAGGAGATACCTTCTGAGGAAGAGGTGGTAGTGATATTCCAAAAATAGCAGCTTCCATGCATCCATGACTCTATATGGATTCTGAGGCAGGAGCTGCACAAAGATTGAGGTAGTACAGCCCAGGCAACAAGCCAGCAGGTTGGTCCTGCAGGCTTGAGCAACTCTGCAGGTTAAAGGCTCCAAGAGACCCCAGGACTGCATGGCTGAGCCTGAGGGACAGGGGCAATAGAAGTGTCTGCTGGAGGGAGGAGTCCAAAGCCCTGAATGGGTAGAGCTTAGCCTGGGTATGGGACAAAGGCAGATTTGGGAAGGACGTAAATAGAAAAGTGATAGTTGCTCACTAGGTCCTTTGAAAGATCAACTGAGTGTTGGATGGAGCATGGATGTTGGAAATTCCAGCATCATATTGCCTATGAGACATACAGTTCTAAGAGTGCATAGCCTAAAAATAAAGAGAGCATCCAAGAAAGGGAAGACTCCATCAAGTCCCAGGCCCACACTCTACTTGGAAAGGAGGCTGAGGAAGAGGATTCCTGTCTGGAAGGGTCCTGTGCAGGAATGCACAGATGCACAGATGCATTTATGAAACTTTTTTTTTATATATAATCATGGAGCTCAGGTGATCCCTATGCGTGTGTGGAAGGTTTTTTGTTTATTTGTTTTTTTTGTTTTGTTCGTGGAGAGACAAGAACACAAGGAAAACTTCTGCTACACACCAAAGCAGAATGAAATGATGGGACTCAATTACACAATGCTACTCACAAGAAAATCAGTCCAGGCAGAAGGCATGTGGCTCACAACCTGAAAAATGACACTGTCTCTACAACGTATTAAACAACCATCGAAGATGCGTTGGAGGACACCTTGTCGGAGGATGAGAAAAAAATTCCATGAATTTAAATTCTTGAAAAATCCTCGAGTAAAGAGGGAGACTGTGCACAAAGTGCTTAGGGAAGAGTTTATGCAAAAGTTTTGAGGTGCAGCTGATAAAATAGCAAGAGGGAATTCTATTGCTTTAAGTATAGTGCACCTTAGAAAATAAAGATTGAGAAGCAGTGAACTCTTCTTCTGAATGGAGAGCTCAGAGACGGTGACGCGGTCCACAGGGAGAGAAAAGAAAAGGGCGGGTGTCGGGAATTTACTTTCTAAAACAATCACAAGGTAGATTTTACAGAGGCATGTAATGTGTAACATGTAACGTGTGAGAAGAATACTCAAAGCCTACACAATCATGGCGTGTATACACACATCCAATGACTCTCAAGGGTAAGAAGAAGCCTGCTAAGGACCTTCATCCCAAGCTGTGGCCCATCAGGGTCTTTCCTCCCACACCAAGCCTGTGAGACCTCTTCCACGGCTTAGGGGCAGCCCTACCAATGAGGATTAAGCCACTGGGATGGCAGAGAAGCCACCATAAGAAACTGGTGTCTTGAGTGTATACAGCAGATGCTGTCTTAGTTAGGCTTTCAGTTTCTGTGAAGAGACAACCATGACCACAGCAGCTCTTATAAAGGAAACTTTTCATTAAGGCTGGCTTAAAAGAGGTTTAGCCCATTGTCAGCACTGTGGGAAGCATGGCGGTACACAGGCAGACGTGGTGCCCGAGAGGAGAGTTCTACCTACCTCTGGACTGACAGGCAGCAGGAAGAGAGGGTGAGCCACTGGGCCTGGACTGGGCATCTGAAGCCTCAAAACCCCCGCCCCCCCCCACACACACAAGTGCCACACTTTCTCTAATAAGGCCATACCTCCTAATTCTTTCAAATAAAGCCACTTCCTGTGAGCCTGCGAGGGCCATTTCATTCAAATGACCACAGATACCCAGCTTCTCATCTGAAGGAAAGATGGAAGGGAGGGAGGGAGAGAGGAGGGGGAAGGAAAGGGGGAGGGAGGGAGGGAGAGCGGGAAGGGAAGAAGTCAGGAAGGAAGGGAAGAAAGGGAAGAGGCTTTGTGCTTTGAGCTGCCTTGATGCTGTGTGTCTTTGTCACTCTGCCTGAGACTTTGCTCCAACAGCACAGAAATAAGCTAGTCACTCATTAACCACAGACTATGGGGGAAGCTTCAGAGCAAACTCAATGTACCCAGCAGGCCAAACATTCAAATTAGGTAGAGCTAGGGGCATTTCTGAGTCATTTTGTTCCTGAACACAGTATTAACCATAATTATGTAGATTTACCCCTGAAAGCAATAGGTCAAATTCTATGAAGTTATACTCAAATTCCCAGGAGAATTATTAGGATAAAACAAACACCAATAATATCCTTCTGAAGTCCATACAGAATTATCTGTGCTCACGATGAGTCCGGCCAATTTAGGAGACCAGCTAAAGGAGCACACTCCCACTACGTGACAGGCATCAACCACAGGTAATGCTGCCCAAGAGACCGGGTCACCACCCCCTTGCCATGCCTTGGGTGTTGGTTGTGTCCTACACCCCAGAGATGATGCTAAGTGTCAGGAACCTGGTAAGAAAATTAAACTCCTAAAAGAATCGATGTACTTAGCCATGACAGGACCAGAATCATATTTTTTGTTTGTTTTTTGAGACAAGGTTTCTCTGTATTGCTCTGGAGCCTTTCCTGGAGCTAGCTCTGTTGACCAGGCTGGCCTTGAACTCACAGAGATCCCCCTGCCTCTGCCTCCCGAGTGCTGGGACTAAAGGCGGGCACCACTAAAAGTAGCACTGTAAAACCAGACAGGAGGCCGGAGAGATGGTTCAGTGGTTAAGAGCACTGGCTGTTCTTCCAGAGGACCTGGAATCAATTTCTAGCATTTGCACAATGGCTCACAGTTACCAGTACCTCCAGTTTATTGGGGGGGGGTGTACAACACCCTCTTCTGACCTTTGCAGGCACCAGGCACATTGCTGCACAGAGATTCACAAGACAAAATACCCATATACATTAAATAAATAAATAAAAATAGGCAGAATTCCTCAAAACTGACAGACAGGGATCTTGTTGTCAATGGAAATTTCCCTCTGCGCTGGGAGATTTAAGAAGGCTGGGAGCCTCAGGGAAAGACATTTCCAGTGACCTAACACACACTGTCCACTGATCAAAGAAAGAAAGGCCAACAGAGGTTTTGTGACCTTTTGACATTGGCCCAAGATGTCAACTACAAAAGTGTTGCCTCATCTCCATGGCTATTCTGGGACACATGTGACCTACAGGCTTTGAGGTCTGACACACCAGGTCACTCTCTAGGATCTGTGATGGCCATGGTCACAGCTGTAGTTAGGAGCCTGGCTGGGAAACCAACAATCCTTGGTAAATGCTGGAGGCAGAGGGAGCCTCATCTCCCTCCCTGGAAACCTGGCCTAGAGTCCAGCTCTGTGTGTGGGATGTGTGGCTACATCAAGTTGTCCAACCTGGCCCCAGGCAAGTTAGCTGTCCTGGGCCCATGTGAGGTGGTTTCCCTTGGACTGGGAAGGGAGTAAGTGAGGGGCTTAAATTTCTTCAGTGGGCAGGGCCTTTGAAGCCATATACCCAACAGCTTCTGAAGATACTGGGTAGCAGAATTAAACATACTGATTTTATAGATAAAAAAATTTAAGACCACGATTCAGGCCTACCTGGTCCTAGTTTGGCCACTTGAGTACATCTTTAAATGCTGAGAAAACCCCAAGTTACCAAAGGAGCAGCCCCATGATGTGGAAAAACAGAGGTTTGGTTTTGGGTTTTGATCCCTCATGAAGTTCCTTCTTTGGCACATGTTCTTTGCTAAGTCCCTGAAATTCTCTAAGCCTTGGACTCCTTATCTTATCTAGAAAATAAAATAAAATAAAATAAAGACCCATGCCAGCCAGTGGAAGTAATCTGAGAGAAGATAGTGACTTTTTTTTTTTTTGCCAAGTACAGTACACTAAATATAGATTATTAATTATCACCACAGCAGCTTCGCTTGATGGATGTTTAAATAGTCCCAAGCCCAAGATTTGCAGAAAGCCGTTTGATCTTAGTCAAGAATAAACTGGCAGCTCGCACTCCTTCCCCAAACATCTGTTGGTAAAGAACATTTTAAGAGCTGCTAATGCACTGAAGCGATTCTGTTTGCTCAGTCCCAAATAAGCTCACACAATCCCAAGGACTTCTGGGAGTGGTTGTAAAAGCTGTTTCCAAATGCATAAGGCAGACGGACGGGTTATTTTTAAATGCATCGCCATTTGTTTCTGAAATTCCCCAGACACTTTAAACTCCAAAAAGAAGAGTCTGCCTTCTGGGCCCAGTGAAGGCATTTGAGCATCTTCAAGACCCTGACAAGTCCCTGCAAACACAGGGAGCTGGAGGAACCCCTCCAGGGTCAGCCTGGAGCACAGAAGACCTGCTTAATACCGAGATTAGAAGGTCTTTGTGCTCCAAGCTCCCTCCTAGGTGGATCCACTTCTAAGTGTGGGAGTGAAGAAAAAAAAAAAAGGGTAACCAATTGCAAGAGGTGTAAGAAAATCAGGGCAGGAAGGACCGGGTTTCCAGGGCTCCCTGGGTCTCCGAGAACATTCATTTGCCCACTGGTACCCTGTGTCCTCATTTCAAGGTGTGCTGAGCTGGGCACCCCGGGGCCTTGGAGTCCGAGTCACAGCAGCCACTCCTCTCCAGGGGCTAGGCAAGTGGCAGAGGCTGAGCTGGCACTGAAGGCAATCAGACTCATGGAGATGAGAACACCTGCTGCACAGGAAATGTTTGGACAGCACATGCCATAGAGAGAGCATGGCTCTGAGCCCCAAAGTCTGCAGGTTCTCTTTACACGGTGGGTGGGCAGGGAAAGAGGTGAGTGGGTGTTCTTTGTCAATGAAACTATCTGCACAGGTATGGGGAAAAAGCCCAAGGAATGGGACACCCCCTGCAGCTCCAAGAGGGAGAAAGAGGCCCTTCTCTGTGTCATGAACGGTGACAATACCAGCTAGCATCGGATATGGCCAAGCAGTGGCATTCTCCTCCCTCATAACCAAAGGTGTGGCCCTCAGAAGGGCTGGGTGAAGCTGGAGTACAGTAACTGGTCTAGAATTATGGGCAGAGGCAGGTTTATGTGGGATTAGGTTAAGGTTTTAGTTTAAGTGGTCCTCTGTCTTTGTTTGTTTCTCTGTATGTGTTCATGTATGTGTTATTGTGTGTGTAGGTGTGTTTGTGTGTGTGTCACTGTGTATGTGTGTGTGTAGGTGTGTGTCACTGTATGTGTGTCACTGAGTGTGTGTATGCTTATATGAATTTGTGTGTCACTGTGTGTGTGTAGGTGTGTGTGTCACTATGTGTGTCACTGTGTGTTACTGTGTGTGTTACTGTGTGTGTGTAGGTGTGTGTGTGTCACTGTGTGTAGGTGTGTTTGTGTGTGTGTCACTGTGTGTGTGTGTCACTGTGTGTGTAGATGTGTGTGTATGTGTATGTTTATGTGCATTTGTGTGTCACTGTGTATGTGTCACCCAGAGGAGAGCCTTGGGTGTCATTCATTAAGCAGTGTTCATTAGTTGTTGGTGTTGTGTGTTATGTGTTGGAATTGTTTGAGATAGGGTATTACACTGGCCTGGTCTTGCCAAGTAAGCTAGGCTGGCCAGTGAGTCTTGAGTTTGGAGCTATGTCCTTCTCCCTAGTGCTGGGAATGCAGGAATATACTACTACACCAAACTTTTTACAGCATCCAGATTGTTTCTACACAGGTTCTGGAGTTTAATGACTGAGTCATTACCCCAACACCTCCATCTTTCCTTAGCCTGGGTTACTGGAGATGTCCAGTAGCTACTTCTCTGCCTGAAATTTCCACTTCTTAAAGTCTCTCTTCATTCATGTCTAAGAGAATTTTCCAAGATGGGATCTCAAACCAGTTTTATGTCTGCTTTAAAGGCCTAGGATGTATCTCTTGTTCCCAGAAGCCCTACTCACTGTAGCCAAAAGGAAAATAATGGCTGTCCATTGACAGGTGAGTGGAAGGATACAAAACCTTGTCTATGCCCGCTATGGAATAGTGTTCATAGCTAAAGCCAAAAGATTTCATAAAATGCACCATGTTCTTGCCCACCCTTAAAAATGGTATGCTATATGGAATACACAAATCATAAGCACCCCGTGTTTACACCAACATGATGTTCTAGAGTATATAAAAACCAGAGTTTAGCAGGGAGAGCCTTTCTGGGGCTTCAGGGATAAGAAAGCACAGGGGTCACATTCAGTAGGTACAGAGATCTACATGAGATGATAAAAAGAGTTCTGGCATCAGATAGCATTAATAGTCACGTAACACTGGGAACTTCTGTAGTGTCACTGATCAGACTCTTAAAAAAATGGCTAGTGTCATAAGAACAGACAAGAAACCGGACAAACGCACAAGCAAAAATCCCTGTGTAGTTTCCATGCATACCGGGAAAGCCCAAGCTATGTGCCCGTCAGGCAAGGCTGTGCACACCGCTCCCACACTGCCATTATCACCAGGGCTCTGGTTACTGCTTGCACTGCCTTTAGCCGTTTCCCTCTGCAGGTCATAGCCATCCATCTTGTTTCCTTCTCTTATGTTTGCCTTTGTTCATGTCCCATGATCCTTCAAAGCATCTGCCTTCGGTGTGTGTCTCCTGCCCAGCAACCCGTGAACTGGGATGTGCCTAGTTTACCACGGCACTCCATCATCCACCACCACAGTGCTGCCGACCAGCCAAATGCTCGACACAAGCAGTAGCTGGTCGGTGGCAGAACAGCTAGCTCCTGATGTGGCCAGTTGGGTCATTTGTTACTTCGTGTCATCATTGGTATCATTGGAGCAACAACAGCAGAAGCAGAACCACCATCACCTCCACTCAGCAGGCATCTCAGCCCGCTAGGCAAAGTCCCTAGGAGTGAGTTTTCCTCACCGACAAGTGCTTTTAACCCCAATACGAATCCAGGAAATACAGACGCGCGGCCCTGTAGACTGTTCCACATGAGTGGAGAGCAGTAAGGAAGACCTTTAGCCTCCTGGATGACACATACCTGGGGTGATAGCAAGGCCGGTATCCACAACAGCAGGAGGGACAAGAACATAAAAATAATTACAGCCAGCTGGTCTCCAAAGCCCGGGAATCCACTGAGGGAGTACTGAGGGCCAGCCACGCCACTCACCATAAGCAGAGCCCTCCTGAAGAGCTGGATCCTGGTAGCCCTGGTGATGAGAAGGTGGATGCTGGCCACATCGGCCCCACCACGGTCTGATGCCAGTGTCACGCGCCGAGGGTCTCCACCAAAAGCTTCAATGTGGGTCTGCACCCAGGTCAGAGCTGCCACCTGGTCCAGCAGCCCCCAGTTGCCAGCTACTTCGTCAGAGCCTACAAAAAAGAGGAAAGCCATTTAGCCCGTGTGTTAACAGCTTTAGAGTTTGCACTAACAGCGCTATGACAGATGGAAGGCTTGCCGAGGAGGCTGGCCCTCCCAGGCCGGTGCTATAAGCTACAAACACAGCTGTAGCCACTGAGATGGCCTGGGCTTTGGAATCAACCATAACTGGCTTCCCTTTGAGCTTTGGGCTGGACTAGCCAGGAGATCGGAAACGTCTCTCCTCTTTGAGCTGTGGATTTCCTGTCTGTTAGTGGACAATGTGAAGGACAGGATCAGAGCAGAGGCCATGCATGTTCAGTTCCAGCCCTGGGAAGGAGATGGAATTCCCACCCCAGGGCTCAAACCTACTGCAGACAGATCTGTCAAAACCAGACCAGGCCAGGCAAGGAAGCCCAGCCTTTCTTATGGCCTAATCCGTGGCTTTAGAAGTATGCCACTGAACCCATATCTCTTTCTTATAGAATTTAATAGCTATTTGTTGAAGACACAGCACCATCTTTAAATAAAGAAAGTGTAAACATCTCAATAGCTCCTTTGAGACACTACACTGTGCTCTGGTTGCCATAACAGCGTCTCCCTGTTGGTCCGTTCCACAGGCGGGTCCTCCAGTAACTCACTCCCTGCCAGCTGAAGTGCACGTACCCTTGCCTTTTCTGACTCTGCCCTTGGGGACACTGGTGCTGTGCACTGAGACCTGGGCATGCCTCTAGCATGTCACAGCAGTCTCTTTCTGTGCACGGCTATGAGCAAGTTTCTAGGCTGACTTAACTGAGGTGGGAGGTACCAGCCCATGCATGGCCTGGGAGGGATCCTGAACTGAGTGAAATGAAGAAAACGAACTCAGCACTGGTACTTACTCCTCTCTGTGACCTGAGGGTGGGTGCTGTGTAATGAGCTACTTCAAGCTCTTGCTGTCGTGATGGACCACGTGAGCCAAAGGGAACTCTTGATTCCTTAAGGTGCTTTTGTTAGCTATTTTGTCACAGCAACAAGAAAACTGAGGCATAGGGACAGCGTAACTCCTGTTGCCATGGGTACACAGCTATACCCACAGCCCGCATCTCTCTTAAGCGCCACTAACAGTTCCTCATGGGACAGACACCACAGCTGTAGCTATGGACGGGGGGGGGGGGAGTTCCATGTGGAACAAGAATGTGCCCAAAAGACCCCATATTCCCAAATACTCAAAGGTAGGGAAATCCTACATGCTGATTGCCTGACCCAATGTTTGCACAGCTGAAGAGAACACCAGCTCCGAGCACATGAAAAGCACAAAGGACTCTTCCGGCAGCGGAGCCGTTCAGTTCTCTTCGGACTCTTTCCATGATCTGGGCCTGGTGAAACTACTGGCAAACCCTGTCCTCCCTGTGGCCTCTTCTGGATTGCTCCTGAGTTCCATTTGTCAAGAACAATGTGTTTGCTTCCTCTGAACCTCTGGGAGTCCAGGAGAACAGGGTGCTGAGTGAGAAAGGGCAAAGCCTGCGAGAGGGCAATTCTAGGGAGAGAAATCCACAATCGGCATCAGCAGGAGCAATGTGGAAGGAGAGTACTGGATGCTAACTGTCCATGCGTCAGCTTCCCACCACATGATGAGGGTTAACACGGGCGTTCCGAGGTCTTTAGACTCCTGGGACATAAGAACTTGGGTGATTTAATAAGACCTTCATCAAACAAAGACAAATCGGGCTTCCTCCAGTGCAGTACAGTGCCATAAATTGCTGAAGGCTGTGATGATATATTGTTTATGATCTAATAAAGCTTGCCTGGAGGTCAGAATGCAAAGCTAGACATGGTCATAGAGGCCATCGGTGGTGGCACACACCTTTAATCCCAGCAGCTGTGATAGTTAGCTATAGAAGCTGGGCGATGGTAGTGCATGCCTTTAATCCTGTCACTACAGAGGAATATAAGACAGGAACTCGGGGTCTCATGGGGCATTCAGTCTCCAGCCACACTGAGGACAGGGTCTCTAGTGGTTAGCTGCTTTGATTATCTGATTTTCAGGCAAGCTTTATTAGATCACAAATAATATATCCCCACAGAAGGCAGAAAGTAATTACTCCTGGGGCACAGTTCCCAATGGATGTACTCTCCCACACACACCGTTCCAATTGCACATGCCCCCTGATGCCCACACCTCCTGTGCAAACACTTCTCAGTGCACACACTCTGCAGTGTGCAAGCCTCCCAATGCAAGCTCTCCCCTGGCACACAAAGGCAGGGGATTGGCCAGTGTGCTGTCAGGTATCTGGTTCATCCTCAGCCTTCATTGGTAAAGAAATAAAATCACTGAGCACAGAAAATTGTCTAGATGCAAGAGCAAACATGACACTGAGTAGGAACTCAAATCCAAACTCAAAATCAGAAATCTTTGTCTTAAAGCAAACCTAATTCCATAAATGTCTTTTGAAGGTTTTATGACAAGCATTAAAAAGTTATGTTCTGATTGACAGAACTTCATCCCCTCATTACACCACATCAAATCTCCTGACTCTCTAGGTCCTCCAGGCCTGCCTCCTGCTCAGTCAGCTCCAGCAGTGCCCAGGGCTACTCAGCACATCTGTAATGTTCCTTTGCAGAGCTTGTGGGGGCAAGCCCAAGCTACATCACCCTCAGGATCCTGCTCCACAGGCATGTACACACACACACACACACACACCACACACACCACACATACCACACACACACACACCACACACACCATATACACCACACACTACACTCAACACACAAACACACACACACTACACTCAACACACAAACACACACCACACACACCACACACACACACACACACACACACTACGCTCAACACACAAACACAGAGGGAGGCTGAAGCAAGAGGAGATTTTCCTGGACAATGTGTTATTATGGTTTGTGTCATCTTTCCCTAATCTGGCCCCACTCTTCCAGGTACCCAGCCTTCCGGATAGGACCACCCAGTATACATCAACTTGTCCCTTTATTACATGAATGGCTCTCACATTTCATTTTCATTCAGTTTATGCAACAACTATGGAGGGCCCCTGGCAGGACCTAGTCTTGGCCATGGACTCCAGTGGGAGATGGAAGGGTATGGGCCTAGATGAAATCCTGGCTCCTGCACCTGCCCGGAACAGGATCCTGGGAAGACTAGTATCCACGTATTTTTATTCTCTCCATGTGTAAAGTGGGGGTGCATGTAGAACGTGCTTTATTTCATTCTGCTGATGACTAAATTAATGCCTGTGAAGGCAACAGTAGTGTTCCCCAAAATAGGCACCCCAGCTGTGCTTTTATCCTGAAATACGATTAAACGTGTTGAGGCCCAAGAAATGTCCCACTGATGCTTTTAGCAGGGCCAGTTTAATCTTTACAGCAGTGATAGCTACTGTTTTATTGGTTAGAGAAGATGCAAGACCCTCTAAGAGGCCCAGAGTACCTGGTAACTATGGTCATGCCAATGTGTGCTTGCTGGTGGTAGAAGGTCTTCTGTTGCGGAATATTAGTTGAAGATGTGTTACACTTGTTTATGCCGTGGAATATTTGTTTAATGATGCAAAGATGTGTGGCATTCTTTTATGTTGCATTTGCTTAACTCTGCGAAGCTGTGCTACTTTACCTGTCTAAAACACCTGGTTGGTCTAACGAAGAGCGAACAGTCGATAGCAAGGCAGGAGGAAGGACAGGCAGGGCTGGCATGCAGAGAGAATTAGTAGGAGGAGAAACTTGGTAGAGAAGATCAAGGAGTGATAAAAGGAGGAGAGGGGTGTGGGGTGGGGGACACAGTCACTCAGCTACATACACGCCCAAGCCATGGAGTAAGAACTAAAGAAACATGTAGAATAGAGAAAGATAAAAGCTCAGAGGCATAGGGTAGATGGGATCATTTCAATTAAGAAAAGATGGCTAGAAACAAGCCAAGCTATGGCTGGGCGTTCATAAGGAAGAACAGGTCTCTGTGTGTTTATCTGGGAGCTGGGTGGTGGACCCCCAAAGAGTAAAGAGCAGAAAACAGCCAACTGCAGTCTTCCATCTGGCTCTGGGTTCAGAGCACACCCCCTCTGATTCTACCCTCTGCCAGGGGCCCATTGTCTGCCCTCTCTTCCTCACCCCTGTGCCCAGCACTCCATGGCCCTGGCTGTGCGCTTTACCAGAAGCTAGGAAACAGCTTTCCCCTACCTCCCTGCCTCCCTGCTATCCCTCCCTCTCCGGGAAGATCTGTGCAGGGGGGGGGGGGCGGGCATTGGAATGAGGGCGGTACCCTGGAACCAGTCATCAAGTGAACAACGCAAGAGGGATTGCCTCCCCTGGCTAAATGACAGCAGAGGAGGAATCCTGGTGGACAGGTTGCCCTGTTCAATTCCTGGACCTCCCTGGAGCCGCTGTGCTCCGGTGTTTCTTGTTGCTGTTCTTGTTCACGCTAAGTGTGTCACTGTCTGTGGGTGATCTGCAAGCCCCTCAGTGTCTCTGAGCCTGGACCTTTCCCCTGGAAAGTGCAGAGCCTGCAGGTCTCAGTGCTGCCTGAGAACTGTGAGGAAATCCAGGCAGACTGTCTGGTGAAGAGAGGCCCCGAGAAGCCTAACTCTCCTGCTGCTGATAGTTTTATTATTTTATTTTATTTTTTAATGATCAGGTAAGTCAGGAAGGAGAAGAGTAGGTGTTCTGGAAGCTTCTGTCACCTTCCCTCAAACATCTACACCAGAGGTAACAATGAGTTTGCCTATCCAAAAGGGTATGTGTTCTCCCTGAAATCCCAATTCCAGGTGCCCCTCGGGACAAAGGACATGTGGAAAGTCACTCTGATGATGACTAGAGAAGCCTTAAGCCAAAGTTAGCTGTGTCTGCTGGCTTCTGTCAGCTAAGCCCCAAATGTCCCTTAAAGCTCTGGAGAAACAGATGTGTGTTTGAATAGAACACTGGAAACCCAACAGAAAATTTTCCTCTTCTAAAAAAAAAAAAAAAAAAAAAAAAAAAATAGAGCCCCGGAGTGAACAATCCTCCTTTACCCTGATGCAAAACTTGCACACATTCATCCTCCATTCTGCTTCCACTCTTCACACTACCCAGAATCCCTCAGGGGATGGATGGAAAACGAAGAATATCCCATTAACACCCATGGCTCTCAGCTGAACCTAGCATTCCACAGGAAACCACAGCTGCAGTTCGTTAGCAACTCCCCAGCCTTAAGATGCTCCACACCAGCAGCTGCCTGCTGCACAGGCTAGCCTGGAGCCTTTTCCACGGCTTTTAAGACCTTATGCCACTTGGTCCCCCAGTCCACACCACCCACCCACATTCTTTCTGGGTCTCCTGCCTTCCACCAGTCTGTGCACTGTTAACACATTCCAGGACTTAGAAGAAATCAGGGATGAGGCTCAACCTCTATACTCAAGGGCTTTTAAAACCTCTTGAATGCACCATCTTAACCCTTCCAGTAGCTTCCAAAGCAGAGCAAAAACCATTCCTGTTTTAGAGAGATCCAACACACTGGGAGAAAGGGAGAGTTGGTCTAAGGTCAAATGTGATGAGAGCCAGGACTGGCCTTAGCTCTTCAGATCCTAAGGACCTCCCTCTCCACTAGTGACCAACCTGCCCCAGTCACAGAGGCGTGTAGGTAGATAAGGGTAGATAGAAGGTGTATGTGCTGGGCCAGGACTCTATTCTTAAGTGGTTGGCAGTGGGTAGTATGACAAATAGATTCACAGTGAGTCGAGAAATAGAGGAGGAAGCAGTCACTCTATCCACATGGCCTTTGTACCAAGTCCAATGGCCTCTATGTGGTAGAATGGCTTTAATTCTCAGAGCTAACCACGGACAGGACATCCATGGTCCACTGTGGCAGTTCTGGTTTCTAACCATTTCTCCACCCTCCTTGGCCTCCAATCTTCCTTCTAAATATACACATGCATGCACACACTCAGGACATGTTAGATCATATCAGGTGATAAAGCATGAGATGTACTGGGACAGTCTCAGACATAAAGCAAGTTTTCTTCAAATGGCAGCTACTACTCCGCTCCTGTAGTCTAGCCAGGCTACAGGAATGGTAGGGACAAAGAGGTTCTGAGGCTTGAAGAAGATGGGGATGAATTCATGCAGGGAACAGCTCTCAGCTCAGAGGCAAGCAGCCCAATTGCTCCAGTCTATCTAGAAGGTCCCTAAATTCTGGTGTTGTAAAGACGTGGCTCCGGAATGGTACTACAGGTAGACCCCTTTCACGCTCTCAAAGGAGATTGTAACTTCCTAGCTCTCTCTCCTCTCTCTCTCTCTCTCTCTCTCTCTCTCTCTCTCTCTCTCTCTCTCTCTCTCTCTCTCTCTCTCTCTCTCTCTCTCGCTACCTGGCCATGAGGAGTATAGCTGTGCCTAGAGACTCCAGCTGCCACGCTAGGCTAATGCAGCACAGACCAAAGCAACGAGGCAGTCAACCATGGACCCGAACCTTCAAAACAGTGAGCCCAAATGAGTACTTCCTCTTTTAAGCGAACCATCTCAGGTGTCTCTTATAGCGATGGAAGACTGATTGGCCTAACCATCATACCAGCAGCTCACCTGAACTCAGGAAGCCGAAGACCCCAACTCTGTAATTGGCAATGACTACAATGAAGTTGCCAACTGCGGCCAGGATGGAGCCATCGATGGTCAGCTGTCCCCCGCTGCCTTCCATCTCCATGGCATTGTGGAAGAACACCAGAACTGAGGCATTGGAGACCTGAAGGGGTTGACGGGATGGAAGGGGTTGAAGTTGAGCTTGCGTGAGGGGAAATTGCCATTTGTGAGACCAGACTCTGAGTCCTCCTGCCAGCTCTGCCTTGACACATACTTAACCTTATCCAGTGAGCAAAATTTTATCCTCCAAATTCATACATTGACAATTTAGCTCAGAAAGTGAGCTAAGGAGACCTGACTGTGGTCCAATATGTGAACTCTGATCCCATAGGAACCGTGTCCTTTTAGGGAAAAGGCATTTGTACACAGGCATACACAAGGGAAAGACCATGAAAGACCCTCGTTGAAGGCACTGAGTGCAAGTCAAGAAGATAGGCAATGGGAGAAACCAACCTTTTGAGAAAGTTTGTGTAGCTCAAGCTGCCTAACCATGGAAGTCTGTAATGTCATCACTGATGAGTATGTTATTTCGTAGGTAGGAAAGTGGAGGCTCACAGAGGTATGGATGCTGTGCTAATGTTTCAAGGTGAGCAGGGGTAGGAACAAGGCTCAGGACAGACTTGGAGTTTCACTTCCTTCATGCACCTTTTTTCTCTCATGGTCTGTGGTCCTCCAGCTACTCAGCCCCACAACAACAATTGCTTCTTAAGCACATACAGGAAGAATCGTGTTCAAAGTTATAGCCTAACACTTCATCTCCACGCATCTCATGCAAGAGCCTATCTAGAAAGGCTGAGGCCTCTTGTTCACTTTCAGTTCTCATAAAGGGAGCTCGGTGCCTCTAAGGATAACACTGTAGGAGCACAGGTTACATAGAGCCCAGGAAAGGCAGAAAAAGGGCCACTAAAAGTTATTCACCAGACAACACAATCAGTGTTTCTATACTCACCAGGCCCTCGGGGACAAACACATTGAGATACAAGCAGTCTTCACTGATTTGGGGAGGCGTTGGGCTACGGGTACCTGGTTGCCAGCAGCTGGCCCTGAAGAAATAAGGCATGGGATTTTCAGAGAAATATCAAAGGGACCTGCCTCCTCTCCCTTTCCTCCATACCCACTACTCGGGGCCAGAGCCAAAGGCCTGGTTTTGCTGTAGCTCTGGAGTAGTTGAGGAAGCTCCAGGTCATAGGTACAGCCAGAGAGTAGAAGGAATAGCAGCATGCCCATGACCTTCTCTGGCCATTGGGCTGTGGAAAATACTTGCCACCCAGAGGTAAATGTGCTAACCAGAGTTCCAAAGCCAGAGAGAGAGCTGTCAAGGCCTTGGCCTTTCCTTGCTATATCGCCCAGACTCAGCCCTGGGAAGAGGTATCAGACTAACCTTCTGCCTCAGAGAAGTGGCTTGGGTGTCAGTTTGAGTGGCTCCTTGTACAAGAGCTCATCTGGGATCCCTCCTCATGGCCACACAAGGATCATCTACCCAAGGCCATTTGGACTCATCCTCCAGTGTTACCAATCCTGGGCTACAATGACTGAACTCTGTGGCCACTGTCTACTCAAGATCTGTGTGGTCACCTACCTCTTCAGTCTCTTGGGTACATCCTAGTACAGAAAGGTTCTCCAATTAGTGCCTCTGGTTTTGGGGTTTCTATGGGTGGAGCCAACTCAACACCACTCTGTTGCATTTTACTTTGCCACTCTACTCGAGTGGTCCTTGTCACCTTTCCTGAGGGGCTTCAGGAGCCCCTCCCTCATCCTGTACTTCCAGGGAAAGGCGTTTGCTCAGCAGAGGCCACTGAAGGCATGGAGAAGAATACTCCTGACGACAGAGCCACGGGAGCCAAGGAGAGAACGCAAATGGAGGAGGTACCAGGAACCTACTCCCCAAGGGGCTAAGCATATCTCTCACAAAATACTCCAGTGGTATTCATGATGTGTTCACGTTTAACATGAACGGTCTGATGAGGGGAAATGATGGGGTCTGAGCGATACGCAGAAAAGCAAAGCATCCAACAGCTAGAGAGTTCTCATCTCTACCAAGGCTGTGTGATCCTGTCCTCAGCATGACTGCAGACTGAGACCCTGAGCTCCTCCTGTCTTTATATCCCTCTCTGGTGCTGGGATTAAAGGTGTAAACCCCCACCCCCCACCCCAGGCCTCTGTGGCTAGCTAGTATGGCTGTTGGGATTAAAGGTGTGTGCCACCACTGCTTGGCCTGTATGTCTGACTAGTGTGGGTAGCTCTGCACTGTGATCTTCAGGTAAGTTTTATTTGTTAGATCATAAACAAAATACCATCACAATAAGCTCAGAAAAGACGAGGATGGAGAAGCAGAACTCCTTATGTTGTTCTACGGTTTTCTCTTTCTTTGGCTTGATCATCTTTCCCATCATGTTGCATTTTCAATTCCATTACATTAAACGTCTGGCCAGATATAGTAACACACATGTAGTCCCAATCACTCAGGAAGACTGAGGTTGGAGGACCTCAGGTTCAAGGCCAGCCTCAAACTACATAGTGAGGCCCTTATCACAGAAAGACAGACAGGAAAAAGAAGGATGTGAGGGAGGGAAAAGTTAAAAAAAAAAAAAAAAAGAAAAAGAAAAAAAGAAAAAAAGAAAAAGAAAGAAAGAAAAAAGGAGAAAGCTCCTTTAAAAAGCCAGATAAATGTTGCTGACTTTGACAACTACAATACCGGTGTGATGCATATGGCCATCTCACACCTGACCCCTATGAACCTCCTAGAGATTTTTCCCACAGCCTCATGTTCCTGGACACAAATGCCCAAGGAGAATTTGGAAGAACCATTTGTTGCTAAATGCAGCTCCTCCTTAGCCTGGGTTCCAGAGTCACTGCCTGGACCAGAACACACAGGCCTTTCACCCGACGGCCTACCTGTGAGCAAAATAGCACTGGCCCGATGAAGCTGGGCAGCCAGCACTGGTATTATTTAATAGCATGCAGTCCCATTCTAACCAGAACTCCTGGCTCTGCCATGACAGTTACACCGGGATGTGCATTCGTTGGGCATTCACCAAAATGGTGCCACTTGCTCCATATCCATACCTTGGCTTGGTGGCGTCCCAGGAGCCTGTCCAATTCAAGACCTCTGGTGGCCTGAAGCGACTGTCTCCCAAGGGTGGGGCAGCGTATGGAACGCCAAGGAACTGGTGGACCTGCTTCCAAGAAGTGCCCACCTTGACGACCTGAGTCCTACCCTGAAGCTGGCCCAAGGGGTCGATGCGTGCAGAAGGTGTGGATGCTACATCAGAGAGGAGCCGAGGGATTCCTGGTGGGGAGGTAAGAGCAGGGAGGCAGACAAGGACAGTGAGGACTGGCTTTCCAGACGGCTTCCATGAAGAAAGCAGACGCCATTGCAGTTTGAGGCAGCTAGAAACATGCCAGGGGGCCATTTGCATCCATATTTGAGGTTAGCCAAGGTTAGCTTTCAATGCCAGCAACAGCAATATCAATGGTAGAAGCCGCTCCATGTGGCATAAAGCTGGAGCAAGGACACACCGACTCCTGTTCATGAATGGTCTCCTGCGTTTTTCTGATGCTCCCGAGGAGAAGGGTTAACCCAGGCCCGTACCACACACCACACACCCGGGAGCGTAGAAAAGGGGCACTGGACATCAACTGGCAGTCTGGAGTTGAGCCTCTTATCAAGCTCTTCTTTTTGTTTCTTACTCCTGAGTCGGAAGGTCTGGATCATTCATACTGAGATGGAAGAAGGCATTTCTCCAGTCGGCTCAGCCCAGATTTGGGACAAGTGAGTCTGCCCTCAGTTTATTTTAACTACTAGATCACCTTTCTTTCAGCCTCGTGACTGAAGAAGGGTTTACAGTCCTGGAGTAGAGACAAGGTGTGATGGGTGATGCTCATCAGAGCTCTCCCTCCTTCCCTTGCCCAACCATGCCTGTTCATACAAGCCAAGCCTTCCTATTGGTTAATCATTCCAGCCCTCTCCCCCATAGCCTCCAGGCCTTCCCTGCCTGGGTGCCTTGATTCACAATCTGGTGCTGCTCAGGCCTGCTTGGTGAACCAGAGTTACCCCAAAGCCACCACACTAATCAGTCTGTTACTGGCCACCAGCGCCTGCCTGTCTTATTACCTCTCCTACTTGTCTTCCCCTTCACCAGTTGATTCAGTAATCTTTACTGGGTCCTAAGCACAATGACAAGGGGTCTTGAGATGGTCCCTCATAAGACCTAGGCCTTGCACAAAGAAAACTACAAATGCCAGCAAAGAAAGATGAAGTGTGTGTGTGTGTGTGTGTGTGTGTGTGTGTGTATACATGTGTATGTTGTGTGAAATCTCTTACTGTCCTAAGGCAAGCTTGCTCTGATCTGAGCTGACAGAAAACAAAGCCATTCTGCTCCCTGTGTGACTCCTCCTATAAAAATGTGTCTATCACGGTGATGACAAACCAAAGTGTAAGAGGCACTGATGGTGGGCGGAAGCTGGGCCATTCCCTAAGAACTGCTGCTGTATGCAGTGATTCTTGCCTGGGAGTGTCACAGCTAGGTTGTGGAAGGTGGTGACTTATCCAGCTGGAGATTCTAAACATCATACAGTAGATGGAACAAGACACTCTACTCAACAAAGGATGGAACAAGACACTCTACTCAACAAAGGATGGAACAAGACACTCTACTCAACAAAGGATGGAACAAGACACTCTACTCAACAAAGGATTCTGCAGCAGATATGCCAGAGGGGATTGAAGCTGAAAAACCTGCTGTGGTGTCTGTTGGTGACCTGGACACGGGCTCAGCAGGGTGAGGCAGAACCCATGATGCCCTGGGAGAGCACCTGCTCCTTACACGATGGAGCCGGTGCAGTTTGGCCAAAGGTTGTGGTGTGCCTGAGCCTCAGATTCCCTCATGTTAAACAGGGTGGCACCGGTTCTGCAATGCAATGGTGCCAAGACTGAATGGCAACTGAGGGTGCATTTCAAGCCTGGAGCTTGACCAACGGAAGGAACTGCACGTGTGGGTGGACAGAATGGGGGAAGGAAAGAGATAGATGGATGGAAGGAGAGCTGGGGGATGGCAGAAAAGTGGAAGATGGGCTGAAGGAATTTACAAAATTCCCAGAGTATGAGTTAGAGCCCCAAATGGAAACAGGATGCAAATGGGCGGTTGTTTTCTAGTAGAGAACACAGCACAAATCATGAAGTCATCTCCACCAACTTTCAATCAAGGGTCTCAGACAACCTGTCTATGTGGCTGCTAAGATGGCTTGGATTTCTCCTGCTTTGTGGGAAGCAGCCATGTGCCCTGAGCTGGACCTGCACTAAGTAAGTAAGGCAGGAACAGGAATGAAAACCTGCTCTGTAGACTGCAGCCTGGTTTCAAGTCTGGCGTATGGTGGTGCCTGCTCAGGCTGTCTGCATGCTCAAACCTAGGAAATATGCCAGATGGGCAGCTTTCCCTCTGAACCCTTGCAAACATAGTGGATTCTGCAAACACTGCGCATTGAATCCTGCGACTGCCTTGACTAGTACTCTGTGCTTTGCAGGTGTAGGTGTGCACGCTCCTCTTTAGTATGTGGCTGCCCACTGAGTGTCAGTCTTGAAGTAAGAGAGAGGCATGTAACTTGATTCTAAGACCCATCCTTGATTTAAGGCAATATGGGACTCTCATATTGATTAGCTGCACTCTTGGAACACACTGTTACAAATCTTCCCAGATCGACTCAGCATCTGGTTAGAAGATAAGGCTCTAGAGGTTTACCAGGACTGGGAGACACTCATAGCCTGAATGTTTAAGGCAACAGAGGAGGAAATCCCTGGCACGCAGAGTGGACTTAAGGAATGACTGTCTGCACTGGAGATAGGGACATCCCAGTCACTCCTGGATTTATCATGAAAGTTTTAGAGACACACCGGTCCATTGCGTTGACATATACTGCTGCTTTTATCTTACAATGGCTGTAGAATATCTGCAACAATAACATACAGCCACGAAGCCTATTACATGTTTCATCTGATCCGTTCTAGAGAAAAGGTGCAACCCTGCTTCAAGAGACAGGGTGACAGGTATGGCAAATAGCTCAACAGCCATTCACTTCCCCAGTAAGAGTGTTCAGTAGGGCAGGTTTCCTCCATGGTCTCTGGCTCATGTTCCCTGGCTCACGGCTCGTTTCCTGGCTTCTTCTGTGATAGACTTATATGCATCTCCACCCCACCTTCACGTGAAGGACTGCCTGGCATACATTGTAAGTGATCTCTGAAGTATTTATTTATATGGAGTACTGGGGGGGGTTATGCTAGGCAAGAACCCTACAACTAAACTATAGTTCTAGTCCTGCGTGACTTTAAAACTCAACCGAGCTGAGAAGTTTCCTCTGAGAATGAGGCTGAGGCTGAGGGTGGCACTGGGAGGCAGATGTGCCTCTAGGTCCCCCCCCCTTCTGCCATCACCTGACTTCCCTGTAACACAGAGTGCACAGCTCCTACATGAGGAGAAGGCGCCAGGCCTGCAGGCAAAATAAGGCATGGGCAAGAGCTTTCTAAACCACACAGTATCTAAACAAAGCACATTTAACTATTATCTTATGGAATCCAAAGGCCCAAATTGCTTCTGTGATTCAAAGAATAAATGTGCAAAAACAGGAATTTCTCAAACCTCCGCTATTGCACCCAGAAGAACGCTACCTAGCCAGCAACCTTTGGCCAAGTCTCCATTAAGTATTTTGAAGTCACTGCCCTCCAAATCACAAAAACAAATATCCTTCCCAGCCAGCCCCAGCCCCCCCAAACCAGTGATGGCTTCAGAGGCCCAGTCTGACTCACCAGATTTCCGATAGATGTATGCAGCCTCTTCACGGAGTAAAAGCCAGCAGGTGTGGCTCTTTAGGCTATGCAAGCAGCTCTGTGTGTCAGGATAGAACACGCACCTCACACCCTCAGGCTGGATCTGCAGGGCGGTGACAAGGCAGGCCTGGTGACGGGAGCATTCTGCAGAACAGAAGAGAGAGAGGGGCCTGGGCTCAGAGCCATTACCTCATTCATGTAGCCATGCATTACCACATGCACACATACATCCATCTACCCGTGCACCAATCTACCCATGCACTGCTCCACCCACGTACCTTACCACATGCATCCAATCATGCATCCTATTTACTCATCCACAATGTCAGCTGATAGCCATCCACCCTATCAAAGCATACATCCACCAATGCATGTGCCCATCTTTCCATCTATCTATGTATCTATCCATTATAGAAGGTCTCATTCATAAATTCTGTGCACTGTGGCTGAGAATAAAACAGTGGTGGTAGAAACCCGACCAGCCATCAAGATATTTTACACAAAATGGTCATGTTTTTAATTGCTTAATTATCTCATAAATGTGCTCTTCCCTTGCTTAAAGATATTTCCATACCCTCACACAGCTTCCCATGGGCTTCATGTGCAGCACAACCCTCTGTGGTCCATCCCCTAGCATCCTCATTAGACCTACTTTCCTTTGGCCTCCTGTAACTCTTCCTTAACCTGTGACATGCTCACTACCTTCCGTCTGAACTACGCCTTTTCCTGTGCAAGCCTCGCGCTGTCACAGTTTAACCTACTTCCTGGCACTCAGTGCCAAGGATAGCTCTGGGGAATGGGCCAGGTCACTGGACTGTCTGAGCTTTGTGTGTTGTGCCCCTTTACTCAAAGTCCAGATTCTGAATGACACTGGCCGGGGCTGCGTAGCACACAACTTGCCATCCACACGTGGCAGTATAGTCTTTATGACAAACGTCCGGTCACGTGGAGAAGGTGATACCCAACATTTGTATGTCTTGAAAGGGTTCAGAATATCCGGGTGCAAATGTCAGCCAAACTAAGCCACCCTTAGAAAAGGAAAACCTTTGTGGAACGTTAGAATCGTGTGGTCAGCTCGTTAATAGTTTAATATCGCCAATGATGCCTATGAACTCTACATAGAGGTGTATCTGGAGATGACTGTGCCCACCACAACACTCCAAATTGCTTTGAAAGTATCTCATACTTTACTGGTTACCCCATAGATCTTGGCATAGTCGCAGGACCCTGTCCAGGCACCCACGGCAGCCCACCTTCTATCTAAGGGTACCCACCCGGCTCCATGTACCTCTGTTTTTCTCACCCTCACAATAATCCCACTTCTGGCGGCTGATATCCCTGTTGACTGGTTCACGGCCCTCAGTGGCCATCTGGCTGTTTGCAAACCCTGACTACAGACTGCCTGGTGAGGAGCGGGGAGACTCTCACGCATTCCCTACTTTGTTAGTTGTTCCCTGTCGGGTGTTCCCGCCATCTTGGAATCTCTTGTCTACCATTGGTTGGTATCTAGGGCAGTACTTGGCTGAGGCCCTGCTGTGCCCTCTCTGGGGGGATCTCTTACCCTGCAAGCAGAAGTCCTGGGCCACAGAGAAGTTGTTGGTGGCTGTGGTGCTGACATGGGCGACATCAAAGTGCTTGATGGATGGGTCCACAATCACTGAAGAGAGGGGCAGCGTCTGCCAGGCGTTCAGAGCAACTGGGGGACAGAAGAGAGATGATCACGTGTGGTTATCGCCAGGGACAGAATGAAGGCCTTGGGGACTTCCCCAAAAGCTACCACAGTGGCCTTCGTGAGGTTTCTCTTGTGTCACCGTATGTGTTTGTCTTTTCTGTTGTGTCATACCTTGCCTTTTTCTGTATCTCCACTCTGTAACTACTTAAGTGGAACAAGCTCCGAGCGCAAGTGTTCAAAGTTTGAAAATTAGACAAGCAAATGAAGGCGTTGTGTGTCTGCAAACTGAGACAAAGGAGGAGGGGGAAGTGGAGAGGACAAGGAAATTAATGGAGGTCAGACGCCACAGAGATAGCCGGTCGCTTCGCAGACGTTTCTCTTACTCATCCCCCAAGCCTGCTGCTTTCTGTAGGGGCACCATGATGGACTACCTAGACCCCTATAGAAATTAAGCTCTCATGTCCACTTAGCATCTGGTTCTCAACTAAGTCATTCTAACCACTGACGCTCATCTAAGGGAGCTGGCTCCTTCCCCCAGGGATAGCTTGTTTCTAGAAGCTAATCCGTGCAGATAGTCCTGTCGTCTGCCCTGACCACAAACATGCCTGACCCAGCTGCTGCTCTCAGAGAGATGGGCTGGACCATTGTCTGACTCTCTGTCTTCTTCCCAGTCCGGAGAAGTCCTGCCCCTTCTCCCTGTGGTCCTGAGTCCTACAGTGCTCCATGTGCAAGCATGGCCAAACACTCTGTTTAAGGATCATCTCAAGCAGTGCCCACCTCATAGTCTGTTTCCCGGAAGACACAGTCATGGCATCTGCTTTTAAACATAAAGAAAACGAGGCTCAGGAATAATGGCAGGGTTTGCCAGTGTGAGGAGAACTCTTGCCTTCACAGCTACGGAGCCTATGTCTGACTATGGTTGCCTCCCAATACCCCCAAGGTTTCCACACGATAGGTGGTACAAGAACACAGACAAAGATGTAGCAGCTAAGCAGAAGGCTTGGGTGTGCACAGATGGGTGCGTTGGAGTCACGGCTCCAAGGCTGTGAGTAAAGGTAGGCCATGGGAGAACAGTTGAGCATTGAGATGGGAGCGCCTCTCTGAGGCCAGAGGCTGCCCTACCCTGGTATGGGTTGTGTGAGTATCCAAGGCTGCTGACTCTAGAAAAGCCCAGCTCAGCAGGGACAGCACTGAAGATTAGAAGAGAGAATCATGCCCTCCCTTCCCGTGTCTCTTTGCTCCAGAAGATCACAGCTGCTTGTTGTTCTTATAGATAGTTGTGAGTGTGGACCTCTGGCTAGCAGAGCACAATGATGGCATAAGGTATCAGGCTTTGTGAATGTCTGCTACATCTGATTTGATATCACAGCACTCTGAGTGTGGCAAGGGTTAGTTAGGAGTCTAATGCTCCTCAAAAATGTGATACAAAGGCAAATTAATTCATCAAAAAAAAAAAAAAAGAACAAAAACAAAAAACCTGGAAACTGCCCTAAGTCTTCTGAGGTCACTGTCCCAATGTCCCTGTTCCTAGTTGAAGGAGGGTCTTTGTTTTGCTAGCACAGCACCACAAGCTACATGGGGAGCCTGCAATTTCAATCTCCAACCCATGTTTATCACCAGTGCTGGGCCACTAAAGTTAGTATGGTAAATAGAGCCATGAGACAGCCTAACCCACAGCCCTCACCCATGCCCCTCTGTAATAGGATTCAGCGGACAGAGCACTTTAAAAGGCGACAGGAGTTTCTCCCTGTTCTATGCACTTCAAGTTTGAGATCTAGGCTTGAGTGAGGTTGAGTTTCTTAGTCCCTCCTCATGGTTCATGGATGCTAATTTCCTGTCATATCCTTAAATGGCAGAGCAGAGGACAAGCAATCTCTTTCCCATCTCTCCTGGAAAACTACTAATACCACCAGGATGGCCCCACTGTCCAAGCCATCGTCTCCCACGCTCTGCCTCGCAACACCATCCCTGAGGCAGAGGAACCAAGGGCCGGATTTTTCTGTGCGTGGCTCTAGTCAGGCAGCCTCCTCTGGGCTCTCCTTTTCTTCAGCTGTTCTGCATGCTACTGTCTTCACAGACAACTCAAAGGGCGCCTTTGTGATGTGGCTACTCTTAGATGTTCTTAGATGGAGAGAAACTGAAATTTCAGAGAAGAGTGATCATGGGTTTTAGGACCACAGAGGCCAATTATGGTCCAAAGATGGAAACCTTGACCCTACTCCATGTTTAGGCTGCCGTCTCTGTAATTAAAGAGTAAATTACATCCCCAAGTGGGAGCCAGCTGCTGTGTCACCCCAGAGGATCTGAAGCCAAGTCCTTGCCAATGTCCCTACCGTCCCCCACGCAAGCCTGCGTGATGTCTCTTGAGTGAGCCTTTGTTGCCAGCATCTGAGGGCTCATAGGCTTCCTATAATATTTCGGAGAAACAGGCTTTTGAGGACACAGAAGCATGTGGAAGCTTGAGATCCTGGTGACTTTTCGTGTCAATTTACTATCAGCCAGGAACTCACAACACCATCGCACCATCACTTGTGCAAGATGTAAGAGCCCAATAGTGTGCCGCTGTCTGAAACCGCTGGCATGAATGGGGTTACTAGCATTGATGGAGCCGTACCTCCACATGCAGTAACCAGGATCTACTGTAGGTGACCTCCTCTCCGGGTTGATGATGTGGCATCCTTTGAGGGCTTGTCCACTGGGGAGGGGTTCGTTTGAACAGAAGATGATTCCTCTGTGTTTATTTCCTTTCTTTTTTTTTTAAAGCACACATATGGTAATTATGACGTCAGAGTCATTTGTGACAAAATAGACCCTTCCACAAAGCTTTATTGCACATACACACCAGTATCTCTAGGTATCTACCTCTATCTCCCTCTGTATATAGCACACACACTCTCTCTATATATATATATGTATGTATGTATGTATGTATGTATGTATGTATGTATATGTATGTATGTATACACATACATACATACATATATAGTACATTAGTCACTGCTGTGGGAACCGCTTCTTTGTCAAACATCTATTGTTGGATAATGGATTTGTTCTCACACAACTTAAACCAGAGACATTCTATTTCACATTTTACCATCTGTTTGTAGCAATCTTTGTACCACTATTAGTTATTTATTCTGGATTAAATTTGAAAACTTCCCTGTCAAGTTTCAAGGGTGCTCCCTTGGTAATCATATGTAATGATTTTAAAATTCTACATTCATCTCTTTGTTTGGGTGTTGTGGATTAATACACAATGCTGTTAAAAGCAGAATGTGTTTCTTTTCTCTCTCTTTGAAATGGCCACTGCTGTCATAAAGGGAAGATGTTTTGTGTTTCTGTTCTATCTCATTTCAGTCCGGAAAACAGTGGGGCCAAGCAATCACAGGCTGAAACAGTGAGCTGAAATCAACCCGTCCTCCCAAAGGATTGTTTTCCTCAGGTACCTTTGTCACAGTGATGGACAGCTGACCATCCCAAGCCTCCTTCTATTTCCCACATACAGTACCTTGTAGCAAAAGGTGTATCTTGGAAAAACAGGCCACTAAGTTCCCAAATGAGGCTCCCTTACCCACCCTATCAGCTCCTATGTCCAATCTACCTTCTGGCCTGCCTGAGGAATGTCCCTGAGACTCTGGGTGGTCTTCCTTGCCGCCAGTCTTGGCTGGTTGTGGTCATTCTCATGCTGTGGACTCTGCCTGGCACAAACCTAGGTCTGACTACAGAACTCCACATCAAGCCTCCTCCAGGAGTCAGCAGGCTGTGGCTGGCAGGGAGGGTCCCTGAGGTTTGCAGCCACATGAGTCTCTCCCAAGCCTACAGTCTAGGCTTGGTCATCCATACCTGCCTGCTATACATGAATCGTGGGAACAGGAAACAAAAGGAAGCTGATAGACTTTCTCTAATCAGCATCTATCCTCCTTACAGTAGGGGGGGACTGAGGTCTGGGAGGAAAGGGCATGGGGCATCTAAAGGTTATAGAGGTTCCAACCCAAATCACATGGCAGAGCTTGGCAGAGCCAGCAAAGAGTTGTGTTCTTTCTGCCCCGTCTCTGTGATCTGGAGCCTCCTCCAATAGCTGGTGACATCAGATGAGCCCTCACCAAACCAGCAGCCTCAGCCTGACCAAAACCTTATCCACACTTGGGGCTCCAGCCTGCTACTGCCATACCATGAAGAGAGGCTTGCCCAAAGCCAGCTATCATTAAGCTGGAAAGTTTGTATTTGCAACTAGGATACTGCACACAGTATGTCCTCTTACAAACCACAGAACCCTTGAAGAGATGGGATAGAGGGGAGAGCAGACACTGGGAGGGAGGATAGAGCAAGCTGTTCCAGGCTCTGGAAGCCAGAGAGGCCTGCCACCAGGCCCTGGCAGCCCAGGCAGGCGAGGCACTAGTGTGCCCTTCGAAAGTCTCTTTTGATTATTGCTGGGAATTGACAGCCATATATGTTGATGGATCATGTGATATTAAGGCACATGAGTATGATGTGGAAGTGCAGTGAGCCTCACATTTTTAAGAAAAAGAATACCTTGTTGTCGTCATCACCATCACCACCATCACCACCACCACCATCATCACCACCATCACCACCATCATCATTATCATCATCACCATTACCACCACCATCATCACCACCATCATCACCACCATCATTACCATCATCACCACCATCATTACCATCACCACCACCATCATCATACTTCTCAGTGCTATTATTTCTTGATACAGTTTCTTACTATGTAGTTGAAGCTGGCCTAGAAACTCTTGATCTTTCTTCCTTAGCCTCCCAGGTACTCAGATTGTAGGCATGTGTCAACATGCCGGGTTTAAGACAGTGAATTTCAAACATTCTCCTCAAAAACAGTTGCGAGAGAATGAGGTCATGGATATGCCAATTGGGCTTATTTGCTCATGTCTTCTCTTTCTAATGTTCACTGTGTTTTTTAAAAGCTAGACTAGAATACTTTTGAAGATGTTCATTATACACACACTCTGAGTAATCAGGCATCTGTACTGGCCTGTCCTTGGGGTCCTGACAGGATGCATCCTCAGCTGCAGCCACTGAGAGCACCACCTGTGCACATTCACCACGTTCCCTTTAAAAAGGGCCCTGCCCGCCTCCCCCCTCTCTATCTTCTCTACCTGTCCCTCTGTTTCTCCTTCTCTCTACCTCCCCCCTTCCTCTCTTTCCTCTGCCATCTTGTCCCTAGAGGTTGGTCTCCCCGCTTTTCCCACTCACTTTACAATTTAAAAAAACAAAACCAAAACAAACAAAAAAACCCTCCACCCAAGCTCTGCCAAATGGCTGTCTTTCTCTTGAGCATCCCTTTTTAAAATTACAACACAGATAATGAACCATTTTAAACTCCCCTAGCTTCCGCAGTCCAGGTCAGCTCCAGAGAAGAGGTTAGATTCCAGAGCTTGGAGCATTTTCAAGTGTTACAATTCTTCCAGAAGAGGGTCCTAGCACTGCAGTGCTTGTCAACCCAGGAGAGGGAGGACAGTCCTGGCCATCCAGGAGACCTGAGCTGGCCCCTGCTCTAACTGTCATCCTTCCCATGTGAAACTGGAAAAGGTACCTTTCGGCATTTTTACCTCAGATTAAAAAAGAGGTGACACATGCTGGATGTTCTTCTGAGTGGTCAAGAAATCACAAGACATGTCCCCCCATCTGAGAGGTCACAACTGCAGAGTAATAGTCACTGCATGTCTGCTGTGAGGGGCTCAGAGTCTGCGCCCAAAGCCTTTACTAGTTGATAACAACTAGAGGTCTTTGCCTCCTCACCCTCTTTCTGAGTTCTCATCCCAGCTGTAGAGGAGCTGCGGGGGAGGCTGGGGTGTGTGTGTGCCCGACACTCCTCAGTCTGCCTAAGGCAAATGGCAAAAGCCTTTGTAATTTTGTACCTTTCCAGTATTCCTATCTCACTGCTATGAGTCAGACTGGCCTCACACCCACCTCACCCTTCCTCCCAGAAGTCAGAGCCACAGGTAAATGCCACTACATCAGCTTAGCAGCCAGGTTCCTGGCAGCCGAAGCCTTCCAGGCCCTGTTCTTCTGGAACAGATTAGACAGTGCTGCCTTGGAAGCTCTGAGAGCCCCATGGCCCCTGCAAGGAAGGAAGAGCTCAGCATTGCATCAAGCAGTTTCAACCTGTCACATGGTGCCAGCAGCCACCTCAGAGTCTCGGACACTTGGTTCTCATATGTGACCTTCTCTTAGCGAGAGTCACGTTACAGGTGTGCTATGTGGCTTTCCCACTTAATATCACTTAGGAAAACCCAGCTGTCACTCGACTAACAGGAAGAGAGGAAGATGGACCCCTCTCGTTGTAGTGGTCACTGTGTGTAGAGCACAGACATTGGCTGCCTTAGTGTGTCTCCACAGGGAAATGACTCCCATTTTTTGCAGGTACTCCTGGTATAGAAATGCTCCTTCGCCACTGATAACAGTAGAAAATCCCAAGGCATTCCCACTACCCTTCATTCTCCAGACACTTAGTTTGGAATGTTAAGTCCCCAGTTGTCAGTCTCCCTGAAGGCTCACCGACTCCTGTCCATTTCTATGGTCTCTGCCCCTTCATATCAATGCCATACACTTTTATAAAGACAGATTTCTTCACTGGAAAAACACACTGTGTGTGTGTGTGTGTGTATGTGTGTGTGTAAGAGAGAGAGAGAGAGAGAGAGAGGGAGAGGGAGAGAGAGGGAGCACACGTATGCGTGAAACTATGTATCTTTGGGTCACTTAGACTGCTCCTAAACCACAAATCTTTGGGAGGTGCTTTGACCACCCCGACAGTGTTTATATACTATCCTGACACAATTCAAAACAAATTTTGGTTCAGACATGGCTCTTCGGTGAGGACTCGGGCGTCATCAGATCTAAGCTATGCACCTCTGCCATCTATGACAATAATGACATGGTACTTCAGGGGACTGGCAGGGTTTAGCAGCCCCCGAATAGAGGACGCTCGGGGGGTGGGGGGTCTATATGTGTATGCGACGTGAGCTTCAAAGCCATCTGCTTTCACTCCGAGAAGCAGACTGGTGACACTGGCTGACATTTTTGTTTGTTTGTAATAACCCCTTCCTCCATGATCTATGGTTTAGCTCCCCAGTCAGGGACAAATGACAGGCATCTCAGACTTGTCAAGCGCCATGACATAGGACGGAAGTTAATGATATATGGGCTTTTAGCTGAGTGGCACCGGGAACCTATTATGCGCCTCTCATTCCCTAACGGGGGATGTAGAAGGAACAGCGCCGAAGGCTTGTTACTCCTCCTTGGCCAGACCTCTTCCCCTCACTCCAGAGCACAAAGCAGCCCCAGCCCCCACTCTCCTGACTTCCCATGCTGCCTTGCAGCGTGCTGCAGTGGAACAGAAGGGTGGGCTGACTCGGTCTTGGTTGAACCCCTGGGTCTGGCACTGGGATTGCTTCAGGGTCTAGTGCACTCTCCGGACAGTGACTGCCAGCGCCAGGTGACTTGTCCCAATGAGACCACAGCACCACTCTCCTGACCCTGTGTGGGACTATCAGTCTAGTCTATATCTGGGAGGGTGACACACTGTTAGACAGGACAAGGAAAACACCGGGCCTAAGCCCCATACGATCCTGTTTTGTGTGCATTTCTGCCATTTATAATGGTGGAAAGGGTATCCAGCCTACCTAAATGTGTTTGGTCCACAGAGTCTAATATTCATGAGTTTAACAGTGCCGTGTCTTATCAAGCCAAGCCATTGCACAAAGGCAAAGGAAAAGAGGTGAAAGGAGGTGATATTTCTCCCAAGAATGATCAGACAGACAATGAACTTACCCTTGTCCTCGGCGAGGGACGGCAGGGCAGCGGGAGGGCAGAAGCTGGGAATGCCACTCTGCACAGCTGGAAAGAAGCAAAGGCGGTGTCACAGCCATGGAGACAACAGCAGAGGTCCGGGGCAGGGACGCAAAGCCGCGGACTGTGCAGGTAGGTCAGGAGGAGCCAGGGGAGGCGCTCCACGCTGACTTCCTCTCCCATGACTCAGGAAAGCTCCATCTGAATCCATGCTACAGTTACCAGGGTCAAGAGCATGCAGCCCACTTCAATACTGCTTTACTGCTCCACCTAAGAGTGGCATGCATTGTCCACTCACATGCCATCGCCATTGGCCACACCACAAACGCCTGCCTCTGTGACCCCCGATTGTGGGCAGAGCACCCCATGCCTCAGTTCTTACTTCTGTACTATGGAGTTGGAACAGCCTACTAGCAAGGTTACTGTGGGCCTGCAGAGGTAACCCAAAGTGTGATGTTTGCCACAGAACGAGGTACAGAGGCTTCAATAAAGAGCGGTGATAAATAGACAGTCACATGAACTTTGGGGAAAGACAGGTCTGGCTTTGAACATGACATATGACAGGGAAGCAGGGCAGAGGCCTTGGGGTTTGTACAGTGAACATGGCATACGTCAGCGAGAAACCGCGTACCATGTAGGTGTCACAGAAATGACGGGTCAGCTTCCCTTCCATAGCCTTCACTGAACAGATCCAGATCTCCAAAGCAGCCTCTTTCCTTCTCCTTCCAATGACTTAAACAGACTTGGTATTTCCAACACGTTCCCAGACGCCAACCTCTGAGCTGACGCCCTGTTCACCCACACTGGAAGCCCGCAATTGCTATCACCTTTCCACGACACTCCTCTGTCACCCACCCTGCTTTGTTCTACCAAACACCCTCCCTTCCCGGAAGGAGGTCAGAGTAGGGGATCTGAGAGAACAGTCTAGAGTATGTGAGGGTGTTCATTCAAATGTGTACTCCCTGTTATCTGGGGACTCGGGTCCAGAAATGCACAGAAAGCTCTGATGGGATGCGAGAGCTTCTTACAGAAACATCTGAACTGAGGACACATGGCGGAGACAAAGCCCTCAGCAGCCCCTTACACACACTGCTACCTAGTTCTGCCTGCAGCAGCAGTCTAGCAGCGTAAAACATACCGCGGTTGGTTTGAATAATGACCTCGGGTAGCACAACAAGCATTTATGACACTGGCATGTAGTAGGAGCTCGGTATCTGGGATCTGGGATTCCCTAGCAAAGGGCTCCTCTGGCCTGTGACATTTCCCGAAGGACAAGAGAATGGAAGAATCGTTTATCTTATTGTCTTCTTCCTAGGATAACTTGGGATCTCAGTGACTCAGTGACTGAGCTGGTGGCTGGAGACCTTCATGGCTTCCAGATAGGACTTAGTTGCTACAGAGACTAAGATCGAAGGGTCTATGCACCAGTGACCAATGACGTGATTGGTGACCTCTGCTCCATGGAGTCACGTGAGAGCCCCTGAGCTCCAGGGTTTGGGAAGGTGAGCACATGGCCAGGGTGGGCAAGGGAGCCCCTCATTCCCACTTCCGACATCGTCCACATGGCCAGAACTGGGTTGTAGGGCATTGGTTTTCGTTTGCTTGCCTTGGCGGATATGGGACCCTGGGTGTCACACGTGTCAGAGAAGCACTCTTCTGAGCTACACGCTATCCCAGCCCCAGCTGAACCTTTCCTAGTGAAGTATGAATAGTGGCTTGTAGTTTCTCTGCATTTCTTGAGCTGGTTTGGCAAACTACTGAATACCAGTAGGGGACCTGGAAATTCTCAACTTACGGACAGTTGCTTGGAAGAACAGAAGACCCTGGCCTCATAATTAGCAGGTAGTGGGGGAAATCTGTGGGGTTGGTCCCCTTTACATGGGTTCTGAGTTCTGACCTCAACTTGGGGTATTTAATGTCAGAACTACAAGAATCCATAAACTGGATTCATAAAGACCCAGTTTATATCTAGAGAATTGGGATCTTGGCTACAGATGGGACTGTGTCAGAAGTGTTGGGGGGGGTTAAAAAAAAGCCTCCCATTCCATCTTGGCTGGGTTTAAGAAACAGAATAAGCCTTACCTCATTGGTTTGTGCAAAGCGAGAAGGCGACATGGTGAGGGAACACCGGCTACTAGCAAATGGTAGGAACACATAGTGCTTGGTATGTGTGAGAGGGTTGGTATGATTAGAGTTGAGGATGTGGGCTACAGTAACTGCTCTGTGAATGTGGCGCCACCTGCGTGGGTCCCAAGGAGAACTAGAAGAGGTTGCCCATCCCTTCCTTATGCTTCTTTTGTGCCTAGAACTTCAACAGGTTTTGAGGGCCCCTGTCTGTCAGAAGTGAGGACACAGAGAGAGTTGTGGTTGTCATTGGCTCTGGGAGCAAAGCCAAGTGCCACCCATTGAATCCCATGTGGTGCACATCCAAACAGGAGGGGACCTTGTTTTCATAAAATGAAAGGGGCACCCGGGCCTGTCCCCATCTATGCAGGGAGCCCTGGGCCTCTGTACACCCCGAATGTTTCCTTTCTGAATCCTGCTGCTGGAGAAGACTCAAAACTCATTTTTCATTCACAAAGTTGGCCCGGACATGTGCATGCCTGCGCTGCGACACATCTCGAACTTGAGAATGGCAGCAACAGGAAGCTACTTCCACGGGATCTGTGAGGACTCCCTTTGATGCTTCTGTTCTTGGTGTGTAACTCGTTTTCCTGGACTCTGAAGGACTCAGCTTTGTTGTGTCCTCTGTGAGCACGGGTAAAATGTCGGGCTGCAGTGACTGACGTGCTGTCCTCTTTGGCGAGGCTGTGAGGCGTGCGAGGTGGGAATATGCTCCCCTTATCCCCACTCTCTGCTTCTCTGTCCCCTGCCCTTTATCTCAGACTCATTCTTCCCTGGGGTCTTTTTAATATAATACCTGTAAAAGAGTAGTCCTTCCTCCCCGTTTAAACTCTGCCACACACGCGTCTTCATCCGGTGGACTAGCCAGAGCAACACCTGTCATGTTGCTGTGATATAATTGTCTGATCAGAGAACACATGTCCTCAGAGGGGACAGGAAAAGGAACTCTCCTCGTAGATAAAACACTGGTGCTCCATGCATTTACAGGCATCCAGTGCTTAGGGACAGCCATTTCCCTCTGTGAGTACAGAGAGGCCAAAGCCTCCTACAGCTTCCCCATCAGAGTTCTCAGTGAACATACGCCTCCTCTACAAGGACTGGCCGAGAGGAGGAAGGGCTGAGTGCCCTTCAGGGGTCAGGCTCAGTGCTGCTGCTGTGTGTAGCACCCCCCCAGCCCTGTACAGACCCTTCCCTGCTCAACCATGCCGTCCGTCCATACAGAGACAAGGAATGGGAGAGTGTGGCTGAGGTGGCTGTGATATCTGCATGTTCAGAGACACCGCACAGCAGGCCAGTGTGCTGTGTCTGCTAGGGAAAGGGGAACTCAATGGAAAATGAATGTGTAGGGCACAGATACAGAACATTTAAGAAAATATAGCATGAGTCAAGAGATTGGTTCTGGCTGGTCCATATGGCCATCTGAGAAAAGAAGGACATTACTCAGCCAGGCTTCTTAAGTAAGGCTCATTTTTCCTGTCTAGATCTTGGGAAGCAATGATCTTATGGACTTAAAACTTGCCCACATCTTTCTGAAGGAAAACCTCCTAAAGACAAAGCCATTGCCCTACCCTGGAGAGTTGTACTGGACAGCGTGTCCTCTGACCGACGGCCTTCTTGTAAGAGACTTCGCACCAGAACGCCCACAGCCACATATGCACCGAGGTGATTTAGTACCAGGGCCATAGATGGGAAATAAGAGGCTAGTGCCACTGGAACAAGTTCTCCTCCTCAAGTATATTCAAACAATGAGAACAGGTACTGTTTGGCTTGCCTGTGCGGGCGGCTCTGTGCCAACTGGCCCAGGAGACACTGGGGGGGGTGACCCATTTCATCTCTACAACATAAAGTCGTGGCTCCCAGCAGAACTCATTTCTTCAGACTTCTCCTCGGCTGTTCCTGATATGCTACAGGTACTCACACATGCTCACTCCAGCCGTACGTATGAAAACAGCAATGTTTTGTCCTTCTCCCATTCCTCGGTGACCAGCACAGCACCCCAGTGTAAAGTTTTGAAGGGTCCAGCCCTAAGGTGGGAATCCCAGCAGCAAGGGTTTACCTCCTCAGCACCCTTTAAGACGGAGAGCTCCCAGAGGCCGGGAAACAGGGACCATCACACTCTGCCATGTGACATAGCAAATTAGAGATAAAATAAACCGGGTCCCTGGCCTGTTGTCTACCTGCTGTGAACCCTTGTGACCCCATACACCTCTTGTCTCTCCTCTGTGGGAAATGAGGATTTGATGAGACAGTGCTCGCAAAGCGCTGGCCTCCAGCATCAGAACCTCACGGCCAGACACCAGGCTGTCACACTGGAAGCTGCTGGACACTCCTGACACGTGGGTAGTGCCCACTGTTGAGTGACAGGCCTGATATGAATTTTCATTCTCTGCCATGTGGCTTCTGGTCAGGACTCCTGAGTCCCAACTCTGAGCCACAGGGTGTGTGTTGGAAGATGCTAGCACTCCAGGCAGGCAGATGAAAAGGAACAGAGCATCTGGGACCTGCTGGAACCGGGAGTACCTTGGGTTCCTGTCCTTGCCAGCCCTGTCGAAATGTTGAAACAGCTTGGACCAACTTCCATCACTTTCTGAACAAACGAATTACTGCCTAAGCTTCTTTCTGTCCAACTCTTCCATCGTCAAATGAAAACGGAAAGTGGCATTTTCCAGATGCTGGCGGGGTGAAAAGGTAAGAGGATGGACTGGAAGGAGGTCCTGAGGTGAGCGTGGCTCTGTAGCAGCTTACGACTGGCAGCTGCTCCCAGACCCTCAAGGTAAAGCCCCAAGCCCTCTCTGGAAAAATCCCTTGGAGTATAAGCCCTTAGAGGCAATTTCATTATACAACTCCAATTTTTTTCCCTGAAAACAATTCAAGCTATTGAAAGAAAACTCCAGCAGAGAGAGAGACCTCAAATCAAGACACAGGGTGTGCAAGATAGCCATGAGCAGGAAGATGCCTTCCAGCCTGGAAATAATCACATCCGTACCAGCTGCCACGGAGCTGGAGACATATATGAGCATCTTTTCCCTGGAAACAAAGCTAAGGCCTAGACTAGGGGACTACTCCGGGAGCAGCTGGTCTGCTACGGTGTTAGCCTTTCACAGTTGATGAATTAGTAGCATGTAAGTTACTAGCATTGGGTGAGGAAAGCCAGCCAGGCAAGGTGTGTGGAGATTTTAATAACCACTCACTAGGTGGCCTTCCAGCAATTATCCAAAAGCAGACAGAGGAAGCTATGGGTAATCAGACATGGGGTTTCAACTTGGTTGCTTTCTTAACAGCCACGTGGCTGGGCCAGCATCTTCCACTGTCGGCCTCGTGTGTTGCACGTGAGAATGGAGGAAGGAACGTCCACTCCACTGAGCTCCCATGAGGTGAAATGGCATGGCTCATACAGAGCTAGCATGTGTCTGACACACAGCAGGCCCGGGAAGAATGCCAGTTCACCCCCGTTGTCCGAACTAGGTGGAGAAATGGTGGGCTACGGTAGGGAGAACGTGAAGAGCGAAGTTCCACTTCTCCAAGCCCCCTCCCCCAGCATTACTGACCCTAGTTTGCAGGGAAGTGTCCAGAGTGGCCAGCACTGTCCAGATTCACTCACTCACAACCGGAAGTGAGCCACCCATGTTACTCCCTGAGTAACCTTTTCACCTGAGACACCTTCCTGAATTTGCTCCTGGGACACAAACAGATGGAGAGCCTCTTCTAAGTTTCCATGCAGCCATCTCACCCAGAACCTAGGTGGGTGGGACCCACAGCCTCAGTCGCTTATCCTACTGACAGAATGTAAGGGGTGATATGAGTCTTACAAAGACCAGCCTGTCCTGATGGAGGGACGATGCTAACATCTCCTGTGAGTCTGGGTATGTCTAAGCACACACAAAAGCATTCTGTTTCCTTCACTGATTTCACATTGTCCTTGTAAAATATACCTGGAAACGAGTCCGAGATGCTGTAACTACTTGTGCCCGTGAACCACACAGGGCGCAGGCCGTCCGTTCCTGAAATCTTAACTCGAGTGCACGGACTGCCCACGTCCTTCCCTGACACTGCCGCCGTGTATTATATCATCCTGACACAGGACAACGATCCAAACGGTACTGACACAGAGGGATCATGGCACAGCAGACAGCTGCTGACTTTGCTGCCCATCCAACGACAGGACCTTAGCCTCCTTTCTTGCAGTAGTTCTGGGTTTGCTGAGACTGTCACTCAAGCTGTCCCTTCAGCAGTGGGCTACAACCTGATCCTGGATGCAGAGTTTCTATGGGACACGAAGCGCCTCTCCCCACCCCTGAAGCAATCAGTGAGGAGTAGCAAACAGAACAAGTTGTCTACAGGCACTGGCTAACTACTCCTGTGGAAATCGGTATGGTCCCATCTTTCCTGAGACCTACTTGGTCACCTTTCCTTTAGGTTAATGATCAGCTCTCCCGGGGCATTGCTTTTCTTCTTAAAGTAAACGGGGGACCCATCCTGCCATTTCTGACCAATCTTCCCCATCCGAAGATGTCATGCGGATGCAGGACCGAGAGCCAGCTACACAAGGCACAGCTTTCAGGAGACGGCACTCACCAGGCTTCTGGTACCACCCGAAGGGATAGGTGTAGACCTCAGTGTCCCCAGAGCCGCAGTCCAGAATGCGCCAGGCCCCTCCATTCTCCTCACTGCACGTGTGAATCCCCATGCTGTTCAGGGTCAGGCAGGCCGCCTCTCCTCCTGGTGGAGACCACAGGAGTTCAGGAAGGCCACAGGGAGAAATGTGAACTGAGCGGGAGGGACACAGACCTGTGGTCAGTTAGATGTATGTGTATATGAGGTGGACACATAGGCCACCAGATCATGGACCAGGACAGCCACACTGCTAATGTCACACTGATGAGCCATCTGCTGCTTCTCCCAGCCCCATTTCCTTACGGTATACGAGGTTCACCCGTCCTCCTTGCCTTGAGGAGATGCTGGCTTTCCAGACTGAGGTGACATGCCAGGGCATGGGGACTGCCTCCTTTATCACCCTCACCTTGCAACTGTGAGACATTTAGAAAACCAAAGCCAGTGCAGCATGGGTCCCTGTCACAGAGCCTCTCACATTCGAAGAACCTAGAGTCAGAAGAGAAGACACGCCTGAAGCTTCCCATGAACACCCAGGACCTGCCGTGTAGAGCGAAAGGGATCGCTCTGACTCTGAGAGCAGATTTCTTTGCAAGCACTCTGGCCAACACCGGCGTTATAGATTCCTGTGAGCAATATCCTACTCTTCTCTCCACAGCAGTATCTTCGGGTCCCCCATTCACTGACTCGCTCCTGCAAGCCCTCTCCAGGACCGTCCTTGTTAATCCACCCTCTGTAGCTACAACACCCCACCTGTGGCCTCATGGCAGGAGGGCTCTAGCATTCAAACCAGTGCCCTGGCATTCAGTTCTAAGATTGCTTGCCTTGACCCGACACCTTGATGTGATCACTCACTCCCTTCTCTTGAGAGGTACTTGGTCCTTTGTGGTACAGGGATCCTGCCTCATTCTTGCTGTTCTTGCCTAAATCCACATCTTATCCCAGGGGTGAAAACTGTATTGGCTGGGCAGCTTTTATGGTGCAGGCTATGTCTCTTCCCTGACCCTGAAATTCTGGCTTTGAGTGCTCTAGATTCCTGCCCAGCTCTTCAGCTTCCCACCTATTGCTTCTCTTTCGTTTTGGAAGACTACTGTTAAACTCCAGCCTGAACTATGACATCAAGCTCTGTCCCGCCAGTTCCTGTCCGAGTACCAGGCTCAGCATGGTGATGTCCAACCAAGAGATATCTGATTTCTGTCCCCTTTCCCGGTAAGATGACATCTAGCTCCTATCCCTTTCCCTAGTAAGGTGATGTCCAGATGGATCGCAAGACAAACCAGCCAGTGTCATCTTTTGAGCTCCATTCTCAGAAATAGCTCTTAAATGCCAGCAACATGATGCAATTCCATAATTCAGCAGCACTTCACAGATTAGCAGTTCATGGGTCAGTGACTGCTGAAATGCAAAAGACTCATGGAGCCCCTCCTTTAAATTTTGACTCTTGAGTCTCATTCCAGGGCCTCAAATTCAGGAGGGAATGGCCCAGAGATGTGGGTAGGCAGTAGCATGCTTGGGGCTTCTGAAGAGTGAGGTCCCATCAAGTGTTTATAACGACCAACAGAAAAGCCAATGAAAAATTAAGAGCATGGGTTGTAGAGGTAGCAAGTGAAATGTTCCTCTAAGCCAAGGGTCTGTGAAAAATTCTGCTTGCTTTCCAGGCTCTGAACATAGCACTGGAAGGCACTGAGGAACAAGTTTATTACCACCATGATCACTTTTATTAACTGACAAGACGGCTCAGCACATCTGATCTCCCTCAGCCGACCACAGGCTCAGAGCTGGATGTGGTATTTAATATGTCATTTGCCTTCAGCAAGGATTTCTGATCTGGTGATCTCCCGTACCCTCAGCTTTGAGTTGGATCACTGCTGTGCGTCTGCCTTTCAAGGCTGAGGCAGCATCTATTCATGGAAGCCAAGGAGTCTTAATAATAAGCATTGAGGTAGAACTTGGCTGCTTACCCGTTGGAAATGGGTTTCCCAGACATGGGGATTTTGTCTCTGATGGAAATCCCTGTGAGCTTTTGGAATGGCAGGCGAGTATAAAAGTTCTTCACTCGGTCGTTCAGCACAACTGCACAGAGGGAAAAGAAATCAAATTTATTATACTTTTGCAAATATGGGGATGATGAGCAAAACCCAGATTGAACTTCCAGGAAGACGGCACATTAAACTAAAACATTTGTCCCCAAATCTCACTAGAATAAGACGTGGAAGATTCTGTTTGTTCATTTGGTTTTTGAGATAGGCTCTTGTGTAGCCTAAGCTAGTCTTGAATTCTATGTGTAGCCAAGGATATCTTTGAACTTCTGACCCTCCTGCCTCCATTTCTTAGGTTCTAGGATTATAAGTTTGAGCCACCAGTAGATTTTTGGAATGGAACCCAGGATTTCATTAAAGGGTCTCGTGTAAAGGCCTGAGCTCATGGGGAATGGGAATCAGAGGGACGGATCAGTACAATCTCAGGATCCAGGAAGCCCGTGGAGGAACGAACCTTGGCTCCAGACACTAGGAAAGGCAGGTTCTGCTCCCCTATGAGAAATAACAAGAAGTAGCATGTGCCTCTAGACCCCTGCACCTCCAGAGGAAAGGCAAAGATGGAAGACTTATTTCTGGAAGAGAGTCTCCTTTGGGTTCCTGAACATAGATACACAAACCCACAGTGAATCTGAGAGCATGATTTAGATGGGAAAAAATCCCCACCGGGAGTGACTGGATCCGATTCTTCTATGGATGAACCCACATCCATGAAGCTCCCACAAAATAGTTGGATCTGCTCCACAGCCTTTGCAGCCCCTGATGTCTGAGGGTAAACCAGGGGCCTCCAGATAAGGGGGGTGGGGCTTGGCAAAGAATAAGGAAGAAGAAATTACTGAGGGAAGCAGGGTGAAAAAAAAATGGCATCACCATCACGATGACAATATCCCTAAAGAGAAAGAACAACTGTGGTGTTACAAGAGCCACTGCTTCTGAGATTTCTGGACCACACAGTTGCATGATAAAATCCTGCTGCAAGGTTCATCAGTGGTGGCCCTGCCTGAGCTGAGAACCCAGAACAGGCCACTCTAAAGTGTCAGCCTGAGTCTTTCTCAATGGCGTCACATCTCTGAAAGACCACAGATAATGTTATGTGTATATATGTATTACATGATTATATATATATATATATATATATTATGTTATACAATATATTGTGTTTTGAGATTATAATATAATTACATAATTTTCCCTTCCTTTTCATCCTTCCAATCCCATCCATGCATTGTTCTCTTTAAAAAGTCCATAGTCTTTTTTTTTTTTTTCTTTAGTTCTTGGTTTGTGTGTGTGTGTGTACCAAGAATATTACTTTTAAAGAGATCACTCTTACTGTTTCTAAACCCTCAGAGTGGTGGCCTGTCAGACACCCAGGTCATGAAGACAACCATGCCTACCTTTCTTCCGGAAGAGGGCCTTTGGTTGGTGGGGAAGAACCCAGCTACAGTTCTTGGCATTAGATTCCAGGACACTGTCGCAGACCTGGGCTTCTGGGTAGAGGGAGCAGGTGAAATACAAAGACGTGCTCTCCGATATGTCTGTGAACCGACAGAAATCGGGCTCCTGGGCACACCCTAAAGGCAAGAAGGCAGCTGATGTACAGTCCGAGCAAGGCCACGAGCAGGCAGACTCATGGGGGAATCTTTCCTGGCGGAGCGCACCAGTCTACTTTCTATTGCTGTGATAAACTCCATAACCCTGAGTGACCTGGGGAGGAAAGGGCTTATTTCACCTTCCAGCTTACGGTCTACCATGAAGGGAACTCAAGGCAGGAGGATGTACAGGCCATAAAGGGGTGCAGCTTATTGGCTTACTATCCATGCCTTAAGCAGCCTGCTTTCTCATGCAACCCAGGACCACCTGCCTAGAGATGGCACCACTCACAATGGGCTGGGTTTGCCCACATCCATCATTAACGAAGAAGATGACCAATAGGCTTGCCTACCAGCCAATATGGTGGAAGTATTTTCTTTATCGAGGCTCCCTGTTCGTAGGTGACCCTAACTTGTATCAGGTTGGCCCATGACAGTCATCAAGGACTACACAAAACACGGGGGAATCTATGAAGTGGGGTGACAGGTGATGCTGTGGCTCGAGTACAGGCAGAGCCAAAGTGAAATCGGGGGTCAGAAACAAGTTCAGCACAAAAGAGACAACAGCAATAAAGTTCAGGGGTTTTACTCGTGGTCTATCAGAAACACAAAGAGTCAGCAGCCCAGAGATTCAGGTCTTTGTATATGAACATCCAGTTGCCTACATATGTATTAAGTCTTGCCATGTGAACTGCTTGAAGGAAAAGGTCATGCCTGATTCTGCTTTCATCCACAAAGTCAAATGTAAGTCCTAAAACATAATGAATATTCAACATTGGATGGATGGATGGATGGATGGATGGATGGATGGATGGATGGATGGGTGGGTGGGTGGGTGGGTGGGTGGGTGGGTGGGTGGGTGGCTGGATGGGTGGTTGGATAGATAGATGGAAGGGTGGGTGGGTGGGTGGATGGATGAAGGCTCTGGTTGCTGAGCAGACATTACCTTCACTGTGAGCATTTTGAAGACTGGGATTAAATTCTGTATCCAGATTTTGGGTCACCAGTTCACAAAAAAATGGTATGGAGACTTATTAATTATGAAAGCTTAGTTTAGGTTTTTCCTAACTAGCTCTTGCAACTTAAATTTACTCGTTTCTATTCTTCTATGTTTGCCATGTAGCTCATGGCTTTTTACTTCTCCTGTATATCTTGTTCCCTCTGCATCCAGCTGGCGACTCTGTCTTTTTTCCTCTTCTTCTTCTCCAAGTCTCCTCTGTCCCCTGAAGTCCCACCTAACCTCTTCCTGCCTAGCTATTGACCATTCAGATCTTTATTAAACTAAACACAAAAGATGTCCTATCTTCACACAGTGTAAGGGAATATTCTGCAAGCCCCATCTCTATGCTAAGAATGTAGTGACCCCTAAGTTATGTCAAAGAATTTGAACATGTCTACATCTCAGGAGTTGTTGAACAAGGGTGTGGAAGAAGGCTCCAGTCTAAGGATACTCACGAGTAAGGCACCACAGGTTTGCCTGCTCTGCTGAAAACAGATGTGTGAAGAGCCTGTACTGCTGGCTGGGCAATGAGTGGCTTGCATTGACAATGACCTGGTTAGTGTCCACAGGCAGGAAAAGTTCTGTTGCCATATCTGAAGAAGAAGGAGAGGATCAGACTCCTTTACCTTTCTCTCTACAGCAAGCATGCTGTAGAGGTCAGGTCAGAAGTAGAGACAAAAACATTGTTAGGTCATCTGAGGCCAGAGCAGGGCTAGAGTGTGGGTGTGGGTCAGACAAAGGGGGCTCGGAAAGTCTTAGGACATTGTAAAAAATCATATACTTATGAAAACCCAGAAGTTTGGTTTAGAAGAAACCTTAGGAGCTCCCCAGTTCACTTTTCTACCCAAGGCAGAGTTCCCCACTGAGATTCCAGTCCGTGCATGGTGGCCTCGTGTGACATAGCTGAGCCAATCACAGCAGTCACATCACCAGATTCCTCTGCCTGAAACTTTGAGCAGCCACAGTGCTGTTTGCTATGTCATGCTGGAATTCTGCCTCTGAATCCAACGCATAGTGGGCAGGTTGTATGGCAAGGGCGGGCTATGGAAGGAGGCTGGGTTCTCTCTTGCTCCCTGGAACCTTCCCATACCTTCTGTCATATTATTGCCCACTGCAAGGTCCTCCCCAGATACAGCTTTGCAATCCAGGATTTGCCAGCCTTCACAGTAAACGGTCAGATACACGGTATGCGATACGATATGTGGTATTCATTATAAACTACCTGGTCTGTAATGTTGCTACAGCAGCACTGAGGGTTGCTAAGACATTCTCCCTTTGCCCCCAGACTTCCTTTCCATCTCTCTCTGCCTCTGTCTTCCTTCCATTCACCCTGGTTCTTAGTGACACCTTAGAGGAAAACGACAGGTTTGGGAAGCAAGGTGTTCACACACCTTCCCCAAACACAACCCCAATTCACATCTAGATTAACTCATCCCAAGCCTGCCATCACTCCTTACGGGCTTCTCATTTTGACATAGTTGACATTTTCTCACACAGAGAGACATTTTTTCTAGGCTCTATGGGGTTGACATGCTGAAGTCCTGGGCATACTATGTCAAATTCTGCTCTTTAAGCGGGCAATTGCTCCTACTATAGTTCTTGTGCTTGTTTGGGTTTCTGTAGCATTGGGAATAGGCACTGAAGCCTCCTTATGTTCTCTTCTTACTATCTATGTCAGGAGTCTTTGTATTTGTGAGCTGTTATCAACCTGTGGGTCCCGACCCCCTTGGGTCACATATCAGATATCCTACATATCAGATATTTGCATCGCAACTCATAACACTAGCAAAATTACAGTTATGAGGTAGCAAGAAAATAATTTTATGGTTGGGGTCACCATACCATGAGGAAATGTGTTAAAGGGTTGCAGCTTTAGGAAGATTGAGAACCATACCTCCAAGGCCTATTCATTGATTAGATCTTGGATGCCATTATCTTGTCTGAATAGGCAGGGCCCAATTGTACAAACAGAGTCAATACCTGCTTCTGCTGGAGAGTCTAACCTTGGTACCACGTCCCTTCCACATCCCATAGACTCAGGCCAAGACCCCATGTCAGAATCTAGAAGAAGAAAATAAAATCACTGGTAACGATGAGGCAGTCACACATCAATCCTCAAGTCCCACAACCAGAAACTCAACAGGAGGCAGGGACAGATCCAACCACCGGGTGAGCAGGCTTGGTCCCCGCACCTAACAGATGCAGTCTCTCAGGGCTACAACTAGATTGTCTGTGACACTGTAACTGTTAACATTTACCTTTCAAGAATTCTCAAAAATGTTCACAAAACCCTTGAAGGGTATGAAGAAGCCTGACAAGCAATCTTCAAGAAATGAGGACGTGGTGAGGGGAAAGAACTCAACCCAACACCCTTAGAGGGCCAACAGGCAAGGCAGGATTTAAAGAGGTTAGCTAAATCTATAGCAGTGATCACCAAGGTCACATTCCACCACCCCAAACCCCAGGAAGAGAGGCACATAGGGCCAAGTTCCCCGGGCAAGTGCTTCCTGAGATTTACAGCAGCTCACTCTGGTGACAAAGGCAGCCGGTAGCAGGGAAGGCCACCTCTCCAGAAACGAGCATTTCCTGCCTTCTCCATTTGCTGGAGGCTGTCTACTCAGCACTCTTTTAGACTGAGTCTCCTCTGATGAGGAATGGGAGCCCTTCTGCTCCATAGAAGCAAGTCCACGGCACAGAGGCCTGCATTTTGTTTGCCACTGAGAACAGGCCACCTTGTGGATATAAACTGGGGCCAAACTCAGGAAGCCACTGTTCTGTCACTTAAGCTTCCCCACCTCAGAGCTCACCTTTCCAGAGGTAAACCTGCTGGAAGCTGGTAACGGCTTCTCCAGTGCCCTCCAAGAGTGTCAGACCTGCAGAAGATTGCCATTTGATGAGCCTGTCGGCGCTTGCTCCTACCGGCCACCCACCTTTACAACTGCCCCATCCCCCCACTAAGATTTTCCTTGCTAAACTCTGTTCTCTCCATGGGATCTGTCAAAGCTGCATGGAGAACCATTCTAACCCTCGGGTACAAAGCCCGTGCTGGTTAGACTCCAGGAATCCAGCTCAGGGAACCAAACAGGTTAACGTGGGGAGGGTCACAAACATACAGCATAGGAGCATAACCTATAGCTTAAAGAAAACAAGGTCTTCAGGAGATTCCATTGTTGGTGTGTTCTGTGATCAATCGCGGCTGAGATGCTGAGCTCCTTACTAAGTCTGGGTTAGCAGGGTGGGGTAAGGTCACATGCCACCAAGGTTGATGCCCAGACCCCACAGGGTAGAAGGAGAGAACTAACCCACTCAAGTTGTCCTCTGACCTCACATGCACATAGTGGCATGTGTGTTCATGCAACACACACACACACACCAAACACACAGATCAATGAATGGAAAAGCTAACTGGGACTAGCAACTGAGTGATGGCAATGCTCTACAGAAGTTACCTCCTAGATCCTTCACATCTAATACATATTCAGTCATCGGCAGCGTCTCTTATTTAATTCATTGTTAATGCTATTTTATTATTCTTTAAAAATTCTTAGTGGCATGTATTCATTACATTATATATCATTATAAAGACATTTTCATTGGCGCTTGTCACCTACTTTGACCACGATAATGCCTCTCTTTTCCCTCATTTCTCTCTGTCCCACTCTAGCCTGTCCCCTCTCTTTTCTGGCAAGTTCTCCTTCGCTGATGCCACACTGGATAAAGCTACATTTCTCACATCCTCTTGGCGGTAAGTGCTCCCCCATTCAGTCTCAGACACAGTCTAAGCAGACCTCCGGCACTCTCTCCTGGCACATACCCCTGATAGTTTGAGGGGCAAACTTCCTATGTATACCTGCTATGGGGTCAGATTGAACCAAATCATCTCTTGATGTTCTGTGGGTCGGTGTTGGGCATGCTTGTGTGTGTATTTATTCTGGTTGTGGGTACCAGAAATCAGCTGGAGATAGGTTAAGTAGTCTGAGATAGAACCTAGCTAGCTTCTAACAACTGAGCAGAGGGGTGCTGCTCGAGCATTTCCAGGTCAACGATCCTATCAGTCTAAGAAGATGCCACACTGCAGGCCTGTGCTTTAGTGATGCCTACACCCATCACCCCAGCTAGCTGGGGAGCTTCTGAGCATTGACAATGTAAACATTTGCAACCTTTGCACCCAGCACCCGGGCTGCTGCCTCCCATGTGCCTGCTGGGCTTTTATTATGGAGAATACATCACAGGAGGATGGGGATATCATGTGAAGACTGCCACCAGCTTAGAGCTGGCCACCCCTGGTCCCTCTGCTCCTCCTGCCAGCAGTCCTTTAATACCTTCCCCTCACCACCTTTGAAGCAGAACTTGCTGGGATCTTGGGTTCACACTGAGTCCAGGAGAGAGGCCATGCAGGGACATCCCAGAAGAGGGATTCCCAGCTATCACAGATGCCAACTCATCCGCTGCTGTAACCAGCGGTGACCTGAGAGCATTTTCTGCTTTCAGGGAATCACATGTGGTACCACGGGAAACTACAAGTGGCCCTAGGGAGCATGGTGGGGAGTTTGCACAGCAACGTGGGGGTTCAAAAAGTGGAGCTTTGGTTATGGATGGCTTTGGTGGATGGTACAAGGCACTCGGTTCTGAAGCGCACTATCTGGGTCAAGTTTGCCTGCCTGGGCAGGTGATCCAAAGGATCATGAAAACAGTAATGCAAAGCAGACTTTGTGAGTTTCCTGTTGGAAGGCCATGAATTCTTTTGAGCTGCAGTTCCCTACAACTGGGAGGGAGCCTACCCATATGAGCTTCCCAACATAGTTCTGTGCCTGCCTTACCCAGGCCCAGGGCTCTGCTGGGCTCAACTCTGACATCAGCAGCTAGCTGTCAGGGTTGCCATGGGACACACAGATGAATGACCAAATGGCTGGAACTCGGGAAGCAAAGCCATTTTGGGGCCTGTACAGCATGCTGGCACTTGGCTCGATAACATAAAGTGGTCACACTTCACAGAGGGTCACCCTGAGGCTCCAGGAAGGTAACAGAGGTATGGAGAGAATGTTGGGCTCAACCAAAGGAATTTGGAAAGCAAACAATTCATGCAGCATGTTGCCCGTGTGTGCCTCCTGCTGTGACTCTTTTAACCCTCTAAGAGGTCCCCAGGACCTCCCTCATAATTCTCTTCCACAGCTGGAGAGACTGCCTCCTGGGCAGGCACAGCACTGAACAGGCATTCTCAGTGAGTTTGGGTCATGAGTCTGCGGACTCCACAATTCAACCAGTCTCTGTGAAACTGTGAAGTGAGAAGACGGGGCGACCCTCCGCGAGCTTTGACAGACATAGGGTTTGTTGTTTTTGTTTGAGAAGATGCCTGAGGTATGCCCCTGGTGTTATAAACCAAAGGTTGTCTTATATATAGATTGCTCAGAAGGCTACCACCTCAATAAGAAAGCTCTAGAAAACACACACACACACACACACACACACACAGAGAGAGAGAGAGAGAGAGAGAGAGAGAGAGAGAGAGAGAGAGATGCACACACAGATGCACAAATAGTTAAGCCTTCAAATGTCATTCCTTGTCACTTTTTACAGGGAGGCCAGGCCAGGGCACATTCCTGGCTCTGTGGGCACGTGCATGCACACAGACACACACACACACACACACACACACACACACACACACACACACGGAGCACATGTCCTGGCTTATGCAGTTCACTGACTTATGGCTGCCAGTTCATCACATGTCTTTCCTGAAATGCCTGTTTTCACCCCGGGGCGCCTCTCCCGAGTAATGGGGACCATCTGTGAGGCAACCATTCCACAAATAAGCTGTTTGATTCTGTTTACCCCAAAAGAAGCTGCTTAGGCTTCCTGGATTTCTGCCAGATTCCGGCGTGTTTTTCCAGGCTTTGGTTGGGTTTGCCATCCAGATTGCCTGTGTTTTCTACACTGGAGTCTATGCTCTGTGTCATGAGTCCAAGAATTACAGAGGCATATATAATTCTCCAAAGAACAACGTACATTTTATATTGGCCTTGGTATCAGCATGAGTTAAAAAAAATAACATAATATCATCCGGAGTTCTCCATGTATGCCTGCCAGGCTAAGACACCAGGATCCTGTTTCAGGCAAAGCCTCCTTAGGGAGTGGCTTAGCTCCCACATGCCTGCTTCCCTTCCACTGTAAGATGGGCAAGATCACAACAGTGTGCATCTCTTGAATCACTGTGTGTGTGCAGGTCTCAGCCTTGCTGCTACCTGGCTGACCTCACAGTGAAGTATTTTGTTGCTACCATACTGCTATCCTCTCTTCCAGCAACAGTTTTAAACATTATTGAAACTGCATCTCAGAAATCAGATTCCTGGGCCTCTTGGGCAGGGCCAGTTTAAGACAGAAAAGGAAGCCCCCCCCCTCTCCTGGGCCTGCTAAGAGAGGGAGCCATGGATGAAGACAGAAAGCAAGTCCGGCTGGCACGGGCAGCCCTCAGCGCCTCAGCAGTTATCCCCTGTGGACTGAGGGCCCGGCCAGCTATCGCTAAGGTTTACATACTTTACAGAAAAGTCACAGATGCTTCAGCAACACAGGAGAGGGGAGCATGCCAGTCTTTTCCTTACCGCAGGCACATCCTTGCCCGTGACAGGCCTATCCCTGTACTCCTGTGATTTCAGGGCATTAGGTGTAGCACTGAGGTTCTTAACTTCCCAGGGAGAACGCCCCAGGTAGCTCACTGTATCTCCTCCAGCCTTACTTATCTTCAGATATTTTACATGAGACTTTGCAACAGCCCCCATTAACGGAACAGTACTTCCTGTCCTTTGGCTTCTGGTTTCCCCACACGTTTGTTTATGCACCAGAACAGGGCAGAGATGAGTGTGTCTGGGTTCCCAGAGGCCTTGCACATCTTACTAATTCTGCCCTGCTTCTGCCACCTGCAGGAAAAGAATTCACTCATGCCAAGGAGGATAAAGCCAGGCCTGGCCCCAGTTGGCCCAGGGATGATCAGCCTGCAATCAGGCACACTAGATTCCCGAGGGATCTTGGCCCCCAGCGAACCTGAAGATTTGAGAGCTAAGTCAACTAAACATTTTGCTGGGGTATCACTGAACTCAGCCAACAATTTTCTGTGCAATATCGTGGGTGTCATTTCCTTCTGGATTTTATATATATAGCCTGGAGGAGGAGCGGTCAGTGAGGGGAGGGAGCGTCCTGGGAGTTTTGTAGCTGAAGAGGGGTAGAAGGTTTCAGGATGCAGAGCTGCACCTAAGAAGTTAGCAAAGTTCCGCTGGTGGGAAGAGGAGCTTAGAAATATGGTGAGGAGTGGAGGCTTACCCTGCAGGAACTCCTGGCCTCCCAGAATCAAGGCCATCTGGCGGGTCCCCTGGTCATACGTCACTCCAGCACATGTAGCGTTGGCCTGAGTATCAGAGTCATCCCTCCAGTCACTCATGTGGCAAACCAGAATGTCAGGAGAGCTGAGAAGTCCACAGATGGTGGGCCCTGTCAGAGAGGAGAGGCGGTGTGAAGGGAACCACCAGGGGCCTGCAAAGCCTTCCTGTGCTCTGAGAGCCTGGGCAATTCCCAAGGACGGGACAGGGACACCAGGCTACCAGAACCTTCCTTCAAGTCCCTTTCCAAAAATGGCCTCAGAGGTGCGCCTATGTGGCACTGACATACTGCCCAGGGAGCGGGTGCCAGCAGTGGACTTGAGCATGTGGTCACAGGCAGCTGGGCCTGTGTCAATGCTCGCAAGGAGCACACGGAAGAGTCTGGGGTAGAGCCAGATTCAAGAGTCACTGATCTCATTAGATGCCCCCATTTCACAGAGGGGGAAACTGAGTCACCACAAAAGAAGAAGTGTTTTGTCTGAACAATAGTGAAAGGGTGGAGGCAGGAAGAGCCCCGTCAAGGAGTCACTGGGCTGACTGGGGAGAGAGAGAGAGAAAGAGGGGGAAAGGGAGGGGGAGAGAGAGAGAAAAGGGGAGGGGGAGGAAGAGGAGGGGGCCAGAGAAAGAAAGGGGGAGGGGGAAGAAGGGGGATGGGGAAGAGAGGGGAGAGAAAGAGAGGTAGGGGGAGGGGTCAGGGGCAAAGAGAGAAAGGAGGAGGGGAGAGAGGGAAGGGGAGGGGGAGGGGGAGGGGAGGGGGCAAAGAGAGAAAGGGGGAGGGGAGAGAGGGAGGGGGACGGGGAGGGGAGGGGCAAAGAGAGAAAGGGGGAGGGGAGAGAGGAAGGGGGAGGGGAGAGAGGAAGGGGGAGGGGAGGGGCAGGGAGAAGGTGGGTGATGCCTTAATGCAGAGGCGCTGCCCTTGTCCCCAGGTGCTGAGGTTGAAAGGAAACTGAACAGCTTCTTCTGCTAGCACTGGGTGTCCCTGTGGCAGGGACTGTCACTTGCTGTCACACCCTCCCGTGTCAGTGCCACACCGCCCATAACTCAGGTCACACTGCAGTGTCCCTGAGCAGCCTCTGCTTCCGTGCACTTATTCTTTGTTGCTAGCTGCTCCCTGCTGAAAATCCAGCCGTGCATTGATCAGGGCTGGAGGTAGGCAGCAGAGGAGTTTGGACACAGCTGGCAGCTTCTGTGGGGAGTGGTTAGGAGGGGAGAGGGAAAGAGGGATTTTAAAAGAAAGCTAAATGACTTTTCAGGCTGTGGTAGAGGATGTAGCAGGATTCTGTCCCCAGACCACAGCGGGTCTAGCCAAACTCCTCTAAATTAAAACTGCCAACCACCCACAGGACCGGATGAGTCTGGAAGGACAGCCTGGAAGGTTTAAGCATGTCCCAAGGGTGCACATTCTGGCACTGCATTTGAGGGTAGGGGTGGGTAAGATGCTAGGTCCAGGATAATTCCCAGCTCACTAGTTAGACTTGGAGGGAACAGCAAGCAGGCTGCCAACCATGGTGTCTGGGAAAACAGGGCTTGGAAGGCTCACTACCCCACAGAACAAAACGATCCTTCTATATGCTCCTAGGAAAAATGAAGTCAGTGCTTCCACACAGAAGGGTCACATGATTGGTGAGTAACGTGGTGTCTGCAGAGACGGTGGCCCCCACGGAAGATGGGGTCAGTTCAAGGAGGCATCCTGCCTCTGTAGGCAGACTTTCTAAACATGGGTATACAGAAAGAAGTTTGTTGGTACACACATGGGGAGGCACTTAATGATTTGGCCATGTAAACACTAACCTAAACCTACACCCATATAACCAGCCATACGGCTGAAGCCAGAAGGACAGGGAGGGACCGAGTTGTTCTGACCATCTTTTCAACCACGGGATCTTATTCTGGGCCCGAGGACCCTGTGTCATTAATAGGATGCGTGCTTTTGTGTGCACAAAGCTCCAGGGTCAATCCCCAGTACCATACATGTTACAGGCATGCAAGCCTCCAGCCTCTAGCTTAACACCCAGCACTGAAGAGGCGGGGAGAGCAAGGCCAGTTCAAAGTCATCCTTGACTACCTAGTGAACTTTGACTTGGGATAAATAAGATCCTATTTCAGTGAAAACAACGGAAACTAAGCAGTTTCATTTTTACCACTTTGGACCACGGTGAGCCCAGCTGGGAGCATTCCAATGCTGTCTCCTGGAACTGTCAGCAGCATGAGGGACTGTCAAAGCTCCCTTGGTGTCCTACCCTTCCTCGTTTGGTTACCTTTAGAAGCCTCTGGTCTCTTCCTCCCTGCCTAGTGGCTCTACCTGTTTTTTTTTTAAGGGTATTCTCTAGGGTCTGACACGTTGCACATCTTCTCACCCATCACCTTCTACCTCATCTGCACTCAAACCTTCTTTTATCAAAAAATAAAATAAGAGACTCTGATGTATCCCAGGCAGCGCTCTACCTAAGTAACCTTGAACTTCGGAACCCCCCTCCTACCGCTCCTTAGTGGGGTGATTATAGGCATGCACCTCCAAACCTAACTATGCGGTGCTGGAGATGGGACGCAGAGCCACATGCATACGTGGCAACCATCCTAACCCCTCTGCCACATCCCCAGCCCTAGCCCCACAACTTCCCATGCTACCAGGCGCTGCTACTGCTTCCCCAGTGGTTTCTTTCTTCCATCCACTCCTCCCCCTTACACCACTGTACCTCTCTCTCTCTCTCTCTCTCTCTCTCTCTCTCTCTCTCTCTCTCTCTCTCTAATTTATTCAGGGAGAAAAGGACAGGGTGCGGGGAAAGAGAATGTGAGTGAGTTCCTCTTTTCAAGCATGCACTCACTATGCTGAGCTGATTACTGAGACCCAGGGTCTGCCAGTGCTCTTTAAACCAGACGGTGCCTCCAGCCTCTAGCTTAACACCCAGTGAACCCCACACTAGCATCGCCCTGGCTTCCTCACCTCCTCTATGTGCTGTTTCCTCACCAGAGCAAGGACCAGCCTCCACGTCCCCCAGGGAGCTACCGAATCCCTATGATCTCACCTGCTTTACACTACAGCTCCAAAGTCCCTTCCTGACCAAAAGGTCACACGAATAATTGCACAAGTTTACTTCTGTAAAACGAAGACATTCCCACTGTCGAGGGAGCATTGAAAACGACCCAGGGAAGAGATGCCGTCAGCAGCTTATCAATATAGTCAGCAGGAGCAGAACAGTGAGCTGAGGCAGTTTGACCAAAAGTGGCCTGGCCAGTCTTGCCAGGTAACGGTACGATGCTGGGAAGGATACACCTAGGTCAAATACCTACCACCCTGGCCCCTCAGAAGCAATACCACACTGAGCAAGTTATTTCAATACTAGGAGTCTCCGGTTTTGTTTACAAAATTGAAGGCAACCATAAAGAATAAGCCAAGAAGTGTTGGCACAATCTACGATATCGGGAAGAGGCGAGGGCGACTTTGTGTGTGAATATCACCTTCCATTTGGTCGCGGTAACACCTTGCTTACGGATTCCAATGCTCCGCACTGTGGTCTTTCAGTCTCCAAATGCCCCAAACCCCTGCATAGGCCCAGCCCTGCAGGTGGCCATACCTGCTTTGACCTGTGTGAGGATGAAACCATCACAGCAGGAGTCATGCTCACAGGCAAGCAGGCAGAAGAGGTGTGCATCTGTCAGGGTGGCTTCTGAGGCTGAAAACACTACAGGGCTGTACAACCCGGAGAGCACATTTTGAAAGCCTGTTGGTTCGAAACTCTTCTGGGAAGCCGCGGTGAATTCGTGGCCTAAAGAAAGGCAGAAAAAGTGTCCCTCAGCTGAAGAACGGATAAGGGGAATGTGGCACATTTATTTACAGGATGGAGTTCTACTTGGTGGTAAAAACAATGGCATCTTGAAATGTGCATGGAAGTGGGTGGAACTAGAAAAGCCCATCCTGAGTGAGGTAACGTAAGCCCAGAAAGACAAATATGTATTTACTCATAAGTGGATATTAGACATAAAGCAAAGGACAACCAGTCTACAGTCCACAACCCCAGAGAAGCCTGGCAGCAAAGAGATCCCTAAGAGATGTATAGACAGATCTGCCTAGGAAGGGGGAAAAGACAAGACCTCCTGAGTAAATCAGGAGTGTGGACGGGTGGACGGGAGAGAGAAGAAAGAGGGGGAGTGGGGGAAAAAAAAACAAACAAACAAAAAAAAAAAAAAAACAAAAAAGGAAAGCAGAAAAAAATAAGAAAAGCCTTCAAAAGCCTGTGGGGCTGAGCAGTGCTGCCAGGTATCAGTCAAGTTTGATGAGCTCTGCCCATGTGTGCAGAGCAGTGTGGGGCCTGAAGCCTCTATACTGGCCTGAGCAGGGAGGGGACATGGCTGCCGCAGGGACCTCAGGGCCATTTACCTGGACCACATGCACCATCCCCGTGAGTGGCTGCACACCTGGGAAACTGCACGCGGTGTCCCCCGACCTTTCCGAGGTGACAACGGTGCCCTGACTGCGTGGACACTGCACCCTGTTCCATCTCATTTCATGCTTACTGCTTCATGTATGTAACACAGGTAAGCCTGGACACGTGGCTGTGGCAGGCAAGGAAACTCGGCTGCCATCATTTCCGCCATCTTGTTATCACAAGCACCAACAGAGGAAATTAGAGTACACGAGGCAGCTGGAGACCTAAGGGATCTAGCTAGCCTCTTGCATTCAGCCTGTCTTAGGCTCTTCCTTCCAAAGTCACTGACATGTTGCCCTTCACCATGTGACCCACCATCACTCAGCCCCCCCCCCCGATACCTGCTTTTCAAGTGGCTTTCTACACTGCCCACACCAGCTGTTGCTAAGGTTCTCAGCACACGTTTTCCTGTCACTAGGCTGCCAGCTTTAGCAGGGCCATATTGACTCTATTGACCCTCCGGTTAAAAGTGGCCTGCTCTGGAGTTTGCCTGTTCCTAATTCTAGTTCCCCTTAGAGTACCAATCTGCAAACACAGTGTGTGTGTGTGTGTGTGTGTGTGTGTGTGTGTGTGTGTGTAGCCTTATTCTTGTGTTCATGTTATTCTGAGGAGACGGCCTTAGTCTGTGATGCCAAGTGTGTTCCATGGGAGGTGGCAGAAGGGACTTATGCTTTCCCTACCCTATCTTCCTATTCACCCAATGGTGGTCCAGGCTCACACTGACTCCCATTCCTAGAGACTCAAGGTGCAGCCTTGGATTCTGAAGGTCCCAAGGGTAGACCTTGATGGCTTCTTGCTATTAAGTACCAGGATCCATTGGGCCTCTGCTCCCTCACCGACACACAGGCCTGAGAACCCTTCTCCTCATGGATGTTGACCAGAAGCAAACTGTATCCAAAATAGCTATGCAATTATCCTAGTGCCCAGGCTTTGATGCACTCCAAACTTCCAGCATCTCTTCCTCCAAGCAGGGACGCACTCAGCCCCCTCTGCCTAGAACCTCATGAAAAGCTGCCACCATCCCTCAGTGGGACCCAGGTTCCCTTAAAGGAGCCATCATGGTTTATCACCTTTAGAACTTGCCACTCCTTCCATGCATCTCATTCACACCCTGCTTGGGACTTTAGAAAAGGTCCCACCCCCTTCACCTGTATTTAATGTCACTATGTGAAGGCTGATTTCGTTGGATAAGAACGAAGCCGCCACGTCCATTTGAATGTGCAGCACTGCTATGTGACTGTTGACTGTCATTTTCATTGCATAGATTCTGAGACTGCAGTTCTACTGGACAGTGCTTCCTGGTGCCAAGGCCAGAGTCAAGGTCAACCTGGATGTCCTTCACATAGGACAAGTGCCACAGAAGACCCAGAAATCGCCATGCAATAGGCTCCCTCCTATCTTTCAAGTATCACTTGCAATGCCATGCCTTGTAGGTCTCTCTGCTGACTGCTAAAGCAGCTCATGCTCACTTTAGTCTCATCTCTCCTCTTCATTTTAATCTAAGAACTTCACATCCTGCAAAATGCTTTCCTCACTGAAGTTATTCTTCTGCTGCTCAGTGTCATGTTCTACTCACAGATTTAGCCACTGGGCCACTAAAGCCCTTATAGTCAACCTGTGATTCCTAGTGAAGAGTTAAGGACAAGCCAAGGCTGTGAGCCCTACATGGCTGCCATTTCCTCAACAGTGGGGTAAGTCTCAGTGATCCTATGTGATGGATGTTTCACCTGGATGCAGTGAGTAGTTGGATGGTTCTCCTTTCCAGACCTTATCTTTTGGTTGGGGGCTGGGCTAGCCCATCACATAGGAACTTCCAAACATTAGTTTCCTACGATGCTAAGGATCACATGCTCCTCTCAGGTTCCAGGACCATAAACCTCAGCTGAGTAAAGAGAGCAGTGATGCTGAACATCTCAACAAGCTGGGAGTCTGTGATACTTCCTCCCCCACATCCTTGGTTTTGGTCCCATCACACAAGTGACTTAGGGTGAGTGAGGGGTGGACCTGGACATAAGGGCCCTTAGGGAGTCAAGACTGTTTAGAAACTGTTATTTCCTCCTGAAACATATGATTAGCATGTTGGAAAAAGGACTGAGCTTAAAGTAGAAATGGAGAAAACAGGAGGCTGAGTCCAGCCACCTTCCTCTTCCAGCACAGTGGGAGTACATCTTGGCCTTACTCTGACAGAAAGCAAAATAAAGCAGCAAGCCAATTTCTGCCCTTGGTTTAGTTTGGCAACAAAGAGGTTCTCACTTTCCCCTGTAATCCAAATATAAACTTCCAGGAGACAGGAGGAGGCACAAGACAACAAACACTTAAATCCAATTGTATTTTTAAGTGTGTTAAAAGGCCTAATTGAAGTTTTTCAAGGGACATTTTTAGCTGGGGTTACTTTATTTGTTTTGGCTTTATTGTAAGGATAAAACAATCCCTAAGTTTTGTTATGCTTAAAAGTGGATGGTAGAAACAATTGCACATCTAGGAGGAAGTCTTGGCAGCCCTGGCTGTAGATGAGAGAAATCCAACACCAGGAGACTCTGTTACCCCTGCACACTCTGTTCCATCGGGACAGGGACACGAGGGAACAGATACTGCACTGTCCCTGTGGAGGTTGAAGGGTGCTGCAGGGTCACCTGAGGCTGTGGCCTGGGAACCTAACACTAGCTGTTTCCAGCTCGAGGCTGAGGCTCCAGGGTGCTGTAAGCCCATCTGCCCACCTCACTCCTCTCCAACCCTCACATCGCAGGCCCTGCCTCCATCAACTGTCTTCTGGTCCTCAGCCAGCTGAACACTTCTTAAGAAGAAAGTAGTTGTAGACACCGTCACTCTTGCAATACTTGCTAAGCAGGGTTTCTTTCGAGTGGTAACAGGGGCTACCGCATGATGCCTAGATTCATACGGGAACCCCATTTTGCTGTTATAAACATTAAAGTCTAGAATGTCTGAGAAGTTTCCATAGATCAAACAGCGAGCACTGTGGAGGCTCAGTACACTTGTTTGCCTCCAAGACAGAAATAAGACACAGGAGTCAGAAATCCTGCCTCTCAGGACCACTGGAAAGCTGCAGCCCAGGACACTGGAAGGAGCCAGAGGCCACAAAACCCAGCTTCATACGCTGGTACTCCACTGACCCTGCAGATGAGGAGCAGGAAGCAGTCGAGGCTGGAGAGAGGGGCGCAGGCCACGGAAGCCTTGAGACATTTGCTGCTCATCGCCCTTATACTGCTAGGGCCCAGACTTTCTCGCTGCTACCCCCATGTTGTTTAGAAGATGCTGAAGCCCCAGCACAGCTCTTCGGGGACTGACAGAGAGAGATACTGAAAAGGTTGGCAAGATGGCTCAGTAGGTAGAGGCTCTTGCTGCCAAAGCTGACAGTCTGAGTTTGATCGCTAGAACCCATATGGGAGAAGGAGGGATATAACTTCCTAGAGTTGTTCTTTGCCACATGAATATTGTGGTGTATGTGTACCAACACACACACACACACACACGAGATAGACAGATGATAGGTAAACAGAAGATGGATAGACAGACAGACAGACATTTTTTAAAAAAGATACATGAGGTATTAACAAAAGTCTGTGTCTGTGTCTCTGAGGCCTTCCTTCAAGTTTCTGTAAGGCAAAAGAAAGTAAGATGTGCAATAGTAGGATATTTCTTGCTACTTGAGAGGTTCCAGACCTTGGAGAGTTATTATAACTCATCAACAGCCTCAGAATCTGCAGTCTCCCAGGTGACAGACATGTACACCGCTACGGAGGTGGAAAGCCCGTTCAGGTCTCGGTGGGGATTTTGGGAGTGGGGTGTGTGTGTGTGTGTGTGTGTGTGTGTGTGAGAGAGAGAGAGAGAGAGAGAGAGAGAGAGAGAGAGAGAGAGTCAGAAAGCCTGGGAGGCATGACTGCATGGAGCTAAGCCCGGGACCTGCTCAAATGACAGGCATAGGTAGGACCAAGGCCTTGGGGTGCAAGGCCCGTGGGCCAAGCTGACTGGGGTGCTTGTCTGTATTGTGTTGAGCTATCATTGGCGCCTTAGTTCCTGCACTATGTGGTTCACAGGCCCAGCACACTGGGGTAAAGACCAGGACTGGCGGCTCAAATGAACACCATGCAGAAATCCCTTTGCAGCTGCTGAGAGGCCACTGTCTGCAAAGGGCGGGTGGGCTGAGCCTGCTTCAGGTGGGCTGGAGGAGAAGCAGGTCTCAGGTGTGGTGTGAGGGGAGGGGACAGTCTCCTCCTCACAGATGCATCATGGGAAAACCCACTCCAAACACAACCAAGGGAAGCCCTGGCTGGCATCCGCCACCCACATCATCAGCCTACCTTTCTTCGCAAACACAGCCAGAGAATCTGCCCTGCCAGCCCTCACTTTCATCTGGCACTTAAGGCTTCTGAAGCTAGTTGCCTTCGAGCTGCCCGCAGCATCTTGTTCCTGGAAGTGGAAACAGGCCCCATTATTACCCACGGTTCAAAGCAAAGCAACTACATATTTGCCAAGCTATAAGCACAGTTCTCTATGGCGGGGCTCCAAAGGACGTCCGTGAGGGCATCTGGTAGTAAGTCTTCCTGGTCTATTAGAGGGGGCACACATGGGAGCAGCAAACTCCCGTTAACTGCATCGGCAGCTGCAAAAGGCGTGCAACTGGAGAAGAGTCTGATGCAGGGTGACAGAGACAGATTCCACGGAGAGAGCTTCCCAGAAAAACTGAATATGGGCGGGGCTCTAATTGGAGACCAGGAGTTCTCTCCGGTGAGATGGGGGGTGGGCAGAGAAGCGAGGCAGGAGGTGGCAGCTCAGGGGAGGCCTTGCAGGAGGGAAGGAAGAGCCATGGAGAGCCTAAAAACAAGGTGCTCTGAAGGCCCGGAAGGGATTGAGGTAGAGAACCAGAGTGATTTAAAGACCATCTTGTCCCTTCTGTTTGCACCTGATTGGGCAGGAAGCATAAGATGGATATGTGGACTTGGGAGATCGCACCCCTGCACTGAGGTTCTCAAATCTGAAAGGAGTTGGAGCTGCAGAGCTAGGAAGGTTGTGAGAGCTGTTAGGAATGTGGTCCTAGCCCCTGACAAGGTGGACCAATCAGATGTAACCAACCCCTAACCCCACCCCTGCCTTAGGAGAGCACTGAGAGCCAGGGCGCTGGGGAGGACCTTAACCATGCTCCCTCCACACAGGACTTCCTGTAACAGTTCCTGCTGGCCTAGTTAGAGGTTGGGGGAGGGGTATAACGCGGACAACAGCAGTGGTTCTCATCCTAGCAATGCGCCCAGCAGAAACTGCTGTGATGCACTGGCACGCCGTCTCCCATCCTCACACTCTCCTGAGATGTGGATATATGGTCGTTTATTACTATGTGGGATGTCCGGAGTGGGAGGGACTCATACTTCAACCTGAGTCCTGCCAGCATTCCTTTTACATCACATACGCTGCTAAAACTCTGGGGATGCCCGCTCCATGCACCTGGAGGGGCATCACTCATGAACACTCTGACACGTGTGCACAGACACAGGCACGGGCAGGTGCGGTGCACAGCGCTGGTGATATCTTAAAACTACCATGCACCTGGGTGTCCTGATCTGAAAGCACTTGAGGGGAGTGATACACATCCACACTGTGGACTGGCTTCCACACTAAAAAGATACAGATATGCAAAACTCGTGAGGAGGTCGGGGAAGGAAAGAAGACGCATGGTGTCCGCACACTAACAAAGGATTACAATATATAAACATTTCCCAAGAGGAACCAGAAAAATCTGGATAGCAAAGTGGAGTTTGCAAGAGCAGGCACTCTGGACCCTGGGACCTGGGATTTGATTTTGGCTGGATGCCCTCCTTACCCTAATGCAATGGTAAGACCCAAAATTGCTATCTTCCAATAGCTTTCACTTGAAGAAATAGCAGTCTCATATAGGTCTGATGAATGCCCAGCCTTTTTATAGTTCAAAGCACAATCACCCTTGACTTCTACAGTGCAAGTAATGCTGGTGTCAGGAACTAAGTTGTCAGATGCTATTTAGGACAACAGCCACTTAGCATGAGGACCCAAGCTGCTGGGTGAGGTAAACAGTGGCACATGGTGAGGGTCCTCCACCCTGAGGACAGTCTTGATGCTACACTACTCCTGATGTCACCTCCCAAGTCTCTGTGCGCCACTGCTGCAATACTCAGACTCGCCACTTTGACAATCTTCAGGCACAGGGGCCTCCTGACTGCCACCATGGGAGGGAACACAAGAGCATCTCGGACACCGTGGGAAAGAAGCCCAGCTGCCTCCCTGGAAACAAAGGAGCACGTGCCCCACAGTGGAAAAGGAATACAGCTGCCTACAGCTGTTGCAGCTCACCTGGTCAAAAGTCATGCAGGCAAAGTTGTCTCTTGTCCAAGAATAGAAGTCACAGGAAACCTCTCGGGCCATTGTGGACGCTGTAAGGAAGCTGCAGGCCTCGTCATCTGCACAATCTGCAAGTACCACAGGGGACTCATCATCTGACTCAGATGATGCTGAGGAGGGGATTGACCCACACCCTGCCCTCACCCTCATCTCCTGACATATCCCTGCCCTCAACACATAAACTCTCTTGCACGCACGCACATACACACAGAACATCCAAACACAAATACTCACAATATATCCAAATACACCAACACACACACACACACACACACAGAGAGAGAGAGAGAGAACATCCAAACACAAACACTCACATCATATCCAAATACACACAGAATACACGCACACACACACACACACAGAACATCCAAACACAAATACTCACAATATATCCAAATACACCAACACACACACACACACAGAGAGAACATCCAAACACAAACACTCACATCATATCCAAATACACACAGAATACACGCACACACACACACACAGAGCATCCAAACGCAAATACACACAGAATACAGAGAGAGAGAAAGCATTCAAACACAAATACTCACAATATATTCAAATACACACACACACACACACACACACACACACACACACACACACTCAAGGGATATCTATTCTTCCACATGGCTCCACATGAATTGGCCACTAGAAGCAAATAGCATCTTTCAACCGACAAATACCCTTTCCCACTAGAACTCAAGGAGAATTATTCCCATTAGCCCACATGCCCTCAGCCCTAAAGGCCTCTTGTCCTTCGATCAAATCATATTAACTTAATTTTCACTGCAAGCAAGACTCTACTTCAGTCTTAGGAACAAGGGCACTACTGCCATGTCCCCGGCGACCCTGCAACCCACACCTCCATTTCTTCTCCACCCTCCTGTTTCGTTCTCTACGGTACATGGCTCTCCTACAATTTTCTTTTCTCTCATCGACAGTGGCACCCACCCTTCTCACTGCCACAGCCATTTCCTCTTAAGTGGCCGTGCGACCTTCTGCAGCAACCTCTTAATGCTTATTGTGGAAACAGTTATGCCTACCGTTCCGGGGGTCACTACCAGTACATCAGAATAGGACTGTAATTTATTTAGGGTTAGGGTCTGGAAAGCAGTAATTAAATAATGTGAAATGGAGTCACGAGCTGTGTCCTAAGAAAGGGAAGAGAGGAGGACACGGGAAACACAGGGGGAACTATGTAAAGACAAAGCAGGAAGACAGCCATTGAGAAACTGGACAGACCACGGCTGCCAACCCCTTGTTTTCAGGGCTTTGGGATCTGGAGCCATGGGAAATCACTTTCCTGGTTGAAGATACCCAAACCCCACTGATCTGCAGATCCTGTCTGCCCCCGAGTGAGATGGCCTGCTCTGGTTTCTCTATCAGACCCGATTTTGCCAGACCTTCCTGACATGGTAGCCTTACTCTAACTTCTGTCTGTTGGTGTTCCCTAGCCTTAAGCACTGGATTTCACACGCTTGGATGACGTTACCTTCTGGTGCCAGCAAAGGGCCTTGCCCTTTCTGCTAACCTCACTCCATGTAATTCTACATCCCCCTTTTACCTGCCTGCTGCCTTGTCTTTCGAAATCAAGCCGTATTACAGAGTGCGATGGTGCACACGTGTGTGTGTGTGTGTGTGTGTGTGTGTGTGTGTGTGTGTGTGTGATGCCCTGTGCAAGGACAAGTGACCCTCACAGGCACCTACCGAGTCTGCTGTCCTGGGGCTGCCTTGTAGCATCTGCTCACTCCCCTTCACACTGCCCACCCAGTTTCCACACACCATTTGTTCTACAGATAACTTTGTTAGCCACCTATCTCCTGCTTTGTATTACGGCTGCAATACAAACAAGAGCATAGGCTTAGCCTACGTAGAGGCGCCATCCAAAGTAGGTCCTTATTCAGAGTGCCACTGAAAGAGGTTTGTGGCTGTGGTCACAATTGCCACTTTCACTTTTGCTAGCCTGGGTTTGAATTTAAGACTTGTCACTTGCTAAGGCCATGTCATTGAACGAACTATTAACACTCCCAAAGCCGCCTGTTCAGCTGTACCTTGGAATCCCTATGGGGTGGTTGTAGAATTACTAGATGATGCTAGAGAGATGTGCTCAATGAACAGAAGTTGTTACACCTTCCTATCGGTACACGCATTAGGCAGGTGCGGAGTGATACACAACTGACTGCATTTCCGTTTTCCAACATTCAGTGCAACTCTCGGCAGATGGTAGATATGAGACAAACAGCAGAGACGTTAGGAATTGTACAAACATTTAATAAATCAAGTTGCCCAGAATGTCTTTGACTGATTAAATTTTCATCATATTGATTAATGTGTGGTTTGCCCTGCCTCTCCGGGTGAGCATCTCCTCAACTCACTTACCTGCCAAGCACTGTACCAGTGGAGCTGAGGAGTCATTCCCAGAGACTTTTGACTTGACTATCACAGGAGAACTGGCATCAAAGATCACCTTTGCTTCTGGAACTTTCTCAAATTTCTGCATCACTGGAAATAAAGTAGACCTGTGAGGTCCAAGCCGGAAGTGTGTTGAGGACATTTGCACGTGACTATTTACTCAGGCTAGAAAGTCCTGTTAAGGTCAAGATGTCACCCTTGATCATCTAACTGTCTCACATGAGGCACTTGCCATTGGAAGGGGCCCCAGCCTGCTCCCTCACATCTGGTTCTCAGAAGTATACCCTGCTGTGGCCCCACTTCCTACCCTATGCCCGGGAAGTAAGGGGAAGATCTCACATTACCTTGGACTTTTCATCTCATATTTTCTCATAGTTAACTGATTGCTTCCCCCATCTAATCGTCTCTTTTCCTGCCTTGGAATGCTAATTATATTGCATGATGCTTACATTGAAAACGCCCTCTCCTAAAATATTCTGAATTCTTCCCGAAGTGAGGTAAGCTATTTTTACAAGACAAATCAAACATGTGCGTATGAGGTTTTGCAGACCTGGAGATAAGTCACGTGCCCCCTACACTTTTCAGACTGTATTTATTTAGGTGATGGGTTGTCATCTGTTTCTCTAGCAACCGTCAACACACTTGAGATCCATTTGGTGGGACTCACAGAGCCACCTGCTCAGGGAACCAGACAAGTGAGGAGGAAGAAAAGACAAATATCGGCTGCTTTATGACTTGGGGTGCATTTCTGACAAAGGAGACCAATGAGTGATAGTCACAGAGAGAGCTACCTTCCAAGCCACAACAACTCCAGCGTGCCTATGCTGCCAATCTCTATCAAAATACACAGGAGTTATTTATAACCCCTTAGCATCTTCAGTCACCACTACAAACCCGGATGTAGATGCACATTACCATAGATGTCCAATCCATTACAAACAGGCCTTGTATCTACATTGGTCTCCACAGGTCAAAACAACCATGCTTTTAATGAGGAAGCAGGGGAAAAATGAAAGTAGACATTAAGTTGTCCTTTCTCAGTTTTTTCATGAAAGCATAAATACGCCGAAGTGCTAACAGAGAAACAGCAGGTTTTAAGCTTTCATGTAGATGTAGAAGAGGGGTCTGTGGAACTGTCATCTAGACAAACAAAAGGGACTAATTGAAAGAGACCGGGATGAGAAAAGGAATAGATTCACTTCTGTAAAATAAATACACACTTGGATGAAACGTTTGAAAATGAAGAAATAAAACATTTTCTAAATTTACAAAGTGACCCTTTCTGCTCTCATCACTGAAGATGCCAGGTTCATAAATGCAGCCCACACTCAGCCTTGCTCCTCATAATCCCCCCTCCTTATTTTTCCATCCCTTAAGACTTTGTTTATATTCTAGAAGTGCCTGTGTAGCAAACACCACAGCAGACTCACTCTGGTGTCACTAAGGCCAGTTTGATAGAGACTACATGTGCACGTCCTAGATTAAACTGAACTTGACAGGCCTTTCCATTCCTAACAGAGTCTAAAAAGTGCAGTCCATTTATCTCTCTGCTTAGGGATTCTATATGAAGAGCCCCAGATAGTAGCGTTTTTCTTGTTTGTTTGTTTGTTTGTTTGTTTACCATGCTGGGTGCTATGAAGAAGTTCATGGCCAGCAGAGAAGGAAGAGGGGAAGGTGGACATTCATTTCGGTATTCATATGTTCTTTGTGTACTCGCTATGCATCAAATCAGAGTTTTAGACACCATTTAAGAGAGGCCCTTGGATCCTCATGTTATAAATGAAGAAACCACTGAAGGTAAGAGAATATGCAGGACTACGTGAACAGCAAGGGAATCTTGGGGACTCATCCGCTCTGACCCCAGACATCATATCACATCCTTCTGTTCTGTAGACTCTTATCACACCTTGTATGAGGGGACTTGATGGTATGCCTGGGACCTTCTCATCCACTGCCCACTGAAGACCTGAGATAGTGCTTTATTTGTGGACATTTGAGATGACGTTGATTCTCACAATGTCTCAGAAAACAGAGAAGAGACGCTGGTGATCAGGGTTGAGCAAGTCATCCCTAGTCATCCCATAAGGAAATGATAGAATAGAGACAGATACCCAATAGTTCCACAGCATCCAACTGAGAGGGAAATGCTACCCAGACCCACAGATGCAAGCTGCCTACAAGAGAAGAGGTCTTACCAGTTAAGATTTCATGAAAATTTCATCTCTTTTGCATGCTAAATTATTCAGGGGCGATGGTCTTATGATTGCCGAAACTTATTTTCAAATGATTCAACAACAACAACAGCAAAAAAGCAAGCATAGAGTAACATATCTAAGTGAAGGAAATCTTCATTTTCTGATTTCTATATAAGTTAAAAACTTTTAGTGCAGAATAGGTGGTGGTCTGAATGTAATTGGCTCATAGAGAGTGGCACATTAGGAGATGTGTCTTTGTTGGAGTAGGTGTGGCCTCGTTGGAGGAAGAATGTCACTGTTGGGTTAGTCTCTGAGGTGTTCTATGCTCAATATTCCACCCAATGTCACAGACCACTTCCTGTTGCCTATGAGTAAAGATGTAAGAAATATCAGCTCCTGCTCCAGCATCATGTCTGTCTGTACACTGCCCCGTGCTCCCTGCCATGATAATGGACTGAACCTCTGAACTGTAAGACACCACCTCAATTAAATGTTTTCCTTTGTAAGAGCTGCCATGGTCATGGTATGTCTTCACAGCAATAGAAACCATTAAGACAGGCAAACGGTATCTGTGTATAATCCCTTTCTGTAGGTCCCTGAAGACCCTGGTCCTGGCACCCACAGTAGAAACAATACAACCAGTACATACTCAGGCACTGGGAATCTGAGAGTCCCGCCTCTGTCTGTAACCACTGTAGCCTCCATCCCTCGCTGTCCACACAGAAGGCCGCTCCACTGTCCCTGTCCCTCTGGCTGGCTTTGTACTGGCCGTCCTGGTCACACTGTAGGCCGGCCACATTCCTCTGGCAGTCAGTGAGACCTGGAACAACAGATGGACACAGTAATGAGTAACAGGGCTGTGTGTTCTATTCCTTCTTTTCCAGCTTTCAGGACCCCTGGACTGTGGTGATGCCACAGTCATGGGTAACCCAGACACTCTATCTGAGGTCTCTTAGTGTGTCCGCCCTCAGCAAAGCATACCACTAAGGCTCTGTATCCAACCTACAGTGCATCTTTACATGGACTGTAAAGCCCATATTTTGGAATCTAACCTTCAGTGTGATCGCATTAGGAGATGGGGCCTTCGGAAAGTAATAATGTCGTGAGGATAGTGCCCTTAGACATGGATTGGTGCCCTTACAAAAGATGGCAAAGGAGCCGATTTGCACTTTCTGCCACACATGGACACTTAGCAAGTCATCCTCTGTGGTATTTTCAGTAGACACCAAACCTGATGTCAACTTAATTTTGGGCTTCCAGACTCCAGAAGAATGAAAACCAAACTTGTGCTGCCCAATGCCACTCATCTTATAGTTGTTTGAAATAGCTGTCTGGAGAGATGGCAACATCTCCAGACCCCCGACTTGGTCTTGTCCAATGTTATGATTCTTTCTGGAATTGACACCCAATGGTAAGCTTGGCCAGTGTTTCTATTGCCCTGTGAAAAGGTGGTTAATGACAACTTGCATCCTACTTGATGGAAGCGCCGTGAGGGCAGGGCCTGCAGCCCATTGCACTGCCCAGTGTCTAAAATGTATACTCCACCTCAACATCCAAGAATGCAAGATTGCTGCCCAGGGGTGAACACCTCTCTATCCCTGTGTTCAAGCCACTGTCTCTCCCTGGAAGTCCATGCTCCACCTGGCCAGTGTCTTCACCTACCTGAACCCCCATCCTATCTGTTAAAAGTGGGCAGTCCCATCCACCTGGGAGAGGAGTTGGGATGACTGAATGAGACTTTACAGATGACATGATTGGTCTGGAGCCTGGCAGGAGCCTGGCATTCACAGAAGATGGCCACTGGTTCTCAACAGTGGAAAATTTTGTCGTTAACCTCCCCACACCGGCCACCCAAGAAATGCTTGGCAATTCTTATAGTCAAGTTTGCTTGTCATAACTTGGGGGAGAGGCTGCTGGTGCCATCTAGCAGATATGGGACACACTGATGCTATTCAACCTCCTACCACTGTGGGGCAGTGTCTAGGATGCAGAGAGCTCCACCTCCAAACGTCTCCAGTGCTGACACTGAGTAGCTTTGCTGCATTCTGCTGGGTGGAAAGGCTTTCCCTTCAGCGTGGCCCCAGAAGAACTTACAGTGAGTCTTGCTGAAGGCACCAGTGGTGATGGTCGTTCTGCCTCTTGGGCATGGGAAGCAGGCTGAGCTGCCTGCCTCTTCCTGGTAGGTGCCAGCGGGACAGGGAATACACCGCCCATCCTGAGAGAAGCTTCCTTCGGGACACTTCACTAGGGGCACAAGCACAGGCGACATCAGAGTGAGAACTTGCTTTATGGTCATAGGCGGGGCTTGCAGTGCACGTAGAACCCTAAAAATCAGCCCAGGATTTCAATGGGGCCTCCGGCTCAAAAGCTGAAGAGTCAGCTATGAGGAAAGGCAGGCGGTTGGGCCCTTCTCTCCAGAAGCTGAGGGTGTGCGGCAGGCATGGGAATTCAAGCGAGATTTCAGATGTGGGTCTAATGAAGTAGGAGACAAGTCAGGGGCACATTAGAGAGGAACAGCCTCTGAGAAGTTAACACTAGAGACTTGGGTGTGTGTGTGGGGGGGGATGGGGGAGCAAGTACCAGACAGTTAAAACAGCAAGGACAAGACCCCCAAGGTATAATGGCAAGAGAAAGGCCAAATCAGGCCAGCCAGGAAGCCAGACATGAGATGGCAAAGGACATGAGCTTGGCAGGAAGTGAATGAGAAAGAAGAGGCCCAACCGTGGCTTCCCAAAGGGTGTGACAGAGGGTGGAAAGCGCAGGCAGGTTGGGTGGTTCCCTGCTTCCTGTACAGTTCTTGGGTTCTTCTGTCGTTTTTACTCTGTGTGAAATGGAGTCAATAATATTTAACGGGGTATAGAGGCCATGAACATACAGTGTCCATCCTAATACCACGTATGTGATCAGCAAATAATAGCCACTTTTAGTTTAAAGAAAGTCCTTCCTTGTAGCGAACTGTGCACAAATGTTACCTTCGCAATGGGTCAAGTCCAGTAATTCTAGCAATGTAGTGTCATCCATCTCACTTGACTGCTGTGGCTGATGTCCCTGTGGGTCCGTCACTAATAGTTATGATGCTAATACTGGACAAAGGGGATGCTAATTGGGTACCCAGAAATCAATACTAAAGGTGGTTCTTGCGATCAGGCCTGTTGGCTTCTGATTGTCTTAAAAAGCTCAAATTCTGTGGATAAGAGCTCTTGTCAATTTGTCAACCTGGGTGCTGGTATCTTACTGTGGTCCTCTCCTTGTTTCGCGGCTCATCTGCTGGTACCCGGTGCTTTCTTTCCTGCTAACATCTTCAGTCCCTCCTCATGTCTCTTTTCCAACGATATAGGCTGGGAGCCCAGAATCCCATAGCTAAAGATGCATTGAGCCTTCAGGAGCTCCACCCGCCACCCTGACCCTGCTGCCTCGGAGAAACATGGAGGGCCTGTCTCTTTTCCCTCCAGGTTCAGGTTTGTATCCACAATAACTTGTCAAATAACTTCAAACTCTGAGCTTTAGCCTGTAAACGCTGGGGCCAAACTCTTTTTCGTCCTTGGAGCCCTCGGCATGCGCCTGGCACACACCTGCCGTGCACACTCCATGATTTAATATATCACCACTAAGAGTTAGCAACTATTCCCGTCTCGCAGCGGAGACGGCCGGGCCTGCCATCACTTCCTGCAGCACTCTTCTGGAAGAGGAGAAGGTGAAATTATGGCACAGTGACAGCTATTCCCATGAGACAGACATCGTTTCTGAGTTGGCAGCAAGGCACTCAACTGGCAGAAAGGAAGCACAAAGCGGCGGCGAGATGGAGTCACCGTCCTGGGAGCTGCTGTCCCCAATCTGCGTGCATGCTTGGTGTCTCTGAGCAAATCAGAACCTCTGCCACGCCTTTCCAGCACTTTCCAGCACACCCTAGCAGCGGAGATCCTTCTCTGAGCACAGAGTTTCGTGATTGGTTGGGGCAATTGCTTTTACAAGTGAGCGCCCTATAAATTCAGGACTAAAGCAAACACAAGCTTCATGGCCCTGCCATCTTTACTCAGAGTTCTGATGATGACAGGAAAGTGAGACCTGGAGAGATACACATCAGAACGCGGGCTTCTGTCGGTGTGAGGAGTGTGCGTGCTTTATCTCCATGGTGACTTTGCCTGACCTCAGGAGCCTTCCCACCCAAAGGGCACTTTTTGTAGATCCTAATGAGGCGGAGCCTTGAGGGCCAGCATCCTTTGCTCAGAAAGTGGCTTCTCTTGAGGCTAGAGAGTCCACCATGGCCCCTGCACGCTCACTTACACCTTCAACTGTGCCCCTCTGCCAGCCAGAATCACTGAAGCCTGCGGCCAGCACCTTCCTTTACGCAGTGTGTTACCTGGGTCATTTGGGTTTAGAGTTGTCAAGGCTTTGAGTCAGGTTGTTCTACTTGCCAATATCTTTGCGTCCCATCAGTGACACAGCTACACTTCTGAAGAGAGGAAAATGTCTTTGAGGCGACATCATGGTCCTTTACCATCTAAGAAGTTCACTCAAGCCCTCTCAAGCCTTTCTGGTCCTGTCACTCAGAGTTCTCCTGTGGCACTCGATGGGGAGCCAAACTTCTGGTCTATCCCTCCCTGTACCCCATCTTGCTCAGTGGGTGACCTCCTGCCATGTTCCTCACAGACTCCATTCTGCTACAGAAACCATGTCATTGTCTCATAAAGCCAGGGGGCTTTTAGACTCATTGCTTTTCCATGAATCCATCCAGTTTCTGGAGTAGTCTTCATTTTGATGACCCTAATACACAAAAGCGCGTGTGCGTGCACACGCTCGCGCGCACACACACACCTGCCCATCTTAGCAGCAATTCCTACTCACTTTTCCAGACCCTGCCCAACACCTGCTGCATGTCTCTCTGGCTTTCTGGAAGGACCACGGTCCTCTGCTCCAGCCATACACAGTGCCTTTGCTGCTCTGTAGTTGTGGCATGAGGCTTGCATGTCACTAGATGGGTGGCAGATGGCTGAAAGAGGGTAGGGAAAAGCCGTAACACACCACGCCAGGAAAAGGAGTCCATAGGGAACGAGTTCTAGTATAAGAACTTGTAGTGAGGAAAAAGAATGTATAGTAGATAAGTGAAAATTAATGCCAGGCAGAAGGAAAGTAGGAAATCTGGACAGACTCCCTGTGATCTCCTTCAATGGAGGCTGTTAGCAGGGGCTTCCACAGGAGCCATAATGATGAATGGAGGTTAGAGAGTGAACTCATCATACCCTGATGAAACTGCAAGCAAGGCATCATCTCCCTCGCAGCATCCGAATGACCCTGTCCACATAGCTTACAAGGGAGGGAAACTCCTGCTGGCCCCCACGTCGCTGCACTAGCAGGGGCGGCTTACATCAGACCTCGGAGGTTACAGAGAAAATCCTGCCTCGTCTCCTCAGGACAATACTCTGCCTCGTAGCTCCACAGCTGTGTTCCAGATGTGTTTTAGAAGGAGAGCCAAAAAAAAAAAAAAAAAAAAAAAAGGAGAAACCTGATTCTTGGAGGTGGGGATTCACTAGAACTCCCCTGTTGAGAGGGGTGGGCTGTGGTTCACAGGGTAGAAGCAGATCTCTGGTGCTGGTAGAGCCCGGCTCACAAGTCTACACGGGCAATCAACAGCAGGGGCACTGGCCAAGAGCTGGCCCTAGACAGAGGTGGGCTCTCATCAGGAAGGTCATGATTTTCAGGGGAGGACAAGTGACCTCCTTGGTCCCCAGGGTGAGAAGGCGCTGGGCCCAGGACTCAAGTCCAGGTGTGTCTGACTAAAGACTGCTGCCCTAAGTGTATAGAGCTGTATGTATGCCTCAGCTTCCTCGGGGTAACATGAGGCACACTGAACTCTACAGAAACGCCCACACATACAAGCAGCTCACCGGGGATCTCAGACATCATCACAAATATGGAAGAAACCCCAATATTTTCCTGACACCTTTTGTGGGATGCTTCTGAAGCGAAGCTGCCCAAAAGAGATATGTAAACCTAATGCAGCTGGCCTTCAGCTTTAGCGATTGGGCTTACTAGAATCTAGTCACATCTGACTCTCTACAGTGACCGAGTTGAACTATTGGTACCAGACCATATGGCCCAGAAAGCCACAAATTCTGCCCATCTGGACCTTTACAGAGGAGAGTTGTAAGAAAGGACCAGCAAAGCCTGACCCTAGCCTCTTCCCCAAGTACCCTTCTTTGTTTTCCTATAGGCTTTACTGAAGTCCTTCCCATCCTGATGACATGCAGGGTTTCTCCTTTAGGCAAAGCCGCCACATGTTAAGCCCACATCTCCGCCCAGGACACAGCATATTAAAGTCTGAGAACAAACACAGTGGCTGACATGTGTGACGCGTCCTCTCTGTGACTCTTCCTTACACTTAGCAGACACCACCATCCCCAATTCCTCCAGCTTCGCATCCTCTGGTCTGGCCAGCTCTTAGAAGATGGACAGACAGATTGTGTGTTCTGGCCCAAGAGGAGCGAGGATTCCTCACCCACTGATATCGGGTTTGGCGACTTCAAGTCCCTCTTGGGAGACACCCTGCTTAGGCTGTACACATCCCTTTAACATCTCTGACTCATGGGGAAAGGGCCTGCTACCAGACTCCTGTGAGATACATACACACGAAGTCTCACAGCCGAGTGTAAAGTCTGAAGTATACACTGGCAGGGAATGACTGATCCTGTTCTCTGTGCTAGGATGGGAATATTGCTCAAACCCAGGAACTTGGCACCAATTTCAGAAAGTCTACAAAGGCTCTGTGTTGCAATTGATACAAATAATGGGGGGGGGGAATAACAGAGAACCTTTCTCTCCAGCTTGATGAAAACATTCTCTACCTCAATTCATGTAGGAAGAAGGCTTCCATCCCGTCGTTAAACCTTTCAAGCTTTGGTGATGGAATAACAATCCCATCAACCTACCACATGCAGACCACATCCCTATCCCTGAAAGCTGTATATTAACTTATATAGCCAAGAGGAATTAGAATTAGAGGAGGGGTTAGGATTAAAATAGATGATCATTCAGCCATGGAAGTGTCCTGGATTATCCAGCTGTACATCATTAAAATGGCTCTTAACCCAGAAGGAGATGTGGTTCCGGAAGTAGGGAGGTTTGGAAAGTCACAGGACTGCTGCCCTTGACATTGAAAGAGGGTGTCTAGGGTGGAGAGTGTCCCCAGCTTTGAGAAAATAGTGGAGATAGATCATTCAAGGGTCTCCAGGAGGAATACGGTCCTGAGGATGCCTTGATTTTTAGCCAAGGAGACCCACATTGTAATTCTACCTACTGAACTATAGGATAAAAGCACTGGGTCTGGAGTGATTTGTAAAGAGGGCAACAGGAAAACGACACATTCTTCCATTCACTTTGCAGCTGAATTCCCAGGAAAATGGTCTTCAAAGATGCTCATGGGCAAGAGTAATAACAGCCAAGCCAACCCATTACAGGTCTCATGTCCATGAGCTATGGAATGGGCTGGCAAATGGCTATATGTGGGCTGAGAGGAATGACACTTCCTAAAACAAAACCAAGAAATGCTGAGCCAGGATACAGTGTAGACACTGGTTATCTTATCCCTGTGAACCCAGTCCCAGGGTTCAAGCCGAAGAAGGCCTAACAGAAAGTACAATGTCACACACTGGATTCTTCCTCTCGCTGAGCCTTGTGAGTGAAGGCTAATGAGTGATTCCTATGAAAACCGAACAGAGGAAAATACTGCTTGACCAATGCATTGGTGATTCCTTGGCCCCCAAGCTCAGTGGCCTTTTCTGAAGCTTCCTGGGTTCCAAACCTCGGTCCAGAGGGAGGTGGGTACCTACCACAGCCCAGAGGGTCCTGACTCGTCGCTGAGACCCTGTAGAATCCTTCCAAGCACCCAAGCTGAGTCCTGGGAGAGGTGGCAAAGCTGCCCCCATGCAGGAAGTACAGGGAGGAGTCTGCTGTGAATGTCTTGGAGTCCAGATGAAGCTGGAACTTGCCACTTTGGATCAGATCTGTGAAGCGTCCAAGGAGATCCTGGCCCAGTAAAGCCCGTTCTGTAAGACACAGATGAGGCAGAGGTCACCTAACTGTTCTCTGAAGATCCAGGAAGGATAGTAGGTGTGGGGCTGCCTAGAACACCCTGAGAGGAAGGACACGTGGGTATCGTGCACTCCTTCCTTAGACATCAAAACAGGCCAGGCTCGAAGAAGGTGACTTGGCTAGCCCAACGTCACATACACAATACATACAAAGTCAAACTCTAAGCTAAGTCTCTAGTTCCCTGTCACTAAAATGATCCATGTTGGTACAGACTGTGCTTTACTGTGATCTGGTAAAGCAGATTCAGATCTCTACAAAGCCTCAGTGTTCACATCAGCTGACAGGCCTAGGGATGCTTCATTTATAGGTGGGGAAGTTCCCAAGAGCCACCCACATGAAAAGCATGGCCTTCTTTTAGAAATGCGACTTTTACTATTCGCTAAGTTTGCAGAGGGCTATGACTTCCCAAGTAGAAAGCAGAGGAGTTCCATCTAAGGGACTGATACAGACCTCTATGTGTAGAGAACATCCATGCTGCAACCTGCCACTGGCCTTGGCCTGAAGCCACAGTCATCATTATCCTCACACTGAAGCTGGGGACAAACCTCTCATGCTTTTACAATATCAAACACTCTCAAACTATCCAGGCTTTCTTAGGGGAAGGGTAATGAAAACCTCCAATCCATAATGCTAGATAGATCATTGCCAAGGTACCATCAGGAGTCCAAGAGGGTTATAGACCTGTAGTCTGCCTACTGGATTCTACCCCAACCTTGTGTTTTTATTTTATTTATTTTTGAGAGATTTATTGTCCTAGAACAGAGGTCAGGTTCCAGGCACTCTGGGTAACTGGGTGTTGGGCAACTGAATGACAGAGGAGAGACAGAAGTTGCTCCCTGAGACCCTAAGAATGATGCTACTTAGCAATGTATGGATCAGTCCCTACCCTACCAGAAAGCTCAGAGAACACAGGGCACACACGCATGATGGCTCTCACACAGTTCACCCAACCCTATCTTCTTAGGTTTTTGTGGTTTCTCTATTCATCCCTAGCATAACCGTCAAGCTGTTGATAGAGGCAATGGGCTGAGGTGTTTTCCCAGTGGAAATGGGTGGTATGTAAATTGTGAGCCAGTGAAGACACCCTCTCTCCACCCAGTCTCCCTTCATGCTGTGTCTACCCCTACACTGAAGTGTCTAGCCTCTCTATTGTTTGTGATGCTATCTGTCCTACTGACAAGAACTTTACTAGTGCATCTATCTATCTGTCTACACACACACACACACACACACAATACTATTATTAACTCTTGGAGGCTTTCATACAATGTAATTTGATCATACCACCCACAGTTCTTTCCTCTAACTCTTCCCAGATCAACCCTACACCCCTACCCACTTCCTCAATTTCATGTCTCCCGCTTTTCTAGTAGTCTATCGATTGTGTAGTAATAATTATCTAGTAATCTATCCAGTTTGTGCTGCCAGGCGAGAAGGGTCAGCAGCTTAAGAGCACTTGCTTCTCCGGTTTCGTTGCCGGGAGGAGTCTGAGGCTCAAGGAGGCCGCCCAGCTCCTTCAAAGCTGTCACACAGATAGACATACCGATGCTGGGTAAATCTGGAAGTGAGGTCACTGAGATGTCCCCAAGCCGTAATTTCCATGTGACATTCACACCTAAACGCTCTGCAGTCAGACACCCCACCTGAACCGAGGAGTTGTCACAGACAGTACTGGAAACCAGGGTCCCAAATGTGTTCACCTGCATGGAGATGGACATCTTGGTTTAGGGACATTAGGAGAAGCTGCTGATAGCAAGCATGTGTCGGGACCGAAAAACCTCTTCCCCACATGAGGCTCCCTGAGAGTGATTCTGAGTTCAGCCCAAGCCCTCACTGTGGGAAGGCTGCCACATACCCGGACCTGGCAGAAGCCACGGGTTGCCAGCTCGTCCAGTATGAAGGCCTGGAAGGCCTGAAGCAAGCCGGAGTAGGCAGCACTGCACATCTTGCCTGGCGGGAGCAGGAGCTGGAAGTGTGCTTGGGTCTGCATGGTCTGCCACAGCCGAGGCCCTGCAGCCGGGCACAAGAAAGGACCCGGTGAGCTGAGGCGACAGGCCTGCCTGATCCATTCCTGGGCACTTCACAGTCCCTCCTCCTTCAGCATAAACACACAAGTGCTGCCTTTTTTGCACAGATGGCCTGAGATACCACGTGCCTTCTGGCACACTGGTTCAGCTCTGAATGCCTCAGACTCGGCACAGCCAAACTCCCAGCTGATTCAGTCTCTGAACTGGGGTTGCTTCATAGAGACTCTGACATTCTCCCTGGAAAAATCTCCCATACTGCTTTGCAGATGAACACCACCCACCCCACATGACTCTGCAGGCTAGGGGTACATGTTCCCTAATGCTGCTCAGTGTTCAATGACGATTGACTTGGTCTTAATTTTAACTGAGGCCACTCTGTCACAGTCAAGGAGACAGGCCCCCTAATTGTGCAAACCACATGTTAAACTTTTTCCGGATGAGAACCCTCTACAACCCACAGTGCTTTGCAGCTAATCCTACCTTAGACACACTGGCAGTCAGCTAGAGCCTTAGGATGGAGGTCAGTCTCGGGATACTGGTCTCCACCTCAAGATGCTTCTCCTACCACTGGGAGGGTCAAGTGAATGATCCAGTTCAAACTGGTCTGCCGGGGCTGCTGATGCCCTGGCCTTGTCAAGTCAGGCTAGGGTGGAAACCCATGCTGCCACGCGGTAGTATGTGTAGGTGGGTGGGTTTGTCTTCACCTGAGTTGAATGGGTTTTCTGAGGCAGCAAAAGAAGCTGCCTCAGGGAGAGGTCTCCATTTACCCAAGGTGCTAATGCCCATCTGGCACAGGTCTTAGACCCTTGCCCTTCCAGGAATTCACCACACAGGTCAAGATGGATATGGGCAGAGGTTAGTGCTTGGCAGCCAGAGCATCTACCACTGAATATCTGTTTCCAATTCAAGTAGCCACAGGCAACCTAGAATAACATTAATTCTCCCATACAACATTTGGCTCCAGAGAGCCACCAATATAACCTAACTCCAGGAGCTGTGGACATATTTGCTCCCAGAGCTCCTTCTAGAAGCAGTGCTCCATGGGGCCAGCTCTCCAGCCCTGGTACCACCCTACTTATAAAAAGGCTGTGTATGAGTTGGGAGAGTCTCCTCAGAGTCTCCTCAGCAACAGCCCAGAGAGGGAACAGGATGCAAGTCAAATGTCCCCATCGCTACTCACGCTGGCAGGCTCCTCGGGGTGGCGGCGGTGACACCCAGCGCAGACTCTCCAGGCTACAAATCAGTGGCCCTAGCGGGAAGGCACTGTGACGGCCCTCGCGGCAGAGCAGATAGCACTGCTGAATGGCGGCCGCTCCTGGACCAGCAGCCTTCTCACAGAAGACCACTCCATCAGCCACACGTGACTCAGAGAATGGCAGCGGGCACCGTGGGCCTGGGGGCAGGAAGAAGCAGACTCATGGGCACCTGCCCGGCTGCGGCCCGGCTCCTGCCCACAAAGGCGAGTTACAGCAGCATCCGCAGCTAACTTACAAATCCGGTGAGCCACCACCTCATCCTCGCTACCTCAGGGTCACAACCTGGTCCATGTTTCCACTTTTACTGCTCTGAGCTCAAGGACCAGCCCCTGTAGCCTCTCCCCCCAGAGGGACAATAGTCCTGTGCGTGAGGTCTTCAGCACTGGCCCCTCCCTCGTGTCCCTCCAGTCTGCACTGCCCAAAGTGACTATGGGCTCTTGATGCCCGTGTGCCTGCCTGCTGCCTCTGCCTCCCACTCGTATGTTATGGGGCTCTGCAGCACGGGAGGACCAGGCCAGGGTCCTGGGGTGCTTCCAAAATCATATCTACTAGACATTGTGATTGCTGTAGAGTCAAGGAAATGGGAGGCTGTGGCACAACCTGGTTTCCCAAGGTCACACACCGGTGACAGACGGGAGCCAGCTTCTGTTAGCTTCTGTCTTCTCAGCACAGGTCGCATAGTGTGTGTGTGTGTGTGTGTGTGTGTGTGTGTGTGTGTGTGTGTGTGTGTAGCTGTGGACGTTTGAGTAAGAATGACTCCCACATGCTTCCAGACGTGAAGGCTTGGTCATTGGAGACTTACTCTCACAGGCAGGCTGGGCGCCTACCACGCGGGTCCCAGGCACTTCCTCCCCATTGTCCAGGACACACCAGCAACTGCCCTGGGCCAAGTCACACTGCACCGGGGAGAAGCCCCCGCCAGGTGCCTCGCAGATTGGGGTGTAGCCAGGGCTGACTTTCTGGGTCAGGATTCCACTCTTGAGAACATCACAGAGGCCTGGGCCTGTACAGAGACAAGGGATGGGGAGCTCCCTCTGACACCTGCTCCCTCTGACACCTGCTCCCTCTGACACCTGCTCCCTCTGACACCTGCTCCCTCTGACACCTGCTCCCTCTGACACCTGTTCCCTCTGACACCTGCTCCCTCTGACACCTGCTGTCTCTGACACCTGCTCCCTCTGACACCTGCTCCCTCTGACACCTGCTCCCTCTGACACCTGCTCCCTCTGACACCTGTTCCCTATGACACCTGCTCCCTCTGACACCTGCTCCCTCTGACACCTGCTCCCTCTGACACCTGCTCCCTATGACACCTGCTCCCTCTGACACCTGCTCCCTCTGACACCTGCTCCCTCTGACACCTGCTCCCTCTGACACCTGCTCCCTCTGACACCTGCTCCCTCTGAAACCTGCTCCCTCTGACACCTGCTCCCTCTGACACCTGCTCCCTCTGACACCTGCTCCCTCTGACACCTGCTGTCTCTGACACCTGCTCCCTCTGACACCTGCTCCCTCTGACACCTGCTCCCTCTGACACCTGCTCCCTCTGACACCTGCTCCCTCTGACACCTGCTCCCTCTGACACCTGCTCCCTCTGACACCTGCTCCCTCTGACACCTGCTCCCTCTGACACCTGCTCCCTCTGACACCTGCTCCCTCTGACACCTGCTCCCTCTGACACCTGCTCCCTCTGACACCTGCTCCCTCTGACACCTGCTCCCTCTGACACCTGCTCCCTCTGACCCCTGCTCTGCCCTTTGCCACATCCCTCCCTGGGGGGTCTGTGGGAACCAGGTGGAGCACAGTGGGGAAGGATGGACGCCTTCTGGGCAGCTGAGTCACAATGAGTGTGCCCTCTCTTTATGTGCTGACCACAGTTTGTGACAGGATCTCAAGCACAAGCAATGGCAAAGAGAGGAATGCAAGAGGCCACTCAGGAGTCTAATGTTGGACCCATGCCTCAGAGCCCAGGGTTGCCCTTGGGAACATGTAGGGCCAGGCATAGCATGCAGTGCCTCAGGGCTGCATGGCCAGTCGTCCCCAAAATGCCAGTGTCCCCCGTAGGCAGGGACAGATGATGGGCACTGATCCTGGCCAGTGCTTCTCGGTTACAGAGCACAGCCAGCTCCTGGCCGCACTGGTTTTCCTGAGATCTTTCAAGACAGGAAGGGTGCCTGTTTTATAGACGGGAAAGCTGAGACACATTCGTATCAGGACACAGTCTCGTCCCAGCTGAGGAGGGAGCAGAGCTGGGGCTTGGCCTCCATGCTCACCACGGCCGCTTTAGGGCAAGGGGAAGAGAAGGTTACTCACACTGAGCACTGCTGTTTGTGTTTTGTGGCAATCGTTCTCCTGAGGCTGGGTCCACACACCAGGTTCCGGATTTTGATGACTGCTGCCTGGCATACTGTCCTGTCTGTGATAAAGCCACGGTTATTTCAGTATATGCGAGGGTTTGCAGTTCTCTTATTGATGAGAGAAGGGCTTGCAAGAATGTCCCTTCCTCAACAACTGGTGACAGCTTCTCCAGACAAAGAAGGCTTTCCATAAAGGGGTCACTGTCCATTCAGACTTTATAGCCATTCTCTAAATTGTTGGCACCAAGCAAGGACAAGTTGTGCCACTTGAGGGAAGGGAAAACTCGTCTTATTATGAGACGTGAGGCAAGGGAACAATGTCCTGGAACTAGAGAGGAGCAGGACTGCATGTGCCCCACACCAGCTCCACATGGTCCAGAACTAATTCTAGAAACGATTTTTAATTCGGAACCTCAAAAAAGCCTTAAGTGTCTGTAATCAGCAATACAGGCGTGGCCTAAGACAATGATCCCACAAGCCCTTCCTCCTTTTGGGGGACCTTCAGACATGACCTATCAGCATGGGCTCCTACTTTCCTGCTCTGTCCTGGGACAGTAGGCTTCCCCAACCTCACACTTCAACTATCTAGGCCTCAGTCCTCAGTCCCCCCCCCATATAAAGCCAGGAAGCTAGACTAGATTGATCCCCACCCCCCCCCGCCGTGTGTGTGTGTGTGTGTGTGTGTGTGTGTGTGTGTGTGTGTGTGTGTGTGTAGATATGTATGCATGTATTTGTGTGTGCATGGAGGTCAAAGGGCAACCTTGGTTGTTGTTCCTCAGGTGCCAGGTACCCAATATTTTTGGACAGGATTTCTCATTGGTCTGGAACTCACCATATAGGTTAAGCCTGCTAGCCAGGAACTCTGGGCATCCGCCGATCTTTGACACCTCAGTACTGAGATTAAGGCACTATGATGTTCAGCTTTTGCTACATGGGTTAGGGGGATTCTGGTCTTTGTGCGTGTCAGACGAGCACTTTACAGAAAAAGCCATCTCCCCAGGCCTGATTCCAGAGTACTTTCACTCCAGGAACTCCTTCAGCAGAAAAGCCCCCATCCTATGTCTGCAACCTTCATCCCAGGTGAGACACAGAACCCAGAACTACTCAGAAAGCTGGGGACTCTGCTGCCCTTATCATTCTACAGAGAGAGAGAGAAAAAGAGAGTGAGAGAGACAGAGAGAGAGAGAGAGAGAGAGAGAGAGAGAGAGGGAGAGAGAGAGAGAGATCAGAAGGAGGGCATGCCTCTGCTTCTGGCCATCTGGTCAACCACCAGGTAAGATTCAAACTCAAGCTAAGTTCTGAGGAAAGTCTATGGGAGAAAGTTAGAATTGTGAATACCAGTCTCAATTCATTGAGATCCAAATGGAGTCTAGCTGTTGGTTAGATACCAGTCCTGGGGAGGGGGGGGGATGAAGGCAGGCCAGAAATGAAGGTATCAGTTTGGGTAGTGAGGATTTTAGCTGTTGTTCACCAGTGCCATAGCTGGCAAAACCCTCACAATCTGTGGATCATCAGATCACATGTCAGAATTACCCTTCCTGCCCTCAGAAGCTGCAGTGCCCACATTTCCTTGCTCAGGAGAACAGCCATGCTAGGAACATTGGGCTGACCTGCGTCTCCAGGAGAAGGTGATTTGTCAGGCAAGATAAAAAACTAGACCAAAATGGCAACTTTCTGTACAAATTAATTAATAAGAGGACCTATTGTTTATGGAATCCCATAATGATGTGGGTGGGATGTCCTTCTATATGCTGCAAATATGTGTTGCTATTATTGGTTGATGGATAAAGCTGCTTTGACCTATAGCAAGGCAGAATATAGCTAGGCAGGAAATCCAAGCAGGGATACAAGGAGAAAGAAGGTAGAGTCAAGGAGACACCATCCAGCCACCAAAGGAGACAGATGTCCCAGTGTCACATACTGGTAAGCCACAGGCCATGGGGCAATACAAAGATTAATAGAAATTGGTTGATTTAAATATAAATGCTATACATACACTCCCATACATATCTTGTATGCATGTATGCATACAATGATTGTATCAATCATTACTGATTAAAAGGGCCAAGGAAATGTATTAAAGAACTTTATGTGGTTAAAATAAATAAGTAATATAAATGCTAGCCAATAATAACTATGAGCCATCATGCAAACAATTATAATTAATATTAAGCTTCTGAGTGGTTATTTTAAGAGAGGCTGTGGGACTGTGCAGGACACATAAAAGCGTCGGGCTACACCATACTATGGCGCCGCCTAGCATTACATGTCCCTGAACATCTCATACTCCTGATTTCATCTGATTTTCATCTGGGAGGGGAGCAGAGTAGGGGGGCGATGTCACCCACCCTTTAGTAGGGATAGGGGACAGGCACGGGGGAGTGGGCCACTTGGTAACTAAGTGGTTAGATCCTGAACATGAATGCTTTCCCTGGAGGTTTTTACGTCGGTGTTTCAAGGCACTGTGAGTTACAACTGGCAACAGAGGAGCTAGAAGTGATGAGGGGTGACGTCTTCCTCTAAGGCTGGGAACCAGAAGACAAAGCCCACTGACCCAAACAAGGTGACTTCAGAAAACATACGATAGCAAATATACATACACACACACACACACATATGTGAGTATGCATGCACATACATTGTGTTCTACTGTATTTTATACATTATTATGCATAATAATATAAGTACATAATCGGTCTTTAAAGGCCCAGGCCTATGATTAAAGCAAGACACAGTTGGACACAGAGAATAAAAGCAGGCCTACACAAGGACACACAGCCAGGTCTAGAAGGATCAGGGCACCCATGACTCCCTGAGAGTTTTATACTAAAGAGAATGACCTAGAAATCTAGAAAATCCACCGTCAGTCAGAGGAGGCCGTGTCAATGCCACCTTCCCTCCATGCATCCTTCCTGAGTCTGCAGAAGCTCACCTGTAGGCAGGTGGGGGTGAACAGATCTCCTGGGCCTGGGTTTCTTTGGGGTCCTGCCTGCTTCCATGCAGAAAGCAGCCCATTGGCTCGGGATAGCTCACAGCTTGTGGGGCCTGTGGGGGGGGGGGAGAGGGGCTATAAACAAACTGCTGTCGAGCTAAGGGGAGGCAGGCAACCCCAGCTAACCCCAGACTCCAGACCAGTGGATGCGTACTCCACAGAGCTCGAGCCTCAGAGGGGCAGGCTCCATTCAGGGAGAGACATGTGTGGGCTATGTTGGTGGCTTTAGAGGGTCAAGATGGCTATCAATTATCGATGGCCCAGAGGTGACCTTCAATAGGAGGCTGGGCTCAGAAATGCATATGAGGTAGCAATATAACCACTGTAGCTGAAGATGCCCAGGGACAGGGCACAGGGATTAAAGCCAAGCTGTCACCAGCCTTGGCTCTTGCTGGTACATCTCCAGAGAGAGCACCAACAAGGATGTCCCAAAGTCAACACGAGCCCCAAGACCTGGGGACACAGAAAACAATGTGTCCAGGGCATTCTCAGAGACAGGTCTGGAGGGCTAGATCCTAGAGTCCCTCTCTGTTTCGTGACCAGGCTGGCTCCAGCAGCACAGAGGTCATTACAGAGACCAGATTGAAGAATCTCACCAGCTTTACTTACACTGGGGCATCTGGGTGGAGCCTGCAGTCATTGAGGCTGGAATGAACTCTCCCTGCCCATCCACACACCAGCACTGTCCTGGGAAAGAAGCCATAGCCCATCAGCTCCGGAAGCATGGTGGGAACTCTCCCAAGGGTCCGGTGAGTAACTTCTCTCTTTTGCATTCATAGCCAGCAAGGTAGCCTGTGTGCCCCCTCACCTGACACTGCCCACAATCAAAAGACCCCCAGTAAATGAGCATGTCAACTCCACACTGACTACAGATCCCGGTCCTTGCTGCCCTTTAACAGGGGAGACAGCTGGTAATAGAGAAGCTACGGGTTTTTCCTAGTTACTGAAGAGGGGCCAGTAATCTGGACCACTTGGTTCCCACTGTGGCTCTCTCTGCTAAATATTCACTCGCCCTCTCACAGTCTCCTTACCGGTCCCAGCATGGCATTGCATGGGCTCCCAGCCTCCAAGAACATCACACTGTGGCACATAGGGTCCTGACCACAGAAGACTTGCAGCTCCATTGGACTCTCCCCGGGAAGCTCGAAGTCTCTGATAGAAATTCAATGCTGGAGCCAGGGAAAGAAAAGCACCGAATGTGACAGCTGCCTTGTGGGCCGCTCTGTCCTGAGATAAACCACGCCCACCTCTGGACAAGTCCTTGCATGCAGCATGTAAGACAGCCTTCTTACAACCTGAGAAACATTTCAACCTGAAATTTCTCCTAGACTTTTGGACAGCCAGGAGACTCTCAACAACAGATCTCCCTGTGAAAATAAGTGCTAGACTGCATTGGGAGGGCTCTCCGTAACCCTGTGTGGTAACCGCATAGACGATCCATTAGGCTGCTGGGGGCTTCATGCCCATGGGATGCACTTTACTCTACAGAAGAGACATGGATGTCATAAGATTTTTCTTTGGGCTGCCAGCTCACAAACACGCAAAAGACAGAGACTTCTTGTTAATTGTGCAATCTTGTCCTATAGCTTAGGCTTGTTCCTAACTAGTTCTTATAACTTAAATTAACCCATTATCTTCATCTACATTCTATCATGTGGTCTAACCCTCTCTTCCATCTTGGACCTCCTGTTTCCCCTCCATGTCCCTGGCCTCTCTCTCTCTCTCTCTCTCTCTCTCTCTCTCTCTCTCTCTCTCTCTGTCTCTCTCTCTCTCTCGTGACTAGATTCCTTCTCCTCCCTCCTATTCTTCCTTCCTAGCTATTGGCCATTCAGCTTTTTATTACACCAATCGCCTGCAATACACCTTCACACAGTGGGCAAATATCCCACGACACAGGACGCCCAAAGGTATGCTGTGTATCGCGTGTGTCAACCTTTTGGTACGACACTGTCATCTACAAAGTCCAGTATCAAGAACTACGCAGTTGGGTGACAGAAATAAAATCACTTACGTGCCTCATAATGCTTTGAGTGAGTTTACGGTTTTGTGTGGGGTCACATTCCTAACCATCCTGAAACACATGTGGCCCACAAGGCTGTAGGTTGGACATGCTAGAAAGGATTAACTGAATCCTCGCCATGGGACCTAGGCGGCATCAGCGTCCCATCTGACCAGTAACAAAACTGAGACAGACAGACAGACAGACACTACTTAGCCAGGGTCTCACAACAGGACATGGAAGGACAGCTTTGACAACATGTGGTTTTCACACCACACCTCTCCCAGCCCTGCATGGATCCTCTTGCTCATCACTCGCCACCATCCAACACTTCATACATGTACAATAGATCATGTATGTGCTTATCACATTCCTCTTCTGGGCTCACATTTAGGATCCTTAGCACTGAGGTCCATGTTTCTTTTGCACAAAGAACCTGGCTCACGACATACATTCAGGGGACAACTGATCCCTAGGTCAACGCTGATGCACACCTGTAATCCCAGCTACAGGGAAAGCGGAGGCAAGAGGATCTCACGCTGAAGACCGGCCAGAGCCACAGGGTCAAGGCTAGTCTGGGAGACTTGGTGAGAAGCTGTCTCAATTTTTTTAATTTAAAAAAGAACTGGGGGGGTGTGGGTCAATGGAAGAGTAATTTCCTGGCATATGAGGCCCTAGTATGTATAAAACAAAGCAAAAAAAAAAAAAAAAAAAAAAAAAAAAGAGGGACAAGTGATAGAAAGTAAGAAGGAAGACAGAGAGAGAGAGAGAGAGAGAGAGAGAGAGAGAGAGAGCTGGAATAAATGCTGTCATGTGTGCATGTGTGAGAAGAAGGGCAAGGAGAAGTAAGCAGTGGTCAGAGCTCATGGCCACGTGGCCTGGATCCCCCAGATCCTCACCCTAGGTCCCTGCTACCCTTCTACAGAGCTGGGTTTCTCTCCCGTCCCCTTTCCCTGTCTGGCCTGCAACCTTTCCACAAATGGAAGTGCCCAGGGTGTGGTTCCTCTTGGGGATCCCAGAGAACTACCATCTCTGGTGTAACTTCGGCAATCTGTTTCATGGGGGGGGGGTCCTTCCCAACCTGTCAACTTCAGGACTCCAGGAGGAGGTATCTCAGATAGAAGGACAGCATCAACCTGCAGTCAGATACCAAGATTTGCATTTGAAGCAGCCTGGTGTGTATGGTACTCTCAAAGCTGATTAGTTTCTACATATCCTGGTATCATATCTCTTGGCTGTGTGATAAAGCCAAGTTTCTCTACCTCTCTGATCCTGCATTTGCTCATCAGTGAAATGAACTCAGTACTGACTGGGTAAGTGTTACATCATATTAAAAGAGCTGGGAGGTGACATGCAATGAGTGGGTACAGCTCTGCCTCTAGACACTGCCTCCATGTTCTGCTAGCCGAGGGTGCTTTGCGGCCCTCACCCTCTCCTTGTCCTGGGACCTCCATCCCCAGACTCCATACAGACTCCGGGTTTGAAACAGCTGCTTCCCTGGTAAAAGCAGAAGCCTCCAGTTTCTGAGGAAGTGGGAAAGGTGGACCCTGGACAGAGGAAAAAGGGCGGCCAGGTGTGCGATGGGCAGGCCACTGGTGTGAAGGAAATGAGGAAGGTGTGGTGCTTTGGCCCCCAGAATAGTCGTCTGGTTGGGGAGGGAGCAGCAAACGATGGGCTGATCTGCCAGAGCCTTCTCTGAGGATAGAACGAAGACGCCACTCCCAAGCCAGCAGCAGGTGCCATCAGGGGAAAACAGGGAGTCTCAAGCTTATTGCAGGCAACTCACTCTGATGTCACGTAAATGTTGTCAGGGGAGGATGGCCAGGAACTCCAGAGACCACTGAGAAAGGATGGGGATGCAGATGCGGCTCAGAGAGAGAGAGAGAGAGCTCAGGTTATGTTGACGTGGGGTCAGTGAAAACTCAGTGGCCTCTGGCCAGACCAGGCTGTTGGCAGAGGAAGGACGCTGGCTCTCAGCTGAGCCAGGCCTCGGCACTGACCACAGCTGCTCCGTGTTCAGCTGGGCAGGGCACAGGACACAGACAGTATGGGCTAGACTACTAGACTACTAGGCTTCCTGGCCCAGCTTACACAGTTACCGGATGGGTGAACCCAGGCAAGGGTCTCAACCATGACTCAAGTTACCTGTGTAAAGAATCGCAGGAAGTATTACATCATTGTTCTTCTGAAATACTAACCCAACTAATACAATGTATTTGTCATTCAAACACCTGGGCATGGCTTAGATTTAAACTCCCTGTGGCTGTTGCTAGGCTGGAGGACTGTGATTCTCTGCCATGTTCAGAGATGACACAAACCTTTGGGACTTGCTCTCACAATTCCCTGGGCTCACATGAACCGTGACTCCTCAGTACAGGGGACAATGTCCCTTCCCCCTCCCTTAGTCTTGGGGATGAGAGGCCACTTTAAGATAGGCCAAGGGTTGAGAGCACACAGAGCCTTCTAACAAGATTATGGTTTTACGAGGGCTGTGGGTGCCATCTGGAGTACACAGTGTGAAGCCCCTCACAGGCTATGTTATGGGATCATGGATCTTTTAGGGAAAGCATTGGCGAGGGCCAAAGAACCACTCTGCCTTTCCAGGAACCTGGCAGCCCAAGTTAAGCCCAAGAGAGTCAGACAGAAGCTCTGGCTTCCTCCGAATGGATGGTGTAGTAGAACATTATTTTAAGGTGTGTTATTTTTGTTTATGCTGCATTTGTTTAACTCTGTGGAGCTGTGTTACTGTGCCTGTCTAAAATGCCTGGTGGTCCTAATAAAGAGGTGAATGACCATAGGGAGGCAGGGCAGGCAGTTGGAAACTATAAATAGCAGGAGAAACGAGAAGAGAGAATAAGGGGAGGAAGACATCAGGGGCCACCCAGCTACCAGGCAATCCACAGAGTAAGATTTACAGAAGTAAGAGAACAGGGAAAGCCCAGAGGCAAAAGGTAGATGGGAAAAGCTGGCTAGAAACAAGCCAAGCTAAGGCTGGGTATTTATAACTAAGAATAAGCCTCCGTGCACGATTCATTTGGGAGTTGTGTGCAGGGCGCTCTAAAAGAGAAAAAAAACTTCTTACTACAAGATGGGGTGAGAACCTTCCACACATCACTCACTGGACTGGGCAGCCAAGTAAATGGCATATCCACCCCCACGCAGAAACTTCTCAGAGAGAGCCTCCCGGGATGGGTGGAGAGGAGGAAGGCCAAGCTCCTCACTGGCCAGCTGGATTCCCTTGGCTGCTAAAAAACTCTCTCCCAGAGGAAATGAAGAGCCATTGGAGGCCAAGACAATCTCTTCCATTTCTTCAATGAACTTCAGGGCACGGAGTTTCGCTTCCTCACAGAGGCCAGAACCTGGGGCAGCAATACAGACAGCCGGGTGAATTTAGTCTCCCAGTCCACCTCCCTTTGCTTGACCTCCTCGACCTTCACGGAGGAGCCCGCAGGAGACGCCATGTTCACACCATGCCAGGCAGGCACTAAGCACATTCACAGGGTCTACTTTAATCTGCACACAAGTCTAAGAAGATACTTGGCTCCCACGTGCCCAGGTTTCGTTTCTGTTGCTGTACTGTCCTCACCAGAAGGACAACATAGGGAAGAAGTGATTTATTTGGCTTATAATTCTGGCCACAGCCCATCACTGAAACAGAAACTCAACAGGAACAGGAAGGCAGCCCTGGCATTTCACGCAGCATTATGTCTGGCCAAAGAACTTCCTCCACAGCAACAGGGGCCAGCCATGGAGGGCTTTGCTTGCTGTCTGGCAAGCAACTTATGCCCAGCTAGCTTTTTTAAATATAGTTTAGTACTGCCTACGTAGGGGATACTATAGCCTAGAGTGGGCTAGGTCCTACTACATCCGTTAACAATCAAGACAATTCCAATATGACCTAGGTATTTCCTCAACTGACATTTTCTTCCCATGTAATTCTAGACCACCTGGATAGACAGATACAGGAAGGTGGGTAGATGGATGGGCAAACTGAAGGATGAATGGGAACAAAAGAAATGCCCCTGGTCCCACTGAGGCTTTCCCTCCAGGAAACATTTTCCAAGAAAACATGAGATCGGGTCTGTATATGACTTTACTCACATGTTGGCATCTTGCCTGGCTTGTTCCGAGTCCCATCTACTTCCTGGCCGGTCTCATCCACACACCAGCAACTCCTGAGATCGAAGTGTGCCAAAGGCATGCTAAAGTCTCTGTAGGACCCTGGGTAGTGGCTGAGCTGGCCACTTAGGATCTGCCAGAAGATGTATGGGTCAAGAAGAATGTTCTCCCCGGGCTGAGTCAGGGCTCCCTCCAACACTGCCTGTGGGACATCTTGAAAGGAAGGGTACTGTGCTAGCACTGGGAAGATGCTTTGCTGGCCAGCCTCATAGAGACTTTGAAGAAAGAGACTGAAGTTTCCGTGAGCTGCTTCTCTGTAGCCCATGATCTTCGTCAACAGCCCTGCTGGAGTCAGCACCTGGCCGTCGCTGCTCTGAGTGTTCCATCGTTCATACCATTCAAAGACCTGCTCGGGGGGCCCATCGCACTGCACACGCCTCCACTGCCCGCTGGCGCTGCACTGAGGGATGTAGACACTGGACGGGGAAGGCAGGGTGCTGAAGTCAGAGAGCAGGACCTGCGCCGCTTTAAGGAAAGCTTGCTCAGCTTGTAGCTGGCAGACACTGGGACCTGGGGAGAAATAATGGGTACGTATTTAATAAATCGGATAACTCAGAAGGAGCAAGGTGACTGGTGGGGGATGTCCTTCTGTATATATGTTTCTCTTATTGGTTGATGAATAAAATACTGCTTGGCCAGTAGCCAGGCAGTAAGTATGGGTGGAGCTATGAGAGGAAGGAAGGAGGAGAGAGGGGGAAGCCATGGGAGAGAGGCCATGTAGAGACTGGGAAGATAGGATGCACCAGGTGTTCTCTGTTAAGATCAGGCCATGTGGAAATACATAGATTAGTAGTTATGGGTTATTAACTAAGAACAAGCTAGCCAGTAAGAAGCCCTAGCCATCAGCCAACAGTTTATAAATTAATACAGGTCTTTGTGTGTTTCTTTGGGGCTAATTGGCTATGGACCAGGCTGGAAGGACACTCCAGCAAGAGGTGTCTGATTAACTGTCAGGTTCAGGAACCTTAATACTTCTAAATTCATGAATAACATCCAACCTAGTGACTAATCCAGCTACTGATCAGACCAGAGCCACAGAAATGTATGTGGCACATTCTGTTGTATGTGTGTCAAGTGTTTATGTATGTATGTGTTTAAGAACATATGTGAGTATGTGTAGGCTGGGGGCTGAGGTTGGATGTGCCTCAATCGCTCTATCTTACATTCGTAGACAGTCTCTCACCAAATCTGAAGCTCCAGATAGACTGGATGGCCAGTGAGCTCCAACTCCAGATGCTCCTGTTCTCACCTTCCTCATGCCCACATCACTGGGGTTACAAATGCACATTGCTCAACGTGACTTCAGGTGGATGCAAGCCCAGATGCGCATGCCTGTGCAGCAAGCACTTTATGGCGTGTGCACTTTCTTAGTAACAAGAAAATATCTCTATTAGCTAATTAGAATGGCTAAGACTGTCCAGGTCTCCATGGATAAGATTTAGCTAAAGTAATTAATTAGTCTATTGACCAAAGCTTACTCTTAAGTCATGAGCAAACTCGATTTCTTACAATGTATTAGGTTACGGTCTACATGGTGACTCAAGAATTTGTAAAATAAATACCCGACAGACTTACACTGCTTGGGTTCGCCGATTGTGCTTTGGGTCCCAGGGATAGCCTGACCTTCAGCATCAACGCAGTAACATTCTGAGTTGAAGCACTGGACAGGAAGGAAATAGCCTTCACTAGTACACGAAGGGACGAAGAGGCTGGAGCCAGCAGGCTGACTGCCTGCAAGGCTTTGCATCTGAGCTCTTTGCTTCTCGCACTTGGTGGGGCACCTGGGGCGTGCACCGCTGACTCTTGAGCCATCAAGTTCTTTGCCTCGGGAATCCACACACCAGCATTCCCCAGCATAACACTGGATATCCTCATAGCTTCCTCCAGCCGTACATGATGGGACAAAGAGCCTTCCAGGTGTCTGTCTGCAAGCCTGAGCACTGAACACCGTTTCCACCACCTCTCCTAAGTCCCTTGCTACATCTTCAGGCACAGAAAGAACACGCTGCAAGAAGACAAGAAATTCTGGAAGCTCCAGGAGGGAAGCAAGGAAATTCAAGGCATTTCGGTTCTCTTGTAGGTTGACCTTGAAGCCAAAGGTACCCACAACTGGTTTGTTCATAGCAACTGTCTTCTCAGAGATGCGGGGAAGTTTGCCTAGATCAATTGCTCTGCCTCCATCCTGGAAGCCTGGGAGACCAAGCTGCTGGAAAAACTGACTGAAGTTAAATGTGCCTCTTATTCCAAGGGCTCCTGACAAGTTAAACTTGGCAGCATTTACCAAAAATGTCCCTCCAAAGAGGTTTTGCTGGAGTCGCTTAGGGTTGGTGGTGAAACGAAGGGCAAGACCAGCCAGCTCTCGAGAGGGGAAAATTGCTTGGATGGCTTCTCTAAGGAGACTTCCTGATGCGGAAAGCTGTTGGGACTGCTCCCCAGCCATGGCGCGTAGAAGCCCAGAGTCCACAAAGAGTCCCTTGATTGCAGGGGAGCAGGAGGTGGCCAATCTGGTACCACTTGCAGGGGTCTGCCTGTCCTCAGAAGATGACAGGTCCTGCTGGCTGAAGTAGCCTGGGGTTCCAAAGTAGAGCCTGGACAAGGCCTGCCGCCTTTCAGAGGTACATGACTGATCTTCAGCTGTGTGAAACAATGGCAGGCACAGTTCTCAGAGCAAATGGTACCAAGCATCCTCCCTCTACCAAAAGCTCATGGCTACCTTGTGAGCCATTGTTTTTCTCTATCCACTCATGTCTTCCCTTGAGCTGCCTCTGTGGGGCTAGTTCTGGGGGTGACTATTCCTTCCCTCATAACCGCTCACCCACCTCCCACCAGGCTGGTGCTTCTCTACAGCAAGTCTAGGAGATGCCAACCCATTTTCTGAAAACCTGGACACACTTGCATTAGCCTGAATAGAGTCCCGTGAAAGTATTTTTTTGTCTATATGGCGTTCCCAAATGTGAACTGAAAGAAAAGTTTTGGTAGTTGTAACTAAGTTAAAGTGGAGTCACCTAGGCAGGCTAGGGAAGCAGTAAGATTCCCATGAGAAGGGATGGGGTAAGGGCTGTCTGTGTGGGGGTCAAGACACACAGGCTGAAGTGACAGTTGCAGCCATGAAGCCAGGGAACACCAGAAATCGCCAACCATCCTATGCAAAGGGATCATGGACAGCCCTGTTCACACCTTGGCTTCTGAATTCTGGCATGGAAACTGGGAGGGAACACATTTCCACTGCTAAGGTACCCACTTTGTAGCTATTGGTTGTGACAGCCTTAGGAGCCCCTGTTTGCTAACAAAACCCTGTTTGTGATGCTCAGCTGGTGCTTCCAAGCTTTTTCTGCTGGGATTCTCAAAGGACTCTAATGCCTCACCTTGTGTCCCCCCCCCCAGCCTCTCTAATTCCTCCTGGGCATGGTCTTGTCTAGTTTACAGTCTATTTCAGAATGAGACCTCTCCCAGCAAAGCCCAGTGCTTCACAGAAGAACTATGCTGCTGTGCCGTGATAAGTGATGTCCAAGGCACAGCATACTCCACTGTTGTCTATACTGTAATACTGACAAGCTGGCCCACTTAGAGTATCACCCCTTGGGCTTCTCCATCTTTGTGTGAAATTGCTGGAGAGACAAGGATTGACTCAGTCATGGCCAGGATGGTCTGTGAAAAGTATCCATGGGAGGAAAAGCAGAACTCACACAGCATCTGAATCTCCTCACACAGGTGGACGTGAGTCAGCTCCATCTTCCTCCATAAATCCACAGAGCTTAGGGGACCTTCTAAACCACCAGGCCACTCCCAACTCACAAAAGTAATTCTTTCCTCTTGATTCACACAGATGCCAAAAAGGAAGGCAGCCAATTTCCCGTTGTAACCAGGCAACAGGGAAAGAATTGGAACATGTAGCTCATGTAGGTAGGTGTGTAAGTGTGTGTGTGTGTGTGTGTGTGTGTGTGTGTGTGAGAGAGAGAGAGAGAGAGAGAGAGAGGGAGAGAGGGAGAGTGTGTGTATGTGTGTGAGAGAGAAAGTAAGAGAGTATGAGGGAGAGTGTGTGTATGTGTGCGTGCATGCATGTATGTGCATGCATGTGTGCATGCAGACAACCTGTAAAGCTGAACAGATACCTCAGCCAGTCCACAATGCCCCGTAACTGACGCCACGGGAGGCAGAGGAAGTGAGTGCATGGCTTCACTTCCTCTTCTCCACTGAGAGCTCAGCCCCTTCATACATTTGTTAAGTAAGTTCTGCTACTAAAGACAGGCCATGAGAAAACGCTAGAAAAAACCCCAACCAACCAAACAAACCAAAAAACCAAAAAAAAAAAAAAAAAAAAAAAAAAAAAAAAAACCACCCATGCATTCAATAGAGTTCCTGCTTTAACTTGGAAAGCTATGCTTCTACATTTCCCCCTGAAGGCTGGGGGGCACAGTATTTCATGGGATTTCATGTAAATGGGTGATGGTATCAAATACTCCCAAGACAAGGCTTTAAACATTTCTTTTAGGGCATCTGTGCACTCACCAAACTAAATAAAGAATATCTAGATGGGCGGTGGTGGTGCACACCTTTAATCCCAGCACTGGGGAGGCAGAGGAAGGCAGATCTCTGTGAGTTCCAAGTCAGCCTGGACGAAGAAGAGAGTTCTAGGACAGCCAGGGATGTTACACAGATAAACCCTGTCTTGAAAAACAAAGCAAACAAACAAAACAGAAAAGAATATATAAAGTGTCCCAGGAAGAAGCTGAAGGGTTTAATGGGGATCCTTGAATCAACGTTAATATCTACCTACTCTGAGGCTATGAGACTGGAGTTCTCCACTCTTCTGCAGCTTAGCTCCCCTGGTTCAAAGCCCCTCCCCCATAGTCACACCCTTCCCATCCTTGGGGCTTTCTGAGATACCCTGTGACGACGGATGGTGCTGAGGTTTGCCCCTGCCTTCCTTCTGCCTTAGCATACAGTGTAGAATAATGTCCCTCCAAGATGCATCTTCCTTCCCAGAGCCACGGGAAGTGCTACTGTAGTAAAAGGGTCATTGGCTGAGATGAGGATGATCTCTGTTAGAGTTCAGGCATCTACACTGGCCTGCCCTTGGGGTCCTGGCAGGACACGCCCTCAGCTGCACCACCTGTGTGCGTTCACTGTGCTCCCTTTTAAAGGGGCCCGCCCACTCCCATCCCTGTCTCTCCTCTTTCCTCTCTCCTGCTCCTCTCCTGTCTCCTCCAGAGGCCCATCTTCCCCTTCCCCCCTTTATGATCCCTTCCCCTAATAAACAACCCCTCTGCTTGAACCCTGTCACGTGGCGTCTTTCTCTCACACACCGCGTCTCTTAAATCACAACAGCCCCTGCCAGAGCAGGGAGTCAGGAGAGGCCCCTGACGGAGACTGCAGAAGAATGCACTCAGCTTCCACCTGGGGGTGGACTCCCAGCCTCCACCCCGACCCTGCCAGCTGCTGCTCAGAGAGAGCTACGATTGTTGAAAGAGACCCAGTCTGAGTTACTTTGTGACAAATGCCCTAAGAAGTCGTGACCTCGCCTCCCCACTCTCTCTCCTAAGGACCTTGAGGTGACTTGTCTAATTGGTTAACACTGCTGGGAGGCCTCTGCAGGATGGGTCTCATACCAGCCTCACCTCCAACATGGAGCCCAAGCCTGAGTTAGGAGAGGAGCTGTGGAGTCTTGTTCCTTCCCGCCTTTCCCCAAGTCACTAAGTGTACGCCATACTGCAGGCATTGTCTTCCCCCCTCTTGTAGTATAAAGTGTCGTGGGAACCCTGAACAACTGTCTTCCTCATCCGTGAAGCCTTCCTCGGGGCTTTGAGATAGAATTAACTGCTGTTCCCTCAGCTGCCTGTGTACACTTCTCCCAAAGCTCATGGACACTCCTTTTCTCCTTTGTTAGCTGCGAGTCCCCTTGTGTGCCGTAGGTTCTATGACAAATCGCTGTGTCTGACACAAGACAAACTCCCCACTGCAAGTTAGCAGCAGCAAACTGTCTTCAGTCACGTACACTTTGAAGGACCCGGGGAGGGGGGGGGGGTTCAGTGGGCAGTTGGTTAGACCGGTGTGAAGAAACGGCGCTGCTGGTAACAGGCTGTGGTGAGAGGAAACGACCTACCACAAGATGGTGACTGCCCTCGCTGCAGGGTGCCAGGGACCTCTGTCCCCTGAGCATCCACACACCAGCACAGCCCTTGTGCCTGGCATTGCATCGCCTGGTAACCCCCATTCCTGTTGCATCTGGGGATGTACGGGTGGCCGAAGCTGGTGGCAGCAAACCGCTCTACTTCACACTTGGTGGGACCTACAAGAAAGGAGGCTTGTGAGAGTAATGCCTGAGTACGCACGGTGCTTGCTGCCCCTGAGTTACACATCTGAACGCACTTCGCACTAGCAGCCACACAGACTCTTACATGTGTGACCCCAAGAAACCAGGGATTCCACAGCAGAGTCACACAGCTGCTACTGGCTGGTGATGACTTACATCGGAATCTGCCAGAGATGACTAATTGGATGGCCAGGAAGCGTCTCTGCAATATCCGGTACAGGGTGCTCTGAGTGAATGTAGAAGCCTGGTCCAGGCCAGCGAAAATGGTGTCGTAAATTTCATCCAGTAACAACTCCAAACCTGAGCAAATACAGACAGCATTTCAGGGGGTGGGCTCCTGGGGGGGGGAAGAGCTCTAATCGGGCCGAGCTGGCAGGTGTCAAAAGGTTAGGGTCTACATCAGCAGCAGCTTGCTGTGGGTCCAGGCGTGCACATCCTGTAGACTTTGCACCTACAAAGTTCATGCTTGAAAACCCGGCAACACAGTTACAAAATTAATAATGAAAACAGTGACAGCATTTTAAGTATGTTCGTGATTTTCGTAGGGCCACATCTATAGTTATCCTTGGCCATATAAAGTCTGATGCAGCCCCTGGGCCACAGGCTGGACATGCTTGGAATAATACTCTAATGGTTTACAAACTCAGGCTGCTGTGAGTGGCTGTGCAGGTGTTGGACGGCACAGAGCAGCGCTACCCCGAGAAGGAGGCTGGTAACCTGTCCTGTCTCCTCTTGCCCCATGACAAGGAGGGCACCTCTTTCAGCTTGCCTTGGCATCAATATGAGCATGCAGAAGCCTCGGCAGAGTGTCACAGATGAAAGCTGGCTAAACTCTGTCTTCTTCCGTACCCATAGCAACCTAACAAGGATGTGGAAAGCCTTGGACGCCGGAGTCCGAGAATCACACTTGATCCCTTCCCATTGCCAGAAGTGTGGCCGATTACCTGTCTCAGCCAGCTCCCGCCCCTGGCTGTCCGCACAGTAACAGTACCCAGACACTTCGGGGAACCTGCTCCGGAAGGAACTGAAGGTCACAAACGCGTCTGGAAACCTGACGGACAGGAAGTTGTACGGTCACCATTTCATAAAGGCAAGTCATCCTCAATTAGAATCAACATGGCCGAGACCTGAGTGGGGAGGCTAGATTTTCCTACACTGGCTTAATTTAGCCAGAGCACGGTTAGACGGTGCTTAGCTATCATCTGTCTACCAATTAGCTCTTTTCCTTGTGGGTGGCATTTGGCCAATTTTGGAGGACCAGAGAGAAAACAAGTCATGAACACTATGTCAGCTTTCCCAGGAGAGTGACGGCAGAGTCCAAAGGTTGGGTTTGCTTCGCAGCCGTGGTGGGATGCAGAAGGGTCTCATTTTGTGAGAGCAACTGCTTCCAGGGCTTTTAACACTTTTCGAGGTCGTGTAAAGAAGAAGCCAGATTCTATTACATGAGATCTGTAAGAGGGAGATGTTTCTACTCCATCATCAAACTCCACAGAATCCAAGTGATTTCACCATGTCCTTCTGCCAACTGAAGAAATGCTTGTCCTAACTATGCTACATAGAGCCCATCGGTTGGGTCCCCACCTTCTCATAAGAGGAGACTAAAGCACTGAGTCTAATTAGGAAGGTCCTTCCATGGGCAACCAAGTAGTCAGCCGAGAATTTTCCTTTCGTGTGTGTGTCCTGTGTAACTACATCACATTACATTCAAGTGTGTGTTTCTACCTACGTCTGAACATGTAGCACAGTAAGTCATTATCTGTATAAAGAGTTCTTTCTAATACTACTTAGTATCTTCTAGCAAAATACTAAAAGTGACCTTCGCGTCCAACGGCAGAGAAATGAATTCTAGTAATCCCACAAAGTGGATTAAAACTACAGATGAGGGCAACACTTCCAAATAGCAAAAAAGAGATGGGTGTAAGACAACAAATACACGCATCATGATCATTGCCATGAAAAGCCAACTCGGGGAGGCAATGTGGGGGGATTCTGTCCGATTCTGAACATGCATCACTCACACAAGACACAAGTATTAGTTAGCCTGGGTGGAAGTTATGAGCGTTGTATCGGCTGGCTTCTTAACTGAGGTGACTCTAGAGTCCAAAGGCCACAAATACACAAAAGTGCTATAGAGCCACAAATCCGTGACCACGTGGCTTGCGTATGGTCGTGGTTCGTGGGTCACGTGGGAAAGGGTGCTATCCTGAGGGAATTAAAATCTCCCTTGGTCTTGTTCCTGCAGATAGAGGACAAATGATTTTTTTAAAGTTCATTCACTGGAAACGGAGATAGTTTGGTTTTAAACGTGTCAATGATAGTAAAGTGGCTGCTTCTATTTGTTGAGGCCCTGCTTTGTGAAAGACAATTGCAACGGGCTCACTACCCACTGAGTCGTTAATACACCCAGTGCTCCCCACGAGACAGCAGGGTTATTTTTCATCTCATCGTGGAGACGGGTGCAGTGAGGGATGTGGGCTGCCGTCTTGGCCTAGTGGCAGTGCCTTGGATCCACATCTGGTCGTATCCAGCATCTGACCCTGTCTTCTCTGTCTTTCTCAGCGTGGGTTGGGCTTGGTTCCTGTCCCATGTCTTTGGAGACACGTGTCTGTTGTGACATTATTCTGTGGATGCTCAATACTCATTTTCCTGGCATCTAACACACACTGAAGATAACTGGGTTGAGGTCACGTGCACATACCAGTTCCACAGATGGATGCCTGAGAAGGCTCAGACACTCACTCCAGCAAAAGGCACAAGACGTTTACATTACCCTCCACCATGAAGTGCTGAGGTAACCCCGAGAGCCACCTCAACCCAGGGAAGGCACCAGCCTCCAGGGGCGTTCCATGATTTCCATTCTGCCATTTTATAGCCTAAGTCCCTGTCGTGGCATCCCTGGGATATAAAGAAACCAGTATCTACCAGCGCTCTTTGTGTGGTCTCTCTTGATCGTTCTGCTTCCTGCGTACTGAGGGGATCTCCCTGGCTTCAGCCCTATGAGAAGGGTCCTTCTGTCACTCCAGGACTACTTCCTGGAGGTCGCTGCTCTCCAGAGCTGCCCTCAGTGCCTGTGGAGAAGACCCTGTGCCCCTGTCCTGCGATTCTCTCTCCTGAGCTCCGTACTCTACGGGAGGAGCTGGCGGCCTTGAATCAGCATGGCAGAATTCCTGCCCTATCCTACCACATTGACTGCCGCTATTACTACTACTCAGAATCAGCTGGGAGCACAGTGCAGGGGACGGCCAGACACTCAGCCAAGCATCCCCCACAGTCCTTCACTCCTCACAACATTGCTTTTGAAGAAGGACCCTGCTGATGCCCGGGAAAGCTCGGATGCAGAGTAAGGAGCCAGGAAACCCCGAGCCCACCTCCGCTGATCCTTTTCCACAGAGAAGGTCACATGGTGAGACCCATGAAATAGAATGTGGTCCTTTGGGTTAGGGGCTAGGGGTCAGGGGCCAGGGGTTAGGGGTGAGGGTAGGGTTAGGGTTAGGGTTCCTCTGGGTGGGTGGGTGGGGACCTACAATAGCCAAACTCAAGCTCAAATCATGGCATAGTACATGAAGACCCCACAGGGGTTTAGAAAACAAGCTGTCCCTGGGGCTCGGAGTTTCGAAAGACCCCTGGTTTCAAGTCAGTCTTTCATGCCACATCTACAAGGAAATCTCCTCAGACTGAATATTCCAACGTCAAACCAGGGCTCCTCCCCTACCAAACACACTTTCAACCGTCTGCTGGGAATGGAGTCGTCCCTCACTCTCTTCTCCCTCTCCTCCAGATGTTTCTTCCCCACCTTCCAAAGCCCTGTGTGACAAATATGTCTCCAGCGCAGCTCCTTCTGCCAAGCACCACACCCGCTCTCCTCTCCTAAGATGCGGCCAGCATCGTTTCCCTCCGAACTGAACCTGGAACTTGGGACTGACTCCCAGCACCCACTCTGCTCTTCCCAGGTTATTCTTTTTGACGTCTGGGATCTGGTGGTGGTTATGCAATGCTTTACCCATTCAAATCTTCACCACTGTCTGTTTAAAACATTTGAGGCAATGTTAAGGACACACAGTAAAACGATATTGCCCATCGCTTATCTGAAACCCCGCTATAACTGGCTGCCCTGTGTCATATCTGTCAACCCCAGGTGAGCACAGCTCCTTCCATTGGCCCAAAGGAGGCACTAAACCTGCAGCGGCCAGATCTACATAAGTAACAGAAGATTCCTGATTACTCCTGGGCTTGCAATAATCCACCACTCAACCATTCCCATGACCTTTCCAGGCCAGAGTCTGCTCAAAGATATGCTTACTCACAATAAAAGAGAGAAGGATCCCATTTCAGAATTGAATATTTTGTTTGCATTCACAATGAATACTTGATTCTCGAGTTTTGTGTTTAACTACACTGCCCTCTTGTGGCCGTAGCTGTGAACTGAGCCTCAATCGCAAAAAGTCCTTGCTAAGGACATCTTTTGATACACCCATCTCATCTCTGAACTGGGATTGCAGAACTACTCTATGCAAGACACCGTGGGGGAAGAGAAACCAGTCACATAAATACAGACAAGTGAATGATTTTCTATACATCTCTAAAACTTACTATGTTTCCTAGTAATATCTTCCCGGTTCTAGGGCAATATGCCAAAAACGACACTCTCTCGTTTACGTCTGCATCAAAGCTGAAATCTACACAAATCCTTGGACCACAGTTAGCATTCAGTTAGGCGTGAGCTGATGATGCCTAGCTTGCATAGAGTAGATGAGCATTTGGAGAGTAGGGCTGCCTGCTGGTTCTGTGTTCCCCGTTGAGCTGGTGCCCAGGGGGAAGAATCTAACCTACGTTTTCTGAAATTGGGCAATGCACGTTCTCAGTGACTTCATAAATGGAGTCACAGGAGACCTTAACAGTGGCCAAGCAGAGTGCAAACTTTCTTTTCCCAGCTGAGAACTCCGAGGAGGCCGGTTGCCTTGCAAAGTGGCAGGTGAAGACTATAGCAGGCAGAGGCAAAGGCTGTGAAGCAGGATAATACAGGACACCGAGCTGGCAGGAGTGAGGCGGCCAAGCTCCGAGCTCCGAGGGACCCAGGACACGGGGGGGGGGTGTGCAAAACAGATAATTCAGGGCAGGATTCGCCTAAAAGATCTCCTAAAAACTGGTGTGAGTTTCGTAGTTAAGGTTGAACCTATGAAATCGCTGGCACTGAATCCCGTGGGTCCCTTGTAAGATGTCACCTAGGGAAAAGGCCAAGCCTCTAGAGTGTTGTGCGGTCCAGCTCCACTTTGTCTGTGGGAGCTGAGCTTGGGTCATGGTCTGTGACCCATCTGGCACAACACGTGGGAACGTTCTCTCTCACAGGGAAACGGGTCGTTCTGGAAGGCCGCCACGCGGAGGCTCAGGTTCTCTCACAGAATCTACAACAGCGTTCCCACAAGCTACTGCTTTCTTTCTTTGCATTCAGAAAGGTCTGGTTTCATCTGCGGCCCTTTACAACCATTGGGTGATCTAGAGTAGCCAGATGCTCCCTGGAAATCTGGGTCACGGTGCACATGCTGCTTCTCATTTGGTATTTATTATTTAGACACGGAAGCCCTTTTCTATTGCACACACACACAGAACTTACAGAAATGTATGCATATGTCATAGCCATGCTTTTTACTGGGCTCTCTTCACTTTGATGAGGACCCCCTTCCCATGTGCCCTTCCACTGAAACCCTGCCCCTCGAATGCCCTTCGTCAACCGTGTGGCCCTTCGCATAAGCCCTCTGCCTCTGGTTCATCTGATCACAGCATCACATGTGCACACATATGAAGAACCTTCTTGCTATTGGTTTTTAACAACCAAACCCCGCACTTCCACTACTGTATTAGTATTAGTATAACATGCTTCCAAACCCTGCTCAAGTCAAGTTCTCCAGCCCTGATGCCTTCTTCGCAGTGGCTACTCAACAGTTTAAGGCATCTTACATTTATCAGCCACTCCCTGTTTGACAAGCAGTCTCTTTCTCCCTGCTCTCTGCTAGGACGGAGAACAACGAGACCATCGCCCTTGATATGCATGCAGGTCATCGCATTTCTGGTGTTTCCCTTTGCATGGTGGGCTGCAGGGCGCAGAGTACATGTGCATGGTAGTTTGATTAAGAATGACCGCTTAGGGAGCGGCACTGTTTGAGAGGACTAGGAGGTATAGCCATATTGGAAGAAGCGTGTCACTGGTGGTGGGCTTTGAGGGTTCAAAAGCCTACACCAAGCCCAGAGTGAGTCTGTCTGTCTCTCTCCCTCCCCCTCCCCCTCCCCCTCCCAATCAGGATATAGCTCTCGTCTACTGTTCCAGCATCTGCCTGCACACCACCATTCTTACCTCCATGATGACAATGGCCTAACCCTCTGAAACTGTAAGCCACTGCCCAGTTAAATGCTTTCTTTGATAAGAGTTGCCAACCATTGGTCATGGTTTCTGTTCACGGCAATAGAACACTGCCTAAGATAATGCAATTGCAATAGCTATTCCCAGCTGGCAACTCTTCCTTAATTCTCCACCAGGCTGCGTGTAACACATGACACTCCCAGACCCTGATACATGCGTGAGCTTATGGTTCCCTAAGTGCCTCCCCACTAAGGGACAGACCTCCTTACCTATTATAGCTGTGGATCAGATCAAAAATCATCATATCTGTGGTGTTGACAAACTTGCACTGGACAGCCATAAACTCCCCGTCTGCAGAGCACTGGGGTGGCGACTTGTCTCCTACCCCGTGGAGTAGACGGCGGTTTCGTATCTCACAGCTCCTTGGACCTAAACATTTTCATGCAACGCTGTTCAGTTCTCATGGATGGGTAGGTGCATAGGTGTCTGCAGTCAGGACTCAAGTACTGACGCTACGTATGTGACCCATGGAAAGCCACCAGTGCCCCAAACAGTCTACCGAAAGCTCACGAGCATTTGCTGAAATCCTGTTTGAGCTTGTAGCTGCCTAAAGTCATACAACTGCCCGTGTGACCCCACCCCCTCCAGGGCAAGGCACTTGCCCACCCCCACCCCCGAGGGCCAGGCACTCTGTGTCATCAGGCGTGGGGTTTGCGGGGAGTCAAACTATAGCCCACTCAGGGATTCCGATGCCCATGGACAGTGACACTTACACCGCGTTGGCCTCCCCCGCTGGCGGGTGCCGTATACCTCCATCCCCTCTGTGTCTACACACCAGCATTGCGCCTGCCACAGGTCACACTGCACAGGTGCATAGTCCCCGGAATCCTGGCACTGAGGGAGGTAGGGGGCGTCTGTGCTGTTGATATAACTGTTCAGTAGAATCTGCTGCCTGTGTAGCTGGCAGAAGGACAGACCTGGGGACACAGGCAACAGAGGAGGACTTTGGGGAGCACGTGGGATCAAACCCAGGAGGACCCTTCCTCCCTGAGGGACACTCAGCCAGACATTCAGAAGGCTCTGTCACCTGGGGAACCGGGACAGAGTGGGGTGGTCTGCCTGTGTTGCCTGGGAAGCTGCTTCACTACCTTGCATTTCGCTCCCTCTCTAGGAGTGGGAAGACCTCTGCCTCGCCCCGGATGTGAGGGGAAAGCCCCTGTGCGTTGGCTCCTGTCGTGCACACCAGGCTTATCACCTTGCAAATCCTCACCCAGGGAAGCAGGTTCTCCCTTTCCTTCCTGGACTGGGGTTGGGTGTGTGTAGACCACAGAGGGTAGGTGACTTTGGTTAAGGTGATGATGTCAGAGAGTGTGGACAAACATTGTTGAGCTCTGACCTGGCTTCATAACCCTCCGATGTCTACTGGCCATGACTGACTCAAGCTGGGCACAGTGGCCGGCTCATGGGAAGACCTTACTGGCTACTGGCCAGGCTTGAGTATCTCACACGGCCTTCAGAGTTGTCTTGGAGAAGCTGGACCTTCTTTGTAGTCAATGAGGAGGAGGAGCCAGCAGACCTTAGGGGAGTTTGCCCAGCGCCACTGTTTACTTTAAACCCAGCTCTTGTCCCTAGGTGTGAGATGTCCCAGTGTGAGGGCCCCTGTCCACTGGGCCCCTTTGTTACTTACAAGCTGTTGGCCTCCCCGGCTGCCTGCTGCCAGGTACTTCCCGGCCGTCGACATCCACACACCAACAGGATCTGCCATCATTTTGGCATTGGACTGTCCTGAAGAGGGACATATGATGTGATCTCATTATGGGTTTCTGAGGCCACCACATTCTGGCTCCAGCCTAGTGAGAGCAGGGGCTAGCAAGTCCCACAGAAAAGCCAAAGTTGTGGTCAGGCTAGGCTGTGGAGTGAGTCCCTACAGCTACACTGAGAGTTTCAGGGTGGCCTGGGGTAGAAGGTGCCTGTGTAGGAAGAAGCATGGATGTAGACCCTCCTGTGGACAGGGCAGGCCCAAACTTGAGTGGTAAGAAGAAACACTTGGAGAGAACATATACAGGCTGGTAGAAAGGGATGCACACCCCCTAATTCCTCCCTCACCACCCTGAAATTCCCAGAGGTCTTGGAGAGATAGGCAGCGTTTTTAACCTAAGGCAAGCCTGAGTAAGGAAGCAGGGGCAGAATTTCACGCTAGAGATGAGGAGGCCTCCTCATGTGACCACACACGGGGTGTGGGGGCTGGGATAAGGCCTCTTGCTCCCTAGGGAACAGGAGTTTATACCATAACCTGACTCTGTTCAGAGGAAGACAATCCCCACGTTGTCTTGGGACGGGGCAGGGCACCCCCAAAAGCCCCTTTTAAAGCAGAGCTCCCAGGGGAAGAGTAGCCTAGCAGCCCGGGAAAGCTATGAAAACAGGGTAGCGGAAGGAATGGGCAGTTTCTGTTTTGCCTGTCAGGGAATTAGGGAGCAGGTGCCTAGGATTTCCCTTACCTCTATTTGGGCTTTGCTAAAAGGCCTTACAGATTATGTTAGCTTCAGCAAGATCTGAGGGGCTGCCAGGGGCAGCAGACTATCTGTGGAGGACAGAGAAGGAGCCCCTCCAAATGACAGCATGGCTAGAGATTTCTGAGCAGCTGGGTGGGTACAACTGGGAATTACAGGGACAAGATGTGAGTTCGTCCGTGCGCTCTGGGTTCCTGGAGCTCCCACTAAAGCCATTCTTACCGGAAGCTTCCGTCTTCGGAGCACTGTGGAACATACTCAGCCTGCGTCAGAAAGGCCTTCTCTCTCTGCAGCTCACAGGGGCGGAGTGGCTGTGCATCCACCTGGTACTCTGTGAAGGGAGGTGACACATGATAAGGGTGCAGGCCAGGTCCCCATCACACAGACACACGGCCTTTACATTCCTAGTCTTACTAGTGTTGGCAGCCACTAACACCATCCCCAGTGTAAGAGATTTAATCCCTGGTACGCTCCTGGGAGGTGATGGGAATATCTCTACTCTTCCAGGGGTACCAGTGAGAGTATACCTTTTGAAAGAGAATTCCTGAGTCAACTTTGGGGTCCTCATGTGGATTAGGATAAAACACCCTCCGGAAGTCCAAAAGTTGGTTGGTCTTGCCGTGACCAAGTCGTGCTTGTGGGGTAATACCTTCCAGGCTTACACTGCAAGTACCTGATTCATCACTAAGGACCCGCCTGATGGTCTGATCTCGTGCAAAAATTACAGTCACCTCAGGAAGTAAATGTGTGTCCTTTGCATTCCCTCGCCATCCGTGTGTGTGTGTGTGTGTGTGTGTGTGGGTGGGTGCCTGCGTGTGATATGTACATTTGCATGTGTGCATTTTCATGGAGGTCAAGGCTCCCCATTGAGTGTCATCCTCACTAAGTTCTCTGCTTTACAACAGAGTCTCTCACTGCCCCTAGAGCTCACTGATTGACTAAACAGATTGGTAGTGAGCTCAGGGCATCCACCTGTCTCTGCCTCTTCTAGCCCCGGGGTTACAGACACACATGACAGGGCCTGGCTTCTATGTGGAGTCTAGAGATCCAAACTCAGGTTCTCATGAACACATACATACCAAGGAGATGCCCGGATGAGTCATCCTTGTGGCCTCCCCCTGCCTGACTTTTACCATGGAAACTTAAACTTGGAAGTCCATGCACAGCCGAATAGATACGTGGCTGAGCCCAGTACAGAGCTCGAGTCTGTCTTAAGCCATAGGGTGATCTCATGTTTGTTACCTGCTCTACTCTTACCACATGCTGGTAAGGCTGGAATATTGTTTGCAGCATCCAGATATATATTAGAAGTATATGCAAATGCCAAAAATATGAGATAAGGATGAGATTGGGGAAGCTATGATTGAATTAGTTTATCACTACTCCAATGCCTAGTTCTGGGCTCTCAGGCCACACTGCTCACCTCTCTGAACTTCTTTTCATCTAAACAGAAAAGAGCAAAAATCTAGCATTTGTGAGGTGACACCAGGCGGGTCTAGGGGTCCTCCCTGGGCCTGCCTGGGCCCCATGCCTGCAAACTCCCCCTCAAACCCATGGCTTTGGCCTTAGAACTTACCAAAGATGTTGGCTGTTGCCAGGCAGACTGAGCTCAACAAAGCAAAGACCCAGAAGACCAGGGCCATCATCCTGCCCCCTCCTGGGACACAGGGCTAGGTCCTGCTTGAGTCCCCACATCATGGAGCCTTTATAGCACAGACACGAGTATTGCTCTCAAGCTCTAGGACACTTGTCAGGGTAGCAGTGCACATTGTTTTCTCTGCCAGTCACAGGGACTCCCTCTACCTGAGTCTGCTCCCCCTAAGAATACTCGAGTGGTCAGGAGGGTGGACACTCCAGGCTGTGGGGACAAGAGATGGGAGGGTGACGCTAAAATGCCTCTCTGCAGGCAAGTGACAGAGTTCTGTATCCTTAGGGGTGACAGAGTTGGATCATACTACTGTGAAGGATAAACGGTCTCCTCTTTCTCTCCTGATTTCCTCACTGCCTCCTTCTCTCTCTCTCTCCCCCTCTCTCCCTCCCTCCCTTCCTCCCTCCAGCAGTGTTTTAGGGTCTAACATATGTAGACACTATTCTAGAACATGAAGCCATTGGCAGAAAATAGGAAAAATCCAACCCTCATTAGTGTCGAATGTGAGGCTACGTCACACACCCTCACAATCGTCATGAGCAAACATGCATATGTACACACATTTCTCTAGTCCTTCCATAACTTTTCTGGGCTCTAAACCCTGCCGAGTTAGCAGAGGCCGAAGTGGGAGTCTCTCACACAGAAGGCCCACGTCTTGCAGTTTCTCTCAGAATCAGCTCCCGTCCTTCCCCTGTATAACCTCTGAGAAGCCTTAGCCCTCAGCCCTAAGCCCTGTCTTAACAACAAAGCTGAGCTGTGGCCATGCGTGCCTCCACGTCTTCAGGAGCTCTTCAAGAGAGCAAATAAAGACTCGAGGTGTGCGGCTCATCCATGCCATCACCATTGCCATTATGCTCTTAATGTGCAAAGGGCAGTGTCGTGCCAGACATCACTGTGTGTCACCATGTAAAGACAAATACACAGGACAGACCAGCAGGGCAGAGGGCAGAGGGCTGAGGGCAGTGAACGTCCTCTCACCAGAGGAGTGGAGGAGGAAAATGTCAGAATCTGGAGGACACTGTCCTTAGCAGCAGGAAGGAGAGCTGGGGGGGGAAGAGGACAAGCCTCCTCTGGGCAGGAACCAAGGGCTAACTCTGTGCTAGATACAGAGCAAGTAGGGAGGCTGCAGAGACCAGCTAGGCTAACTCTGGCTTACTCTGTCTTGGGCGTAAGTACACGCATTGGCAGCTGTGTTAGCTGGCTTGGGCTGCCATCGCTGACTGCCAAGGACTTACACAGTGGGCATGCCTCTTCTCAGAGTTCTGGGGGCCGAAGACTGAGATGAATGTGCCATGGTTGGTTTCTGAGGCTCCAGTCTGGGGCCTGTGGGTCACTGGCCAATCTCTGTCTTCATGTGGTTATTTCCCCTCTGTATGCCTGGGTCCTAATCTCTCCTGAAGACACCAGGCACTTTAGGTTAGGGACTACCTAATTTTATTAAATTAAATTTTAATTTAGTTACTGTATCAAGATCCTGTCTCGAAATACTGTACTGAGCTACAGAAGGAAGACTCAACATAGGAATTTGGAGCTGGGATGCACAAAGCATCCCCCCACACCTAAACATGTTCTGCTCGTGATGCAAACTGAGTATGGAGTTAAGACCGTTAAGAAACCTACTCCTTGCCCACTTCCTGGGTATCTGCACTTTTGAGAGTTTCCCTCATCACTCCCTAGCTTCCATCCAAGCCTCTCCATAGAGCTCTGGTCCCCCTCTCCCTGGATGCTACACAGAGGTTCTAGCTCAAATTCTTCCCATGCCGGCGTTCTGTTACCATTGCCAGCCTAAGGTCCTAGTCTTCTCTCTTTACAGTGAACTTCCGTTTCCCACACCCTCATCCTTCTGGATTCTCACAGCTGTGCACTAGCAAGGCGGACGAGCTCCTGCCTGAAGCCCAGGAAGTTCAACCCTCGTGGCTGGATATTGAGACTCACTCCTAGGTGCTCAGAAAGGCTAAGTGCAGGAAGACCCAGTCACCCTGGAAAGTTGGAAAGAGATCGGATGAGGACAGGTTTCCAGCAAAGATGGTTCAGGGCTCTGTGTTGTTAGTCCTGCAAGGAACTGGATAGGAAGAGCTCTTCCCGCCTACCCCCTACTGCCCCTGCTGGAAGGTTCCTGGTGACCCCATGCGCTGGAGGCCAGCAGCACCTTTCCTGTTGGAGCAGTAGGGTCATCACAGCCCTGTGCATGCCCCATTTTCAAAGCAGACGCGTCTCAGACATTCGAGGTTTGTCACAGACCCACTGTTCCCCCTGCCTTACACCCTGGCCCGGATTGGTCAAAGCAGGCAGAGTGCTTAGTCACCGTGTCTGGCTCTGGCTTGGGGAAGGTGGACGGGACCAGATCCTCGCTAAGGTGGGTGGCTGTGCTCCAGTGCCTCCGCTGCTTGAGCGGTTTTAAGCATGACCCGTGAAGCAGAATGAAGAGGGCTCTGGGGGAGAGGAATGGGTACTCTATGCCCAGGCTCACTCGAGAGACCGCTGGAGGGGGTGGTGTGAGCTCAGTACTGGGCAGAGCAGTGTGGACCTCAGTGAACACCAGAGCTGCCCCGCCCTACCAGAGGGGGTTTCTCTGCACCCAGGCTGTAGAGCAGAGGAGTGCCTTCACTATCCCTCATGCCTCCTCACCATGACTCAGCTCCTCACTCCTGCTGGACCTTTACTCACTGAGACCCAGAACACGGCTTCCATGCTAACTCCACCAGCTTCCATTTCCGGCTCAGACCTCCATCACCCTGGTGGAGGGCTCCTGCTCACTGGTACATGTAGCACTAATTCTAATAGGTACTGGGGTTAAAACTGAAGACCACAGAAGCAAAGTGGCCAGCCACTAGAGAGTTCTCACTTCTACCAGTGCTCAAAGGGGGCGGTCGTGTCCTCAGACTGCATCTCCAGGCTGGATCTGTCTCCACCAAACCTCAGACTTCACTGAGCTCCTGTCCGTCTGTCCACCCCACCCCCCAGTCCCGTCCACTCCCCTCCCTCCCCCGCCTCCCTGTCTCTCTGTCTCTACCGAGGGCATGGGATCCCAAGTGCTGAGGTCACCTTTGTGTGAGCTGTTTCTCTTTTAGACTGGATCAATTTCATGTAGCTCATAGTGGCCTTGAATTAACAGAGATCTGTCTGTCTCTGTGTCCCGAGTGCTGGGATTAGAGGTGTGGCCACCACTACCTGACTATCGATGCACTCTGATCCTCAATCAAGATCTATTTGTTAGATCATAAACCAAATGTCACCACAGGTACAGGCTCTCCTCAGTTCTGAACACAATGGCCCAGCCTTGTCTGTCTCCTTCGTTCCCTAACATAGAGCCTCTGCATAATTAGACAAGTGCAAGATGTTACAGATGGAACTTCACACACCTGCACTTCGGAGCCCACCGATGCCTGTGGCCCTCTCTTCCAGACTTCTGGTCTGTCCCGGTATTGCTGGGCCCTCGCTCCTACCTCTTTCCCCAACACACACTCACCCCGTGACTCAAAGCCACGGGCATGCTTCCTTTCCTTTGGTCACCTGGGCAATAACAAAGCTTTTTAGCACTTAATTTCTACATTCAGAAAGATGGTGTGGAAACACTTTTCCTTACCCCTCCCAGGAGCAGCTAACCCTGGGGACATCACCTGGGAACAAACGTAAGAAGCCAAGCCATTGAGAAGTGGGGGACCAGGGAAGACAGAGCAGTTAGTCACAGTACCAGAGGAGTAAGAGGTAGCAAACCCCCGGCTTGTAATTTTAATTTCACATGAAAAGCTTGCAAGTCACAAATGTCATTGGACACATATAAAACCCAAACAACCAATCAGAAAAAGCATCCCAAAGCCAGGATCCCAGGATTATGGATCAGCCTGACACAATAGAGACTCTTAGAAAATAACCTCTTGGCAGGGGCGGCCATTGCAGAAAAACTCACTCAGCCACCTCTGAGCCAACAAAGGCCAAGTGAGAAGCCAGGATGTTGGCCCTGCCGGGAAGTCAGGATACCCTTCTCTGCGGTATCAGTGGAACCCTCAGGGGACCAATATGATGCCACACTTTCCACTAGGGTGGTGTCGGAAGCGGTCTAGGGGAGAGTGAAGACTTCCCCCACACCCTGCAGTACCTGCCTGTGGTGTCAGCTAGGATCATGCAGAGTACTCCCCGGGGCCTACCAGGAGGCATTAGCAGGGGGCAGGAGATGGCCAAACTCACATGCCCGCCCTCTGCTAGGTCACTGGGGCCTGGGACAAGGAATTCAACTCCAGTCTCGCCAGGCAGTAGAGAGACTGTGCTTTTCCCCACTCAAGGGTGGAGGAGTCGTCCTCCTCACAAGGGAAAATTAAATGACTCATGTTCTGCAAGAGAACAAAGATTTGGTTTAAAAAAAAAAATTGCACCAAGAACCAGGAATATCTTGACTTGCATTTAAAAAGCAAACACAATGGCCATATGTTGGCACTGTTTGAGTTGTCTTGGGGTGATATCATAAGTGGATTTACACATGTGTGATGTGCATTATGATGAAGGGCATGCAGTAAACACTCAATAATATCTTCTTGGGAATAGAGGTTTGTAATGGTGGCAGCCCAGTCAGTCCAATTGAAGGTGAATTCCCTCACCTTTGGCATCTTGATCTCTGCTTCCTCTCAGAACACCATGAATGCCCCTAGCAATTTTTATTTAACACTGGTTCCATGTTCCATGCTAGCTGTTGCCTTGTGTTTTGGCTCTAAGTTTTACAACCCTTATAGAGCTTAATCCCTCCACGTGTTCTTGAGTGTTCTAATTAGAAGCCTCACTCTCAGATCAAAGACACCTGTTAAGACAAACGTCCACCCTCTGTCAGTCATTCTGGGTCATCAGCATTTGTTTTGCTCCATTATTCACTGCATGTAGGCCTTTGGTCTGTGACCCTGCAGGAGTGGCCACACCCCTTTGGATGTGGCTTCAGGCTGACAGAAACCGAAAGAGGGAAGTATAAGGTAAGGTATGGTCTTACTTGCACAGGCTCTTTCTGGTGCG